GGCGTTAGACTCATGCTTCAAAAAGGAATTTAAGCTTTGATATGCTCCCATACTAAAACTATTAATAGATCTTCCCACAGTTTTTAACTTCAGCTGACAACAAAAGAAGCCACAGCTCCATCGCTAGTTACTCACAATAAAAAATTGTATTCATTTACAAGAAAAGTATAATTATGTTTGTTTATATCCCACTTTTTTCTCCATACAGAGACGCAAAGAGGCTCACAACTAAAAAGCATTTCAATACAACAATACTGTTATTAAAACAGTATTAAATAAAATAAATATTAAAACAATCCAGGTTAAAACCATAAAAACATAAAATCACATCACAAAATCACAGCAGACCCTGACATAATCTTAAACACCCCCACCTTTAAAAGCCTGCCTGAATAAGAAGGTTTTAGCCTCCAGCTGGAAGGACAGCAGAGAGGGGGCCATTCTGGCTTCCCTGGGAAGAAGGAAGTTCCAGAGTCGAGGGGCAGCCACTTAAAGAGAAGGCCCACTCTCTCATTCCCACCAATCAGAGCATGAAATGGAGGTGGGGCCGAGAGAAGGTCCTCCCCTGAAGATCTCAGGGCCTGGGCAGGTTTATATACGGGGATGCCAAGTAGACTGGACCTGAACTGTCTAGGGCAGTGGTTCTCAACCTGTGGGGCCCCAGATGTTTTGGCCTTTCTGGGAGTTGTAGGCCAAAACACCTGGGGACCCACAGGTTGAGAACCACTCATCTAGGGCTCTAAGGGTCATAACCAGCACTTTGAATTATGTCTAGTAACAGACTAGCAGCCAGTGAAGCTGCTGCAACAGGGGGGTTGTCCACTCCCTGCAGCCAACCTTAGTAACCTGGCTGCAGCTCTTTGGACCATCTTTCTGAGCAGTATTCAGAGGCAGCCCCACGTAGAGTGTGTTACAGTAATCCCAATGGGATGTAACTAAGGTGTGTACCACAGTGGCCAGAACTGGCTTCTCAAAGAACAGGCACAGTCAGTGCACAAGTTTTAATTGTGCAAAGGCCATCCCAGCCATCATCAATACCTGGGCCTCCAGGTTCAGCACAGAGTCCAGGAGGACCCCCAAACTGCTGACCTGTGTCTTTGGGGGAGTGTGACCCTCTCTAGCACAGGCTGGATCCCTATTGCCTGATCTGCCTTACGACTGACCAGGAATACCTCAATCTTGTCTAGATTTAAGTTCAATTTGTTTGCCCTCATCCAGTCCATGACTGATGACAGACACTAGTTTAGGATCAGGACAGCTTCCTTGGCTTTTGGTGGAAAGGAGTAGTAGAGTTAGGCGTTATCTGCATTTAGGTGGCACCATACTCCAAATTTCCAGATGACCTCTCCCAGCAGTTTCATATATATGTTCAATAGCATGGGGGACAGAATGGAACCCTGAGGGAACCAATAGAACAATGGCCGGAGGTTTGAACAGGAGTCCCCCAGGACTACTTTCTGTATACGGCCCTTCAGGAAGGACCGGAGCCACTGTAAGGCAGTGCTTCTCAGTCCATCCCAGAGAGACAACCCAGAAAAAACCATGGTCAGTGGTATCGAAAGCCACTGAGAGATCCAGGAGAACCAACAGGGACACACTCCTCCTGTCTAGGTCATCTGTCAATGCAACCAAAGCTGTTTCTCTTCCATAGCCAGGTCTGAAACCAGATTGAAATGGATCTAGATAATCCATCTCATCCGGACATCCCTGGAGTTTGGAGGCCACCAAGACCTTACTTAGAAAGGGGAGGCTGGACACTGGCTGATAATTATCCATTATAGAGGTATTCACGGATGGCTTTTTTAATATAGGCCTCACAACTGCCTCCTTTAGGCAAGTTGGAATTTTGTCTTATTCCAAGGAGGCCCCTTTCACCCACTCTGCAATCCCCCTCTGGCCTGTTTGATCAGCCAGAAAGAACAATCTGACTAGCACAACTAATTACACATCTAATTATATAGGATGATTAATACATTGTATTAGGAGGCAAACAGTAAAAGGGGATGGGGGTGCACACACACGGGCCTTCAAGTTGCCTGATGATTTATAGGGGATTTTTAAGCAAGGAATCCTCAGGTGGTTTTGCCGGATTGCTAATAGCTTCCCATCCAAGTACCAACCAGGGCTGATCCTGCTTAAATTCTAAGATCATATAGGATCTTTTAGCTTTAGGGTGTGACACATAAAAGACTAGTAAATACTGGTATTTTATAAATTCTAAAACACCAGCCTTATTTCAATAATTAATCTGTTCACTAATCAAGTTGGGAACTCTGAGGCTGAGAGTTCTTGACCATACAAGCTTTTCAACAGTGGAACTCTCTGCCTCGGAGTGTGGTGGAAGCTCCTTCCTTGGAAACTTTTTAACAGGGGCTGGATGGCCATCTGTCAGGGATACTTTGATTAGGCCTTTCCTGCATGGCAGGGGGTTGGACTAGATGATCCATGAGGTCTCTTTCAGCTCTATAATTCTAAGTTCTATTTCTTTTTTGCAGTCAGTAGACTTACAAAAACTCAGAGAACAAGACTTATATATACTGTCCTATACTGTCCTGCTTTGTTCAGTGACACTTTACTCTCAGGTACATTTATATAAAACTGCGGATTAAACCAAGCTGACCACTACTTCAATATGATTTGTACATCAAAATATATAGACTTCTACCATTCAGCTGCTGAATCCATAGGAGTGGGAGACGTATTTGACCTCATGCCTAGAAATATCAATTCCTTCTGACTATTTCATGGAATAGGACATAGTTACCATGTATTGTCATAAACCCTACCCATTCAGCACCAAGCCTGGACTATAATTAGAATTTACCCTAGAAAAATGTAAAGAGACACCTGTTAAAAATCAGTGTGTCAGCAGATCAAAAAGTGACATCTGTTTTAGTTTAGCTTTGTCACAGGTGTACGTATTCAAATTCATATTAAATGCTCTGTAGTACATTTGCACCCCTTCCTTCATGGGTATTAAATTAGATGGGAAGCCAAAGCTCCCTCATTTATGGGGGTGTTTTGATTAAAAAAAAACAAGTGAAAACTACATAGTAAAGGTAAAGGTAGTCCCCTGACATTAAGTCCAGTCATGTCTGACTCTGGGGTGTGGTGCTCATCTCCATTTCTAAGCCGAAGAGCCAGCATTGTCCGTAGACACCTCCAAGGTCATGTGGCCGGCATGACTGCATGGAGCGCCGTTACCTTCCCGCCGGAGTGGTACCTATTGATCTACTCACATTTGCATGTTTTCGAACTGCTAGGTTGGCAGAAGCTAAGGCTGACAGCGGAAGCTCACGCCGCTCCCCGGAATCGAACCTGCGACCTTTCGATCAACAAGCTCAGCAGCTCAGTGCTTTAACCCACTGCGCCACCGGGGGCTCTACAAAAGAGTTATTTGGAGTATCATGAGATAGACAATGTCAAACCAAATGAAATTAGAAGTAGACTTTCACACTACTGCTGCAGTGGAATAGGAAATATACTTTCCTTAAACAGAAGGTTTACTTCTGAGTAGTCTTGCTTTGACCAAGGTTAAAAGACAGCTATCTCAAAAAGATACAAGCTTCTAGTGTGTAATCAACTACTCAGGAAAAGGTAGAAGAGGTGCTTGCTAAGGTTCTGAGTAATGAGATATTTTTATTGATATTCTAAGCCTGTATAAGTCACAAGTCACTGTGGTGTAGAAATGAGTGATTCGCACTAGGACTCAGAATGGGCAGATCAAGGTCCAACTCTCCACTCAGATAGGAAGTCAATGGATGACCTTGAACCAGTCACCCATCCCTTCACCTAAAATACTTTACATGGTAGTTAAGAAAACAAAAACTGGACAAGGGAAGAACTGCTTTGAGTCCCCCTAGGGCTGAGAAAAGCAGTATATAAATACAATAAATAAATAAATTACCTGAATGGTAGGTGGGAAAGGCAGAATATAAATCTGGTGTATAAATTAATCTTAAGATACATTTGTCCATAAAAAGTACTCAAGTTGGTCATATTTATTTCTGCTTCCCTGTAAATATGCAGGATTTGATTGCATGTATTGTCATTGCTATAGAACAGGTTTTTTTAATAATGTATTAGAGTATATAACTGTCTTTCCACTTGGCTTGGCTGCTTACATAGAGGTTTAATAGAACACTGTCATTCTTGTTTAGTGTAGCTTTAGCACTGTCTTTGTACAACAGAGGGAAAACGCCCTTGCTTAATGGCAGGTACTGACATCTGTACTGACATGTAAACTATTTCAGCCCTGCAATCTGGTTAAAAGATGAAGCAGCAGGCAATGGGGAAAAATATTATAGGAAACAGATCCCAATCAGGCTAGATTAGATAATGTAAGATTAGCTAACTAGTGCCTGAAGTCAAATTTCTCTGCTATCAAATGAGGAGTAAGGCACAAATGACTCCCCCCCCCCCCCCCCGTTCTACAGTAAGTTCCATGATTCTTTATCATTGGCGGTGCTGGCTAGTGCTGATGGAAATTGCAAGCTTTCAGATTTCTCTCCTTTTGTTCCAGTTCATTATTAACATATAGCAATGGATATATGAGAAACAACTTTGGCAAACTACTCTTGTCAACCAGCTTGGATATTAATCTATAAGCAACCGTAGGACCACCTTCTTCGTTAGGAGTAAGTCCCACTCAACAGGGCTTATGGTTGAGGCACCAGTACTGCACTGCTGCGTTCATGCTTTAAGATGCAGTTACTTTGTCCTCAGCAGGCCTAGGCTTTATTTTGCTGTGAAGTCAGAGTTGCTGGGCTCTGCCCTGCCTCTCCCATGTGTGAGGTTTACTATTTCACAGCCTCCCCCTCGCCTGCTGACAGAGGGGCTGGGTCCTGCGTGATGTGGGATCCTCACACATGCTGTTTGTTATTCTGCTCCTTTTTGAAAGTTTTTCTTTCGTCCTACAAAGAGGGGGTGGGGGGAAGGCCAAACAACCCTTTGAAGCTACTTGACTTTCTATGATTAATTGCAACAAGGAGCCTGCAAAAGGGAGGGAAACTATTTTTGATTTATTGAAGTTTCTTTGTGAGAACAAATTTATAGCAGAGGAAAGCAGCTTCTGAAGGGAATATCAAATGGTTAAAAGGTTCCAAGCTCTCTTTGATGTCATGGCCCCAGTGGAATGCTGGAAAGGTTGAGGGACAGGCACTGTTTATTTATAAAATAAAGATCAGGTACCTGCTGCTGGCACAGACTCGGGCCTCGGCTCCTGTTTAAGAGCTCAGACGGCAGACAGGGCCTGAAATTATCCTTTTAAAAGCCTGCGAGGTGATGAGAGCCTACAGGGCAGGGAATGCTTCCAGGCAAACTCACTCTTTCCACACATCTCTACAGGAAGGCACCTGTTTCTCCCATCGGAAAAGTGGAGGCTCTGCCTTGCAGTGAATGAGAAGCAGCAGGATAGGTCTCATTCTCAAGTGGCTCAGAGCCATTTGCTTCGGCACTTTGATCATAAAAAAAATCCAGCCCATTTGACATCAGATAGCAAGCAGGCACCTAGGTGAAAAGAATGGTCATTAAGTAGACAGGAGCACGAAGGACTATCATTCCAGTAAGCATAGTCACTCTGGAACAGATTCCATGTGGAAGTGTGTAGCCCACTTCGTGCCAGGAGTCAATCCAAGCTAGCAGGAATGCAAGATTTGCATCATCAGTTTTCTAGAAGTCCAGAAGCTGAAAAAAAATAAGAATTTTTACATTAGCATGAGCAACAAGACACTTTCTCCAAGTTAGCTAGCTAATTTCCTTAAGTTCCAGTTGCTCAGTTGAGCCAACAGCCTCATGAAGGAAGGGAATTAAGATGCCTTTGCCCACATCCTTTTGCTTTTAACTAAGGAATCTGAGATGGGATTTACATACCAGCTGTGGCAGCACTTTTTCCACATGCTCCACATCCACCTTGGTCAGATCCTCCGTTTCAGCTTGCCGTGCGCCTCGTGCTGCTGCCTCTGTAACACATGGATCCAAAGAATTCAAAGCAAAAGAGAGGGCTGTCAAGGATGCAACAGAGAAGGGAAGAGCAAAGACTTTAGGGAAACGGGGGAACGTTTTTGGTTGAAGCTTTTTCTCATCTGCCTTATGCATACATACACATTTGCCTGTTTAGAGCATTATCACAAATGTTTTGCTGTAGGAAGAAGTGCTAGAGTTTTTGCTTGGTGTGATTCACTCAAGATTGAATAAAACAAAACAAAGCATGTGCCTAACTCTGTATGTATACCACCATACACATAACCAACCAGCAATGCAGACCCACAGAGGCTCCACAAAACAGATCCTGAGTTTAAACTAGTAAATTAGTTATAAGCTCCTTAACATCAGATGGAAACATAATTAGACACACATATTAAATTTAATTGGGACCAGAAATAAAATTCTTCAACTAGAAAAGATTCTGTGAACAATGTAGCTACTTCTTCTAGGGCAAGAGTGGGAACTCTGTAGTCCTCCAGATGTTACAGGACCATCACAACCAGTAGCCCTGGACAAAACAGTCAAAGGTGAAAAATGCTAGCAGGGGCAATACAGCAGTATGATCCTATCCTTGTGCTAAAAAATTTCAGAATTTGATTTTTTATTAGAACTACTAAGATCGGAAAGGAAGGCATGACAAAAAGCATCACAGAAGGAAAAGAAAGTACATAGTCATGAAAGGTATGGAAGCTCTGGCTATACCTCTGGATTTAACTGGCTTCTAACCTTGCAGAAAGTTTGTTGTTACTTATAAAAATAAAATTGAACACAATAGAATATTGAGTTCTGCACTAAATTTCACCTTTCCATAAACCATGTCAGCCATTTGTGACTGCCATTCCTTGAAACAAATATGGATCCCACAACTTACCTCGAACAAATACTTTAAGCATTTCTACCATCAGCAAGAGAGCATCACCACTAACTGAGAAGAGAAAGGAATAAATATAATGACTAAAACATCATAGCACAATTATCCCAGCCCACAACCCAAGGCAACTATAGTGAGCATGGAGTGATTGTTAGTGTTATGATCAAACATTAACAACTGCCAGTGTTACAGAAAGGGTTAATTTGCATTTAGTAAGTTATAAGTAGTTAGTTTGATTTTAGCTTAGCAATGAAAGGTTGGGAAAAGATATGCAGCAGGACTGAAGAAATTATCCTATCAGCAACTTTTTTGCACACTTCTAACAGCTGTGGGGATGAGAGATTGCCCATGTTTGTAATTTCCTTTATTCGCTTCTATAAGCCTTGGGAATCTATTTTTCACTGGCCATGCTAGTAGAGAGTGTGTACCTTAGCTGAGAATCTGTAACCAACTATGAGGATTAGCTGCCCAGTTCTAACATTTGCTGCAAGAAGATACTGGATCGCATCAGTTGAAGGACCATGACATTTATTTTAGAACAGTAATGTGCATCAGTTTTTGGGGAAAATGAAGTCTTGGGGAGGCCTGGAATAACAGTCAGTTGCAGTCTAGGAGGATCTTGGGTTACCTCTGATATTTCAGAGCCTGATCTCTCTGCAGTAAAATTTGGGAAGATCTCCAGAAAGAACTGGCCTCTTTACTGAGACAGAAGGGAAAGCAATTACCTCGTGTTTTGTCATCTTTGAAGTAGAGATGGAGCAGTTTGTTCACAGTCTCCTGCATGGAAAAGGGAATCCATCAAGAGGTGTTAATGGAGAAAAAGTGAATCTCTTTTGTCTTCCATTTCAAAGAGATATAAAGAGGTAAAGCAATATCTTTTATGAGATCAACTTCTGTTGGTATACGAATACATCAAAAGAAACTGGCCAAATAAAATATATTACCTTACCACTTCTGCCTTTCATTCTCTGGGACCTGAAGGGCAACACATCCTGACTCTTCCATCCCTACACAGAGACCACATAACTGGCTTCAAGCTCCACCCTAATTTTTTCTACTGCTACCCTTATCCACAAGGTTTTTCATCTGCTAAAAACAGCACTCTTCAAAGACCAGCTCCTTGCCGCTACTTACTTCATCACAGAGTTTCTTAGAGGATTGTTAGGAAGGCTGTTGTTAGCCTTTGGAATTAATAAAAGACAAACAAAAAGGGCTTATGTGACTCAGAACAAGGAGTTCTGTATCTTGGGTACTGCGTCAGAACACACAACTTACCACCGGGATTGTGGCGCAGCTGGCTGAGTGTCAGCTGCATTAAGATCACTCTGACCAAAAGGTCATGAGTTCGAAGCCAGCCCAGGCTGGAGTGGGTGTCCAGCCATTGTGTAGCCCGTTGTCGACCTTTGCAACCCGAAAGACAGTTGCATCTGTCAAGTAGGAAAATAAGGTACCACCTTGTGTGGGAGGCTAAATTTAACTAATTTATGAGGCCATAAAGAAAAAGACTCCGGGGAATGTGGAATGCGGAAGAACTTCATCGGTGTCGTTGATGGACGATGAAAAGCAGCAGCTCCCCTGGCGGCCAGAAAAAAAAAAGTTAAATAGCCTTTGTCTGTTAAATGTTGTTGGTCAAACTGGCATTGAATGTTTGCCATATATGTGTTTACTGTAATCCGCCCTGAGTCCCCTGCGGGGTGAGAAGGGCGGAATATAAGAACTGTAAATAAATAAATAAAATAAATAAATAAATAAATAAATAAATAAGGGTCAGGGGCCATCCAGTCCAACCCCCTGCCAAGAAGCAGGAAATTGCATTCAAAGCACCCCCAACAGATGGCCATCCAGCCTCTGTTTAAAAGCCTCCAAAGAAGGAGCCTCCACCACACTCTGGGACAGAGAGTTCCACTGCTGAACAGCTCTAACAGTCATGAAGTTCTTCCTAATGTTCAGATAGAATCTCTTTTCCTGTAGTTTGGAGCCATTCTTCTGTGTCCTAGTCTCCAGGGTAGCAGAACACAAGCTCCCACCTCACTATAACTTCCTCTCACATATTTATACATGGCTATCATGTCTCCTCTCAGCCTTCTCTACTGCAGGCTAAGCATGCCCAGCTCTTTAAGCCGTTCCTCATAGGGCTTGTTCTCCAGACTCTTGATCATTTTAGTCACCCTCCTCTGGACACATTCCAGCTTGTCAACATCTTCCCTCAATTGCGGTGCCCAGAATTGGATACAGTATTCCAGGTGTGGTCTGACCAAGGCAGAATAGACGGGTAGCATGACTTCCCTGGATCTAGACACTATACTCCTATTGATGCAGGCCAAAATCCTATTGGCTTTTAAAGCTGCCGCATAACATTGTTGGCTTATGTTTAACTTGTTGTCCACGAGGACTCCAAGATCTTTTTCACACGTACTGCTATCGAACCAGGATTCTGTATCTTTGCATTTCATTTTTTCTGCCTAAGTGGAGTATCTTGCATTTCTCCCTGTTGAACTTCATTTTGTTAGTTTTGGCCCATCTCTGTAATCTGTTAAGATCGTTTTGAATTCTGCTCCTGTCTTCTGGGTTATTGCCTATCCCTCCCAATTTAGTGTCATCTGCAAACGTGATGGTCATACTTCTAACCCATCTTCTAAGTCATTAATAAAGATGTTGAACAGGATCGGGCCCAGGAACGAACCCTGCTTATGGCACTCCACTCGTCACTTCTTTCCAGGGTGAGGAGGAAGCATTGGCAAGCACCCTTTGGGTTCATTTGCTTAACCAATTACAGTTCTAGCTAACCGTAGTTTTGTGTAGCCCACGTGTGACTAGTTTGTTTGCCAGGTGGTAATGCGGGATCTTGTCAACGGCCTTACTGAAATCCAGATATGCTACATCCACCGTGTTCCCTGCATCTACTCAGCTTGTAACTCTATCGAAAAAAGAGATCGGATTAGTCTGGCATGATTTGTTTTTTATAAATCTGTGTTGACTATAAGTGATGACTGCATTCATTTCTAAGTGTTTGCATACCACTACCTTAAAGATCTTTTCCTGAATCTTGCCTTGAATTGATGTGTGGCTGACCAGACGGTATAGTGTATTTAAACATTTTAGTTGACTTATCTACTGCATGCAGATAAATTTGCATATGATCAGCACTTCAGTACAGGTTTACAGTCATAGTTTCATTAAGAGAAGCTATCATGTTGTTTACATGTGGAGAAACCTTTTGCAAAAATTCATTTTGGTTCAGGAGGACACCTGACGTGGTAGAAATACGTTCCACACCCCTTAGAGATATTTGGAGAGGCATTTTGGAGCAACATTTTCTAAAAATGCAAAAAAAAAAAATTACCCTTAAGGGCTACAAGAAAGCTCCGGGGTACACATCCTTTCTCTAGATGTACCAGAATAAAAAAGAAATGTTTACTAGGGATTACCTCTACCTCCTGTATCTATCCAGAAGCATCCTAAGAACTTCTCTGGTTTGATAGCTGAATTTCAGTAATTTGTCAGATAACTTCTACATGAAGATTCTGTGATTTTTAACATTTATATTAATGTTTTTAACTCCACGTTTTAATTGTCTAAATAATGTTATGTTTTTATGATTTAATTATAGTTATATCTTATGGTTGCTCTATATTAGGTTTTATATGTATGTGAGGCATTACATTTTACCATAAATACATTGGAAACTGCGTTGAGTCCTCCCTATGGGGAGAAAAGTGGTATACAAGTGAAGTAAATACATAAATAAGAAAGTTGTGGGTGTATTTCAGTCACTCGAGTAGATGTATTCCTAGACATCAGTTCTTTACCAGAGATTGATTCTACACCACACAAAAAGACAATCTCCTTGTAATCATTTTTACTGGAGTAATTCAAAATCAAGTGTCCTAAGAGAAGTCTTTTTTCTGTCCATTTTTTCCAAGCCCTACTGAATTTTATCTACCTTGTCCAACCATTCATACTATTGCCACAACTTTCAGCTCCCTCATAAGGAAAACTTAAGTGTTTGCACTGGCTGCTTTCTATCCTTATTGTGGCCTTTTTGATAAAGTGACCAAACTCTACTCTTTTTTCTAAATGCAGCTGAAGTGCCACTGATGTGAATAAGGGCATTAAAATGGGGCTATCTTGTTTTCAGTCCCTTTCACAATCCACATCACTAATGTAGAACTTGCCTTTTCACTGCTTCCACATTGCAGACCTTACGTTGTTTTTTTATTGAACTATCCACCATGAAGATTTTTTCTGTCTTTCCACCATCATCAATTCAAACCCTACCAATACAGATGCAAAAACTCAAACGTTTTGTCCCAGTGTACAGTCACTTTGCAGTACCTACATTTGCAATTTTGCTGTCTATTCACCAACCATGAAGAAATCCTTACAGCCCTTGGCCGTCTGCTTAGCTTTTCATGATGCTCTGATGCCACCTGCAGGTTAGCTCATGCATTGCTCACTCTGGTACCCAAGATGACACATGAACAAGTTAAATAGCACCATTCCTGGCTCAGAACTTCTGTGCATATTTGTTTCTATTGCAAGAACTGTTTTTATATGTACTGTTCAGTGAAGGGGGGACAAGCCCATTAAGGTATCATATGCCAACAGTGGGAGTTGCCCCAGCCAAAACTGCAATAACCCCCAGGAATGAAGTAGAGTTCCTATCCCTGCCACAAAGCCAGAAATAGTGAGGTGGTTTGAACACTGGACTATGAGCCTTGAGGCAAGGGTTCAACAATGGCAAGCCACTGGATGACTTTGTGCAAGTCACACTCGCTCAGCCTCTGAGGAAAACAAAGGCATACCCCTTCTAGAATAAATCTTGCTAAGAAAGTTCTGTGATAGGCTTGCCTTAGGTTACCATAAAACTGAATCGGCTTGAAGGCACACAAAAAGAACCCCTGCAATAAAATAACCTGTTCTCTTAGCCAATGGCTGTCCAGTTTATCCAGGATTCTTCATCAAATGCTCTTCTGGAAATCCAAGTATATGTCTAACAGATCACCCAATTTATGTTTGTTATTACTAAATAATAATACTAATGCTAATACTACTACTAATAATAATAATAATCTTTATTTGTATCCCACCCCCTCTCTCTGAAGAGACTCAGGGTTGCCTACAACAAAACAGCAAATACAATAAATGATATAACAGACAATACACACATATCAATTAATAAGACAAAATAGTACAATATTATAAACAAGACTGAAAGTTTAAAGAATTTCATAACTGGTAAGGCATGATTTCACTCTCCAGAAATAATGCTAATATTGTCGGCTAAGCTTGTCTTACCACATGGTTAATAATAACATCTATTTTTCACGAGTTTATACATGAGGCCATCTGTTCGTATTCTCAATCTGGTTCCTTAAAAAATCAAGCATATGTGACAGCTGGACTTTGCTCACATTACGTATTCCCTTGCTACACTTGATCCATGCTACTCTTTGGTTATTTCTCTGCTATTTTAGGCTGTAAGTTCCTAGTAAACTGGGGCTTTTACCAAATTTTACCAGTATTTGCCACAAGGCTTGCTAATAGCAAGACTGTAAAAAATAAACTGAAGGTGCATATCTTTATGCAATTACTGGAGTACTACCATTTCACATTTACCTGCATATACTCATGTTTAAGCTGACATGGAATCTAGTTATTGTGCATTTATCCTCTTCTTCTTTGGCAAATATTTCACACCTTCGTCAGTTTAACATTGACTGGTTTCTTCCTTCTGTTTCACTTGTTTAAGAATTTTAGCAGTATGTTCACCAGCTCTTTTGTTTATTTACTACAGTTACTTGTCTTCTGAACAACTTACACTAGTATTGCCAGAATTCTACTTTTTTGTCTTTTACACATTTTTTAAAATATCGCCCCTTGGATGCATTTCCATTCCTAATTTGGCATACCCACTTTGTCTCCTTTAATAAGCTAATAAATAATATCTGGTTTTCTGAGGATGTGAGACTCATTTGACTCCTCCTTTCCCAGTTGATTCAGAACCTTTTCAAAGTTCACATGTGCTGTTATGGGCCCTGTCTTCCATCAATTCAACAGCAAATCTAGCCTGTACAGCCCTATAATCTGTTTTGCCATGAACTGATCTGTGAAACAGTGATTTAACATATCTAGATATGCTCCTCCTTTTTGACCCATGACCAAGCATTTAGCCAAGTAACATGAATGCAGTTGAAGTTACCCATTGTTACAACACCCATCATTGCCATGGTTTCTATATTCGCAGCCCTCAGATTTCTAGAGCAAATGAACACTTTTGACTTCTGGCTGCAAACAAGAGGGCAGAACATCATGGTAAGTTGGCAGCCTTGGCTGGTTCACAAATCCAGTCAAATAGCACAAGGGGTCTCCCAATGGGATTGTGAAGTTCAACAGGGTAGATTTAATACTGGGACCACCTCATCTCTCCACTCTCTCCAGGTTATAGACATGTAAACCCTTGTTACTCTCTCCCGCTCAAAATCATGTGGCTTGTACTGTTTTGGGGAGTTCATGCCTGTTAATGAAACAGCCCTCATTCCCTTTAGCACAGTGGTTCTCAACCTGGGGTCCCCAGATGTTTTTAGCCTTCAACCCCCAGAAATCCTAACAGATGGTAAACTGGCTAGGATTTCTGGGAGTTGTAGGCCAAAAACACCTGGGGACCCCAGGATGAGAATCACTGCTTTAGCAGATGCCTTTCTATCCTGCAGGCATAACTTCCCAAATTATTTTGTTCTGACGCATTAACTGCAGTGTGTAGGTGTGTTGCACAAATGTAATAAAAATGACAAAAATCATTTGTTATTGGTATATGTTATTATCATATGTTTTTATCTTACAAATCATACATTTAAATATATATATATAAATGGAAGGTGCCCATGAGAGATGTTGTTATTACAATTTATGTATGTGTTTGTATCCCTTGCAAGGAGTGGTTTAACCTCTGGTTTGCTAGTAAAACTGAATTACTGTATCTTGAAATGATAAATGTCTAAAAAAAATGTGTTGCCAACACGAAATGTTTGGAAAGCTCTGCCTTAGTGTTGCAAACTCTTCTTCATTCTGCCCCCCCCCCTCTAAAAATTCCATATACAGCTTTTTGATTATTTGAAGGTGAAATAAATAAATTTATGTTAAAGAATAAATGTTATAATGATTTAATCAGATTCATTAATTCTAAAAATGAGAATTTGATGTAAAAGGCTCAAATGGAAAGAAACTGGGCACTGCTCCCACCATCAAGGCCTTGAGCTGCAAAGCCCACTGAGGGTATGTTCTCGCACTGTAGAAATAATGCTATCTGATGCCACTTAAAATGCTCAATACTATGGAATTAGTTAATGGTTTCAACCATTAATATTTAATTCTATTTTAATGTTTGCATATTTTAACTTTTAAAATGTTTAGTATTGGTGTTACTGTAAGCTGCTTTGAGTCTCTCTTTAAAACAATGGTTCCCAACCTGTGGTCTGTGGACCATCAATGGTCTGCAAGAACAAAAAAAAGGTCCATAGCCTCACCATTACTACACCGTTACCTTGAAACCACGCAGCAACGAGAGCGACTGGTCTCACAAATCCCTCTTATAGTGTTGAGACAAAGGGGATGTTGGGAGGGGAGAGGCTGCCCACTGCAGATTACTACTACCACATCAGTTCTAGATTATCAAATATGGTTTTCTGTGGGCAAGCAGATGGCGACTACTATATGGTATATGTTCTGTATCAGAATGTAGAGCTGATGTGATCTATCCAGTGCAATTTTCTTAATCACCACCCCAAATAACCAGACCGACCAAAAACTGATTCGTAATCCTTTTGGTACCAGTGGTCAAAGTGGTCCCTGGTGAAAAAAAGGTTGGGAACCACTGTTTTACAGATAAATAAATAATATTACAGTAGAATCTCGCTGATCCAACATAAATGGGCTGGCAGATGGCTGGATAAGCAAACATGTTGGATAATATGGAGAGATTATGAAAAAGTCTATTAAACGTCAAATTACATTATGATTTTACAAATTAAGCACCAAAACATCATGTTTTACAACAAATCCGACAGGAAAAGCAGTTCAATACACAGTAACATTATGTTGTAATTGCTGTATTTACAAATTTAGCACCAAAACATCGCAATGTATTGAAACAGCTGTGGATCTGGGCGGGAGGCAGACTGCATTGGATAATATAGAACATTGCCCAGGCCTGATCTTCCTTCTGTTTCACTTGTTTAAGAATTTTTAGCAGTATGTTCACCAGCTCTTTTTGTTTATTTACTACAGTTACTTGTCTTCTGAACAACTTACACTAGTATTGTCGAAGGCTTTCATGGCCGGAATCACTGGGTTGTTGTAGGTATTTTCGGGCTACATGGCCATGTTCTAGAGGCATTCTCTCCTGATGTTTCGCCTGCATCTATGGCAAGCATCCTCAGAGGTAGTGAGGTCTGTTGAAAGTAACCCATTTTTTTTAGTTCCAACAGACCTCACTACCTCTGAGGATGCTTGCCATAGATGCAGGTGAAACATCAGGAGAAAATGCCTCTAGAACATGGCCATATAACCCGAAAATACCTACAACCCAACTTACACTAGTTTTGCCAGAATTTCTACTTTTTTGCCTTTTACACATTTTTTGCAATATCGCTCCTAATTTGGCATACCCACTTTGTGAAGGTTGTATAAGTGAGACTTTAATCACTCTGGGAGCTGTAGTTTGGTGAGGCCCCAAAGAAAAAGGGCAAATTCTCAGGGTTCCACAGCACTGAGTAGTTATAGTGGTATTGCACTGCCTTTATTTCACAGTGTAGATCAGGCTGTTAGGAATGGTGGGCGTTGAAGTCCAAAACACCTGGAGGGCCCAAGTTTGCCCAGGCCTGGTCTAGATGCATCCCTAAAGCGTGTCTGGTCATTGGGCGGCGCCACAATGCGAATCTTCAACCCTATGAAGGGTGCAGGCGTTTTTGGTGAGGGAAAATGCACCAAGAAATCCAAAATATTGAGTGTGTCCTATACACAGACCCCGGAAATAAGGCCCCTGCTGGGTGGTTGTGGTTTCCTCCCCCTCTTCCTCTTCCTCCCAGCCCTAGCCCCCCTCCCCTGCCTCCCTGCTCCCCCGCCGACCTTCTTGAAGCCTCCTCGGGCGCTCTCCCCCTCGCTCTCCATCTCGCCCCGGTTCAAATGAGGCGCGGAAACGGCTGCTGAGGGGCATCTGGGCGCACGGCATGCCGGGAAGTGTAGTCTTCCTCTGCTCTTCGGTCACTTCCGGTACAAGCCTCCCCGCTGGACACTTGAGGGCGGAAGAGGTTGCCGTCGCTTCCCTGCCTCCCCTTCGACTCATCCTCCCTCCCCGAGTTCTGGCTCAGGAGGTAAATGAAGCCAGAGACTTCAACTAAAAGCCATGAATTTGGGGGACGAAGAAAACAATTCAATTCAAAAGACAAAGTGAACTTAGCATTTTGCAGCAGGGGAGCAGGCAGAAGCGTCCAAGAGAGCCACAAGTCGAGTCCATAGTTCAGGAACGGTGGTTCTCAACCTGTGCGTTCCCAGATGTTTTGGCCTTCAACTCCCAGAAACCCTAACAGCTGGTAAACTGGCTGGGATTTCTGGGAGTTGTAGGCCAAAACACCTGGGGACGCACAGGTTGAGAACCACTGGTTCAGGAAGGATGTCTCATTCTCTTTTGGTATGGCTACACTGCAGAAGGAACGCAGTCTGATGCCGCTTTAAGTGCTATGGCTCAGTACTATGGAATCCTGGGAGTTGTAGTTTGATGAAGCACCAGGCCTCTTTGACATTGTGAGAGTACAACTCCCACAATACCATAGCATTGAGCCCTGGCAGATAAAGTGACGTCAAACTGTGTCCATTCTACAGTATAGACCAGGGGTCCTCAAACTAAGGCCCGAGGGCTGGATACGGCCCTCCAAGGTCATTCACCTGGCCCTCACTCAGGGTCAATCTAAGTCTGAAACGACTTGAAAGCACAACAACAACAACAATCCTATCTCATCAGCTAAAAGCAGGCCCACACGTCCCATTGAAATACTAATAATTTTATATTTGTTAAAATTGTTCTTCATTTTAATTATTGTATTGTTTTAAAGTGTTTTTGCACAACAAATAAGATACGTGCAGTGTGCTTAGGAACCCATTCATGTTTTTTTTCCAAATTATAATCTGGCCCTCCAATAATTTGAGGGACTGTGAGCTGTCCTTCTGTTTAAAAAATTTGAGGACCCCTGGTGTAGACTGAGGGCCCTTCCACACAGCCCTATATCCCAGAACATCAAGACAGAAAATCACACATTTATTTTTATTTATTTATTTACTGCATTTGTTGACCGCCGTTCTCAGCCCTAGGGCGACTCACGGCGGTGTACAACATATAAAAAGAAATCCAATTAAAGCAATATCAAAACAACAACATCACTATTAATAATACAATTACACTAAATCATTCGCGACATCTCATCATAGAATCACAAACCAATCTCGTTATCCATATTCCGTTCCAATCATCATTGCCAATTGTTGTAGCACTTAGTCAAACGCCTTCTCAAACAACCACGTCTTTAGTCTCTTGCGGAATGTCATAAGGGAGGGCGCCTGTCTGATGTCTACAGGGAGGGTGTTCCACAGCCGGGGGGCCACCACCGAGAAGGCCCTATCCCTCGTCCCCGCCAGGCGTGCCTGTGAGGCAGGCGGGATCGAGAGAAGGGCCTCCCCAGACGATCTCAAAGTCCTCGTGGGCTCGTAGGCCGAGATGCGGTCAGACAGGTATTTTGGGCCGGAACCGTTTAGGGCTTTGTAGGCCAACACCAGCACCTTGAATTGGGCCCGGTAGCAGATCGCCAGCCAGTGGAGCTGGACAACCTGTGTGTGCTCCCTGTGTCCCGCTCCTGTTATAACCTGGCTGCCGCACGCTGACCCAGCTTGTATCCAGTCTTCAAGGGCAGCCCCACGTAGAGAGCGTTGCAGTAGTCTAAGGCGGGATGTGACCAGAGCGTGACTACCGTGGCCAAGTCAGACTTCCCGAGGTACGGGCGCAGCTGGCGCACGAGCCTGAGCTGTGCAAATGCTCCCCTGGTCACCGCTGAAACCTGGGGATCCAGGCTCAACGATGAATCCAGGATCACACTCAAGCTGCGAACCTGCGCCTTCAAGGGGAGTGCGACCCCATCCAGCACAGGCTGTAACCCTATACCCTGTTCGGCCTTGCGACTGACCAGGAGTACCTCTGTCTTGTCTGGATTTAATTTCAATTTGTTCGCCCTCATCCAGACCATTACAGCGGCCAGACACCGGTTCAGGACCTCGACAGCCTCCTTAGTAGCAGGTGGGAAGGAGTGACAGAGTTGGACATCATCTGCGTACAGATGACACCGGACCCCGAAACTCCGGATGATCTCACCCAGCGGCTTCATGTAGATGTTAAACAGCATGGGAGACAGAATAGAACCCTGAGGAACCCCACAAGACAATGGTTGTGGGGATGAACAGGTGTCCCCCAATAACACCTTCTGGGAACGACCCTCCAGAAATGACCGGAGCCACTGCAGAACAGTGCCTCCGAGACCCATTTCCGCAAGGCGCCCCAGAAGGATACCGTGGTCGACGGTATCGAAGGCCGCTGAGAGGTCCAGGAGCACCAACAGGGACACACTCCCCCTGTCTAGCTCCCGGCGCAGATCATCCACTAAGGCGACCAAGACCGTCTCAGTACCATGTCCCGGTCTGAAACCAGACTGTGCCGAATCCAGATAATCCGTGTCTCTCAAGAATACCTGGAGTTGTGAGGCCACCACGCTTTCCATGACTTTGCCCAAAAAGGGGAGATTGGAAACAGGCCGAAAGTTGTCAAATTTAGTGGGGTCCAGTGATGGTTTCTTCAACAGCGGTTTTATAATTGCTTGTTTTAAGCACGCTGGAATCTTGCCTTCCCGAAGGGAGGCGTTAACCACCACCGTTACCCACTCAGCCAATCCCCCTCTGGCCTCCTTCAGAAGCCAGGATGGGCAGGGGTCTAGGATGGACGTGGGCCTCATTCCTCCAAGTATCTTGTCCACATCCTCGGGCTTCACAAATTGAAAAGAATCCATCAAAATAGGACAAGCAGGTGCTCGTGTCACATCCTCAGAGACTGCATTTAACATGGTGTCCAGGCCAGAACGGATCAAAGCGACTTTGTCTGCAAAGAACCGAGCAAATGCTTCACAGCGCGTGCCCGAATTGTCAGGGCTCCCGCCTGAGGTGGCGGGAGTTAAAAGACCTCTGACAATCCGGAACAACTCCGCCGGACGGTTCCTTGCAGACGCAATAGTGGCCGCAAAGAAAGTTTTCTTTGCGGCTTTTATTGCCGCGGCATATGACCTTAAAAAGGACACAAACCGTGTTCGGTTTGGCTCGCTCGGATCCGAACGCCACACGCCCTCTAGTTCCCTCTTCTTTCGCTTCAACGCTGCCAGCTCCTCAGTAAACCAAGGGGCTGGTTTTGTTCGGCTACTTGAGAGGGGACATTCTGGAGCGATCGTGTCTATTGCCCTAGTCATCTCCCCATTCCAGAGAGCGACCAGGGCATCAACAGGGTCACCTACCGAGGTGGCGGGAAAATCCCCAAGAGCCGTCAGGAATCCATTCGGATCCATAAGCCTCCTGGGGCGGACCATCTTAATGGGTCCTCCACCCTTGCGGAGGTTAGGGGGCGCAGTGAGCCTAAATCTGATCAGGAAGTGGTCGGTCCATGGCAACGGAGAGATGGATAACTCCTCCACACCGCCACCTTGCTCCCATCCCTGGCACATTATCTGAGTGTTCTACACAGCCCTATATGCCAGAATAAAAAGGCTGAAAATCCCATAATATCTGCTTTGAACTGGGTTATCTGAGTCCACACTCAGAGAATGTGTGATTTTCAGCCATAATATTTTGGGATATAGGGCTGTGTGGAAGGGCCCTCAGATAACCCAGTTCAAAGCAGATAATGTGGGATTTTCTGCCTTGATACTCTGGGATATAGGGCTGTGTGGAAGGGCCCTCAGATAACCCAGTTCAAAGCAGATAATGTGGGATTTTCTGTCTTGATATTCTGGGATATAGGGCTGTGTGGAAGGGTCCTGAGGCACCTTAAGTTGACATCCATGGAAAAGGTCTTAGGAGGGACTGTGGCTCCTAGGGCCCTTCCACACAACCATGTAACCTAGAACATCAAGGCAGATAATGCCACAATATCTGCTTTTAACTAGGTTATCTGGGTCCACACAGCCATATATTCCAGTTCAAAGCAGATAATGTTTGAGATTTTATTAAGCTGTGTGGAAGGGGACTGAGTGTTGACTCAGATAACCCAATTCAAAGCAGATATTGTGGGATTTTCTGCCTTGATATTCCGAGATATAGGGCTGTGTGGAAGGGCCCGGGCTCTTCAGATCCCAGGATATTCCCTATGATGTTGTTGTGCTTAAGGCCAGTGTTTCAGTGTGGAACTCAAAAGCAATTCCATACTACCGGATCATGTCTAGTTTGTGCCAACTTGTAGGCCTCCTGGCACTCAAAAAGTGCAATCATTTCACAGGATGGCCTTGATGTAAATCCTCTTGAGAGGAAGAAGGTTAATAGAAGCGTGGAGTAAGGACATTTCATAATATTTTCTTTCTCTAAATTTTGGATATCTACCTGCTTTGAAAAAAATCACTTTGTTTATATTCATTTGCTTATGGGCTTTATTTTTATCCCACCTTTCTCCCGACATAGGGACTCAAGGTCACTAACAACAAACATGATACAATGCAATACAATGTTTAAATATGAATATAAAAAATTAAAAACAATTACATCTCTGTGTCATGAAACATACAAATTAAAATGCAATAAAATACAGTTAAAATTACCATTAAAAACTATTCCCACCACCCCCCGAATTCCACCCACAGCATCTTTTGCTTTCTAGAGCCAGATATTGTGATGTTCTTTCAAGTCATTTATTAAGAGCAGGTTTGCCATCATCCTCTGAGGATGAGGCCCCATCTACACTGGATATAATCCAGTTTCTGAATCCTGATTGTTTGCTTTGAATTGGATTATATGGCAGTGTAGACTCATATAATCTAGCTCCTAGCAAATACTCTGGATTCAGAAACTTAATTATATGGCAGTATAGATCAAGCCTGAAAGGGTGTGACCTGCACAAGGTCAGCCAGTGGGTTTCCATGGCCAAGAAGGGATTCAAACCTTATTTTCCTGAATCTGAGTCTGGCACAAACCACTGCACCACACTGGCTTTTATTAATTACAACATTCAACAGCAATTAATAGACATTTCCACTTCATATGTTCAAAAGTGGGTCCTGGTCTTCCCTGCCTCCAATTGATATTACTAGCAATTCCTATTTTGTTAAATGATGAAATTAGACTCCTGTGTATTCTATGCCAAATCTTAAATCCATGCAAGTCTGCATGTTGCCCTGCTTCTTTTCCCATTTTCCTTTGTCCTCTTCTGGTCATTTACTCCCCTCCCCCCTTTTTTAATGTGTAAAATGAGAAGGCGTCAGAAAGAAGGGCTGTCCAAGGAATGCTCAGGCATGTCTCTGAACTACAGTTCCCAGCATGCCTTTGTTTCCCATGCACCAGTTTTGAAGAGAGCAGGACTTGAAATACAATACCCGTCATGCTCCATTTTCCCTAGTAACCCAGGGTGGAACAGGCAGTTAACGGGTGAGGCTGTATTTCTAGCCACCTTGGTGAGCACCAGAAACAAAACTGACTGCTTGCCTTGGTCTGGGCTGTGGGGCTTCTATGGGCTTCTATGATAGTTTGCATTCCCCTTACTGCTGCCCTCCTGTGTAGTTTCCTTGCAATCTTGAAGTCTGATTGCCCAAAGGAAACTATGCAGCAGTGTGTGTCATAAGAGCATTAACCCCCAGCTGTTGCTGTTCCCCAGGCTCCCCGCTGCTGCCTTGGCACCCCCTGAACCCCTCCTCTGCCTGGGGGGCCTGAGTCCTGCTGATGCCTGCCACAGAGATGCAAGACCTCCGTCGGTCCTACACTCGGCTGTGCAAAGAGAGTGGCGGGGAGCCCCAGGAGAGCATCCTGCAGCACCTGGAGCAAGCAACGAGTAGGAACCGCTTGGATTTTGCCACACACAGCCTTTCGGTGGACACCTGTGGTGCCCTGGGCAAGCTTTTGCAGGATGAGCTCCAGTTCACAGAGATAGCCTTGAGCGACTGCATGCTGAGCGAAGAAGGTGAGGCTTCACCTCTTCAGGAAGCCCTCAATGTGGTTTCCTGGGCACTGAGGGGGCACATGCACAGTAGAATTCACGCAGTTTAACACCCTGCCATAGCTCAGTAATGGGACCTGTAGGCTGTTAGGAATTGTGGGAGTTGAAGTCCAAAACACTCAGAGGGCCAAAGTTTGCCTGTGCCTGCTGTAAAGTGAATGTAGTTTGACATCGCTTTAATTGTAATGGCAGAATGCTGTAGAGTTGTAGTTTTACAAGGTCTTGAGCCTTCTGTGCCAAAGAGTGCTGGAGTCTCACCAAATTTCAACTCCTATAATTCTGTAACATTGAGCTGTGGCACTTTAAAGTGATGTCAGACTAATTCTACACTAATTCTACAGTGTCGCTGCACCCAAGGTCATTTGTGAGTTTGTTTCATGTTCTTCTCCCTTTTTTTCAATAAGATTGTTTTTGATGCTATGTAGCTTTCTGGTGTTTGGCATCTAAAACGGCATCCGCCCTACAATTAACTATGCTTTTTAAATTCAGAGCAGTATACTGCAGAGCTGCTAAACTTGCTGACTAAAAGGTTGGTGGTTTGAATTCAGGGAGTTGGGTGAGCTCCTGCTGTTAGCCCCAGCTTCTGCCAACCTAGCAGTTAAAAAAACATGCAAATATGAATATATCAATAGGTACCACCACATGACCTCGGAGGCATCTATAGACAGTGCCGGCTCTTTTGGTTTAGAAATTGAGATGATTACCACCTCCCAGAGTCGGACACGACAGGCCTGTAGCGAGGGGGTGGTTTTAGGGGTTCAACCCCCCCCCCGAAATGTTTCAGAATTTTTTTTAAAAAACCTGGTTTACTCATGAATTTTAACTGGTTAACCAAATCCCCATGCTAAGTCTATGAGATGCAAAAAATTAAGAGTCCCTCCAGAACTGCAAGCACTATCTCAAGCAAATATTGACAATTTATTCACACTGTCATTACTTGCAGCAATAGCCAATGTAGTGAAGCAACCAAGTTGGGTGTGTGTGTGTTGAATGCTCTCATTAAGGAGGCCAGACTTGGTGGAGGTGGTTGACAGGGGTGGAGCTGCAGGCTATTGAAGGTTGCTCTGCCCCCTGCTGTGCTCTTTGCTTCAGCGTGAGCTAGGAGCAGGTTTCAACCCCCCCTCCCCCCCCAAATTTTCAACCCTCCCCAATTTTCAACCCTCCCCGAAATTTTCAACCCCCCCCCCAAATTGTCAACCCTCCCCGAAATTTTTTTCTGGCTACGGCCCTGGGACACGACTAGACTCAATGTCAAAGGGAAACCTTTACCTTTACTTTTAACTGTAGAAAATCTCATTTAGGTTAGTAAAATGCACAGGACCACAATACAAAAATGCAAGAAGACTCCGCTTGTCCAGAGTTACAATTGCTTGGCTTGAAGATCTACATTTGGCAAATTTTCTGCCTGCGGACTAGCAGGATTAGGATGTGGAACGGCATCTACATGACACTGAAGGACAGAGGATGCATTCTGCACTTTAGAATTAATGTAGTTGACGCCACCTCAACTGTCATTAATTGATGCTATGGAATCATAGGAGTTGCAATTTAACAAAGTCTTTAGCCTTTTCTACCAAAGAGTGCTAGTGCCTCACCAAACTACAACTCCCAGGATTCCATAGCACTGAGCCATGGCAGTTAAAATGGCATCTAACGGCATTAATTCTATAGTGTGGATGCACCCTGTGGTAGTGAAAGCATCCGTTCATGTTCTTTTATCCTCTGGGCTTCTTACTCCTCATTTAATTGCTGACTTTTACCTTCAGTTTGGCATCCTACAGGGTATGTTTTAGAGGGTTGTGCAAATGGGCTTCTCAAAAGCTGGATCTACACTGCCCTATATCCCAGGAAATGATCTCTCAGATGGTCTGCTGTGTACTGGATTATATGAGTCTACACTGCCAGATAATCTGGAATAAGCAGATAATCTGGGATTTATTTATTTATCATGTCAGGGGCAGACCAGACAGTTGCATTGCATTTTTAACAAACAAACAAACAAAACACAAAGTTTGCAAGCTTGGTAGTTGATTAAATGTCCTTTGACCAGTAGCTGGCCACTTGGAGTGCCTCTGGTGTTGCTGCAGGATCTAATCCTGGGATATCGGGTAGTGTAGATGCAACTGGATTCCTAAAATAAGGCAAAACTTAATAAGAATTAATCACGGATCAACAGTAGCAGCATTTGACTCCCGTGTCAGTGGAGTGGTGAATTAGTTTTAGGTTTCATCTGAATTTTAGAGGAAGTATCCAAGGAGAAGACGATCCCACAGTTCCTTTAAAATTTGAATTAATATATAGAACTGATTCATTGCCCCACTCACTTCAAGACTATACACCACCACTAGGAATAATTCACGGTGAGTAACATTCTTAGTTCATGTATAATAAGTGACAAAAGAAGAATTGTAGCACCTTAAACATCAACTGATCTCCTATCAAGAAATTATTCTTTGTGTTTTACCCTAAATATCACTTTGTGTATTAGGAGTAAAGTATTGATCTTCCAGGTACAAGAATGCACTAGCCTTCCTTTTCTCTTGCAGGAGCTAAGCTGTTACTCCATGGTCTTTGTGCTAACTCTGTTGTGAAATCTTTGGATCTGAAGGTAAGTCTGCTGACCCACTTGAAACATAAAAGCATAGTCTACAATGAAACTTTAGCTTTTGGAAACAGATAACCAGGCTGGGCTGAGGAATTGTCAGTAGAAAGCTCATTGTGATTTCCTTCTTAGGGTGCATCTACACTGTTAATTTAATGCAGCTTGACACCACTTTAACTGCTATTACTCAGTGCTGTGGAATCATGAGAGTAGTGGTTTGATGAGGCACTAGCACTCTTTAGCAGAGAAGGACAGAGTTCTTGTAAAACTACAGTCCCCACAATTCCATAGCATTGAGTTAAAGTGGAGTCCAACTTTACTGCTATAGCTGAATGCTATGGAACCATGGGGATTGTAGTTTTAAGTCTTCTCTGCCAAAGATTGCTGGTGCCTCGCCAAACTACAAATCCCATGATTCCATAGCTCTTAGCCAGGGCAAGAATGGTCAAACTGCATTCATTCTACATTGTAGATGCACTCGTAAGTCACTTCCTGTTTAAAGGCTAATACAGGCTAATGCAAGCATGGGCAAACTTCAGTCCTCCAGGTGTTTTGGACTTTAAACTCCCACAATTCTTAACAGCCTGTTAGGAATTGTGGGACTTGAAGTCCAAAACACCTGGTGGGCCAAAATTTGCCCATGCCTGGGCTAGTGGCATTTGGGGGCATAAAATTAAAAGGAATGATTTGGCAGGGAACAAAACAGCTATAGAGCCACATGCAGTTCATGAACCACACGTACTCCACCTCTGCTTTAGGCCATGAAAAGACATTTCAATGAAGTCTTCAAAACCTGTTGCAGTTTTGAGAATCCCAGCTCAGGGGATGTTTCTAGTCTTCACACTTGCAGAAATAGGCACTATTATGAAACTAGCTTTTTTTATATTTGCACAAGTAGGTGTGTATCAATTATTTGGTGTTATAGATTTGCAGCACAGTTTACCTGACGTGGTTTCCTCCCTAAAGGAATCCTGAGAATTTGTATATTTATTATTAAAAATCTGTTCTGCCTCTCTGTTCACAAAATGATGAAGGTGATGTAAAGAAAATAAACCACAAAACAATACTTCAAAAATTAAAATACATAACCAAAATTTTACCTGAAGTATAATTACCTTATGTGGGGAGGATAAAAATGTCATTTCTATAAGTTTCTGATTCTCAAGGTTCATAGAACGAGGTCATGATATAAAAAATTAATTAAGTCAGCCTCACATTTATAGTGTAGATATACTGATGTCTTCCTCAGTAAACAGATTTGCAGCAGGTCAGACCTTGAAAGTATTGTTGAAAGCTTTCATGGCCGGAATTACTGGGTTGTTGTATGTTTTCTGGACTGTATGGCCATGTTCCAGAAGCATTTTCTCCTGACGTTTCACCGGCATCTATGACAAGTATCTTCAGAGGCTGTGAGAGCTTGGAAGATTCATTATTTCGATTATCATCCCTGGAATCATTTTACCTGGCGCAGTGGTTCTCAACCTGGAGTCCCCAGATGTTTTTGGCCTTCCAGAAATCCTAACAGCTGGTAAACTGGCTGGGTTTTCTGGGAGTTGTAGGCCAAAAACATCTGGGGACCCCAGGTTGAGAACCACTGTTAGAGTATTGTGGAGGCTATAAAAATAGGCTTTCCAAGCTCTGCAGATGGGTAGAACTGCCAGACTTTTCCAGCAGATACTGATCGGGACTGGTTCTTTGCAGGGAAACAACCTTCGAGCTGTAGGAGCAGAGACTCTGGGGAAATTGCTCCGGCAAAACAAGTCTATCAAAAGGTGAGCTATAACAGGGAGATTTGCAATAAAGTGTAGGCTGCTTTTGGATTTTAGTTGTGGTAATAGTGTGTGCACGTGCATATGCAAAAGTGGTACAGAACATGAAAGAGGATTCATGTTTTATCCTTTTTGTGAGGATATGTGAGTTTTCCATACTTCTTCCTAGCTTGATTCTGCCTTTAATGTGGGCTGTTTGCCTTTTGTACTTGATAGTCTCACTTTGGAGTGGAACAACCTGGGTATATGGGAAGAAAGCTTTGCTGTGTTCTGCGAAGGCCTGGCAGCCAATGGTCACCTCCAGCGCTTGGATGTGCGCAATAACCAGATCAACCACCAGGGGGCAGGAGAGCTGGCCATGGCTCTGAAAAGCAATTCCACCCTGCAGGAGCTGGGTAAGACTAGACACTCTGAGCCAGGGCTTCTAAAACTGTGGGCCCAGACCCCAAATGAGGTCCCTTTAGGTAATTGGTGAGGTCATGAAAAAAAAATGTCAACAGTGAAAGGTTTTTGAACGCCATCTGCTGACTCTGTTAGACATTTACACAAATCTGTTTGCAACAACATGCAGTGTTTACAGTGGACTCTCCAGAAAGTACTTAATTAAAAGGAAAATTGGCCTGTTTAGCAAGCCTAGCAAATCCTGATTTATTAGGAAAACTTATCAACTGCCCTTCATTGTATCACGGTAGCAAAATATTACTGTATATATTTTCCAGAATTTAGAAAAATTATTTTGTTGGGCTGAAGCTGTAGCCCACAAAAATAATATTTTACTACATTAGCCCACTAAACAAGAGCAGCTGAAAGCACAAAACTCATGTTTTTGCCAGGGTGTTCTCAACTGCTGAATTTTCTGGCTTTCCTTTTTTCTGTTTCTCTAAGCAGTGCTTGGGGAGGTGCTCTTCTCACATGATAATCTAACTCTGAATGTTGTTGTTGCTGTTGTGTGCCTTTGAATAGTTTTGAAAATCTGGGAACCCTAAGAGGAATCAATAATAGGTTTTTTTTCCCCTGGGGCAGAGAGTATGTGACTTGCTCAAGGGCACCCAATGGGTTTCCATGGCTGAGAGGTGAATCAAACCCTGGTCCCCAAAATCTTAGTCCAACGTTCAGACCGTTATGATACCTCGGCTCTGAGGTATCATAACACCAATCTGCTTTTCAAACTGAACTCTGAATGCCAGGAGAGATGAAGCCAAATTTCTAGGATAGTATATCAGCATAACTCCTGACTGGAGATCACTGTGTTGCCAGTTTTGCTACCACTATGTTTCCCCTTCTATTATTTCTTGGTAATTTCAGAGCCTATGGTACAGGAGCATGTTAGAATACCTTCCTGCATCACAGAACACTGCAAGATTGCAGACGTTTTTGTAGCATGTCCCATCTGAAACAAGAAGGAAGCAAGACATAGTGGCTACTGCTTCAGAATGAAGCCTTTCTAGGGAAACGGCATGGGGAGCTGCAAAGCAGGGGAGAGGAACAGGTTTTTGTGGAAGTGACTGTGGTATGGCAGTGCAGTTGCAGTGGTGCCAGAAGTACAGCACTTGGAGGGCTACATAAACAATTGGGGGGCTACCTGTAGGCAGTAGGCATGGGCAATCCATGGTTCAAAAGGGTTCTAAAGTACTTACAAAACTAAAGTTCTAGTGGTGAAAACTAGGGGGCGCTGGTGCTTTGTTTCTACAGTATTGCTAAACTTCTGGTGGTGAAAATTTCAGAACTCTTAACAAAATTTTCAAAAATTCATTATTTCATTATTGGCGATTTTTTAAAATCATAGAACCAATTAGGAACTTCCATTTATAATGAAATTTTGAAGAACCATTTAGATTAGAACCATGGATTGCTCATGCTTATTAGGCAGTGTGTTCTCTGACTTGTGAAAACATTTGGTCCTATGAAGTAATAATGTCAGTCTTGCACATATTTATTTATTTATTTACCATACTTGTATCCCCCCTTTCTCAACCCCAAAGGAGACTCAAGGCAGCCTTACAAAGGCCACAATCAATGTATACATACAGTGATGGATAAACAAAACATTAAAACCAACCAATTAAAACATAGCACAAAACAACAATTAAAACCACATAATCCAGGTCATATTCCAAGGCCAGTTCAGGTTGTGATTAAATTAATTTATAATCTCTTATTGCCTTGCTCCCATGATTGACCAAAAGCCTGATCTCAGAGCCATGTTTTTAGTTTTTTTTTCTGAAGGCCAGGAGAGAGGGGGGCAATCTAATTTCACTGAGAAGGGAGTTCCATAGACGAGGGGCCACCACTGAGAAGGCCCCGTCTCTCGTCCCCATCAGTCGCACTAGCCTCCAAGGTGGATCATAGATCATATGATTCTGTATTATCTAAATGTAATTCAAGCATTTCCTGTGTTGTTGCTGTTGCTATTGTTCTTAATATATACATAAACAGGGAAGAAATCGATCCCTGCTTCTGTTCTATTGCAAGGATTTGTAAGGACAGAAATCTTGGTGTTGGTGTGCAAAATGTCTATTCACATGCATACCCTGGTGATTCCCCATGATCCTTCTGTCTTTTATTCCTCTAATCTTCTTGCCAGGTGGGTTTTGTTATCTGCAATTTATTTAAACCACTTTTTAGCCCAATATTGAGAGCACTTAAGTGTAAGGTGTGCCTAAGTGCCCCTAAAATCAGTACTCCTAAAATTAACATTCTTAATTTTTCGCTAAAAGAAGGCACCTAAATGAAGAACTGTTACAGTTCTTTTCTCCATCAAGTCCAGATGAAATCCAGATGAGAGAAAATCTTGCAGGAAATTAGTTTTCCATTTCCTTCCTTAAACCCAATTCTTCAAAGTTAAAGATTTCTCTAAATTGACTCTGTAATGCCAATCTCCAAAGGCAGCCCAGATTCAGCTCCTGACATTCCAAAACTTGGGAAAAGCAGTCCTAGTGTTATATTGGCAGCCTGTATCACATGCAATGCTTTTGCTTCTCACTTAGATCTACGTTGGAATAACATTGGGCTACTGGGAGGCCGGGCACTCCTGAATTGCCTGCATAGCAACCGGGCACTACGACAACTGGAACTGGCCGGGAACAATGTCCCCAGCGACATTCTGAAGGCTGTGGGTGAGCAACTGTGCCAGCCCCTGCGTACTTTGCGTTCTCAATTTAGTCATTATGCCAGGCCTGCTTATCTGTGCAATTGAGTGGACAAGTAGTTCTCCTCCAGTATGAAACTAAATAAAATGGAAGCAAGATTTTCAAAAGAGATTCTGAAGTTGGGAATATATATTGTAGGGTTTGAAGTGTGCACGTGGTGGTATTCTGAAGCATTTTTAGAGTGAAAACTGTATATTGAGGAGCAACAATGTATTTATTTATTTATTTATTTAGAGGTTTTCTATACTGGCCTTCTCAACCTTGACGAGGGACTCAGGTCGGTTTACAGCATATATAAAGTACAATCATATAAAAGAACAACAAGTGCAAATCATTACATATTAAAATAGTACAACACAGTACAGTAAAAACATCATCATTACAGTTTCCTAAGCCAAATCGTCAATCCAGTCATAGTCAATGGGAAAGGAATATGGTCTTTATGGTCTACTTGTAGTGGAATGTCACTGTATAAAGCAGCCTAATCTGTGGTTTACTTTATAAGGTTTTAGCTATAGTTTTACATGTTTTAGCCTGTGATAAATTATCTCTGTTGGGGTTATGATAAGTTTTATCTTTGGTTAATTTTGTTTGTCATTCAGTTTAAAATTAGGCTGTTTATCTTGTTTGATATGTTCTGTTTTGATGTAATTTGTTTATATTTCTTCTCATTTGGCATTGAATGTTTGCCTTATATTTTGGAAACCGCTCTGAGACCCTTCAGGGAGATAGGGCGGTCTACAAATTATTTATTTATTTATTTATTTATTTATTACAAACCACATGTTGAAAAGTAGAGGACAAATTAAAAAGTTGTCAGTGATGAGGAGACATATGAGTTATCAGAGTTAACTAGAGGGATAGCTGACTGTTCACTGCTGGTATTACAGTCCCATGGAATATATAGAATTTGGTGGAATTTCAGTGTTGCTTGTCTCTCTCTCACTGTCTGGCTCAGATCAAGCCATGGATCATAACCAAGAACGTCAAAGTATCCTCTACAAGAGTCGTAACATGACGCAAGTGCTGAGCAAAGAGGTGTTGAGCTTGAAGGAAGAGAAAGCGAAACAGGTTGGTTACTTAACACTTTTATGGGTGTAGGCAGAGCTTCTCCAGCAGCATGTCCTTGGTGCCCATGTGATTATCCTGAAGTACCTGGCAGGCCATTGCTGCCTCCTGAAGTGCCCCGCCTCACTGCTGCTGTGTGGCCAGACAATGCCTCTGATACTTTATCATGGGTGGATGGAATTATTTATTATTTAATTAATTGGAACTATTTTTAAACTGTCTTTCAAGATGCAGCCCTCAAGTAAGATGAAAAAACAGTTGCCAAAATAATTTTTAAAAATCTACCCTAATTATCTTTCCTAATAATCAGTTAAGGTAGGAGACACTATGAGATATAAGAGGAGTAAAGCAACTAGAGCAGGGGTCTCAGGTAATCTTCCCTTGTTGGCTTGTCTTACTCCTTCCTTCCTTACCTCTTTTGTTGTGGGATCCTTTCCTCCCTACTGACCATTAGCACCTGCTGTTCTGTAGAAATAAACCAGTTGGAGAATGCAACTATATGGTCATTACTCACATTCAGTCTTTCTAATAGTTTGTACCTTTATTTTCCCCTTAAGAGCTGATGGCAAGCTATTACTAGCAGAGGAAGGAAACCTTATTACTCTTGTCTTCTGTACCAAGATTGTTCTTGTGAAACCTTCTGTCTCGACTCCTACATCCAGGGAGCAGAGCTGAAATCTAAAGCAGTAAAAGCCTTCTGGTTCCCCAAAATCTGGGCAGTTTGGCCTCCCCAAAAGACCTGCATTAGTCTAGCTAAAGACCCTGGCAACTTGGTCTCAAAGTAACACATTGAGTTTTGCCAGGTTTTCTTTTTGTTGTGGCCTCTACATTCACTCATTCTGTTCCTTTGTGGAAATTGTTTGTTGCAATTTCTTGGTTCCATGCTACGTTTTGTCAAGGGTTTCCCCCCCATTTAAGCAAGGCATTGCTTGTTGAGATGGTTATATGGTTTGAAGGGCATTTTTTCTCTTCTTTAAATTGTTTAATTTTTTAAATAGAATTATAGTGCAAAAGTGCCATTTTGCTGATATGCTAAATCACTATTACAAAGCAAAAAAGAAGGAAGGAAGACATTGGGAAATTTTGTTTTGATATGTCTTTGAAATACTAAGAAACCCACTGGAAGTTGCTGATAACATGTTACAATTAGTGCTAGGGAATAATAATAATAACAGTAATAGTAATAATACATCTTTATATATATCCCACTTTTCTCCCTAACGGAACCCAAAGCAGCTCACAATATAATGCAGTACAAATCAAATCTCATTTAACATAACATACAAAACAAAAATCACACAAAGCATAATAAGAAATAAAATATAAATAAATATTAACCATTTAAAACGTTTAAAACTAATTAGAATTATTGTGGAGCCTCATCAATTAAATAGTATAGTTTGCTAAGCTCAGTGCAAATCAACCTTGCTGTCATTCTAATCAAGGCCATCAGTGATGTCACCAGTAATAAACATGAGCCAGCAAGAAAATGAAATCTTCACACACAAAAACCTCTGAAAAACAAAATTCCCCACTAAAGCCCAGGTGAAACAGAGTCTAAAGTAGAGTGTCAGCAGAGAAGCCAGCAGCCCCAAGCCAAGCCAAGCTTGGTTTCAGTACTAAGTTGATGTTCAAAGGAGGGCTGGTTGATAAAATTCCCCAGTACTGTCATCCTATAAGGTATCAGTGACTTAAAGTAATTTCAGGCTATGGCTAGCTAGCAGCGAGGTCACAGCAAAATGCCATTAAGAAAGTGGGGGTTGGGGAGGAAAGCAACATCAACTAGTACCATATCCTCTCGACACATACGCCTCCTCTGTAAGAATCCTAAGAAAGTGAAATGCTTCCTGCCAATAGCTATTTTTACTAAGGAATCATCTCTCTTTCCTTGACAGAGTTTGCACGATGCTGTTTCATCTTGATCTTTGTGACCACAAATATTTCTCTAATGGACAGTGTAGTGCAGAAAGTTTTGGCATGAATTGGGCAGACAGGGACCCAAGCCTCTGCTCAACCACATAGCTGACTAGTTAATCCAACTTTCCTTACAGATTTAATGCCAGGTTAACAAGAGGGGGCATCTCCATATATCTCTCTTGTGTTCATTAGGACACAGCTGTGAAGATCTCATATATCCCTTCTCTGCTGAGTTTTGCTATGTTTTAGCTAATGGTGATGCTGCCCCAGCGCAAAGATAAGAGTGCATGTATTTTAAGTGTGTAGTGCTAAGGCCCGAGGGCCAGATATGGCCCTCCAAGGTCATTTACCCGGTCCTCGCTCAGGATCAACCTAAGTCTGAAAGCACACAACAACAACAACAACAACAACAACAATCCTATCTCATCAGCCAAAACCTGGCCCACACTTCCCATTGAAATACTAATAAGTTTATATTTGTTAAAAGTGTTCTTCATTTTAATTATTGTATTGTTTTAAAGTGTTTTTTACACTACAAATAAGATATGTACAGTGTGCATAGGAATTTATTCAATTTTTTTCAAATTATAATCTGGCCTTCCAACTGTTTGAGGACTGTGACCTGGCCCTCTGTTTAAAAGTTTGAGGACTCCTAGTGTAGTGTTAATTTTGCATTTCTGTCTTTCAGTTCCTGGGTCTGATGGACACTATTGACAAACAACGAGAGGAGATAACTCGCAGCAGCAGGTGAGTTAAAGGCAACATACGATGTCCTCCTTGTCTAAGGACCTCTTCACATGACCCTTTGGGGCTGTGCTGTTATGTCGTCAGTTGCTGGCAAAAGTAAAGGTGCACAGAGGAGCTTGTGGCGCCCTGCGTGCCCTCCCTCCTCCTTCCATCATACAGTGGGGACGGAACAGGGTGCGTTGGCACCGTGTCCTCATCAGATGGGAGAAAGTGCAGTAACGCATGGCACCACACATTGCCCTGTTGCCCTTTTCCCCATCATATGGAGGAAAAAGGAGGAAAGTGCAGGTAGCTCTGTCTGAACTACCCAAAACATACTTTCCTTCCCTTCCAGCGCTTCCCCTCCACTTTCGGAAGAATAAGGGCAGGGCTGTCGTCTGATGACACTCAGCAGTCCCTGTCCAAGCCTGGCCAACACTGGCAAAAGAGGGCTGTTTTAGTCCCATGTGAAGAGGTCCTAAGTCAAAGCAGTACTGTCATAGTTGCAAAGATATGATCTAGCTTGGCTCAGCATTCTTCATTCTGTGGTTCAAACAAATAAAACATGGCAGTAAAACATGTCTGATGTCAAAATATAAGATTATGAACAATACCAGGCATGGAGCCAAACAGTATTAATCATATTTCAGTACAACTTCCAGAAGATTAATGGAGAAGACATGAAAATTGTAATTTTTCTCTGTGGAATGATCCTTGACTTGTCCAGGGGCCATATCAAAATCCATAATTTTGCCCCCCAAAACAGACCTCAACTTACATGTGAAGTCAACTTATACATGAATATATACAATATTTGTCCATAGTTTATAGTGACTGCTCCAGAGATAACACTAGTACATGGAAGTTTAAAGCTTACTACTACTACTACTACTACTATTATTATTGTTGTTGTTGTTGTTGTTGTTGTGAAATGGGTTTGGAAATGGATGCAGAAACTGGTTAGCATGCATAAGCTTTCATCGTCTCTCCTTTTCCTGCACCCTCCTTGCTATCTCAAATCTTGTGTTGAAGGGTTTCTCAGTCATCTGGAGCAGATTTTGAGGGCATGTGATATCCACAGAGGAAAGGAATGAATCACTCCCCTCCTAGGTCCACTAGCTAAAACAGCTCCATCGGGGAAATGATACCATCAAATCTAACTCAGCATCTTTGTTGATTAGATTTTTGACATAATGAATCACAGAAGCTAAAGGCAACGTATAATAGACCAAGAGGATATGTCATAGTGGTAACTGTGATACCTGTTGGGCTGCTTAAGATAAGTAATAAATGCTCAATTATTTTAAAGTCCTTTCCCCCATTTGTTGTATGTGTCTCATTTTACCCAGTTTAATGTCACTTTTGTCACAACTTTGCTATCTGAACAACTGGCCTTGACATGATATGTGTTTGTAGTTGGTTGGTCTTCTCTCTGAAATTTGTCCTCTGCTTTCCCTTCAGGGTATCAACAGCACGAGTTGGGCAGCTACAGGAGGCCCTGAATGAGCGACAGTCTGTGATGAACTCTTTAAATGCAAAGTAAGGAGGAGCAGGACTTCTAAAGCAAGTTGGGCAAATGGTTAAAGAAACCGTGATATCATTTTCAAGATAATCTGATAATAGATTTCTAGTCTGAAGGGATTGTGGGCATTGCTCAGCCTTGTATTTCAAATTAACAAGGAGTTGTGGCAGGAGAATGGTGACTCATAATGTTGGAAGGGATCCTAAATGTCATCTAGTTCAACTCCTCCTGACACTGTAAGAATACAAAAAACAAATGATGATGATGATGATGATAGTCCCTGAAGACAGTAATCCAACCTTTATTTTAAAAACTCCAGCCAAAGAGAATCTGTCACCTGTTAAGAAGGTAGTTTCTTCCCACTGTGCACATATACACAACTATACCCATTCCCAATCCCAACATGAGCCTTTTAAAGACAGAAGGACACATTTTTTGAGAAACTGCAAGTCGCTTCTGGTGCGAGAGAATTGGCAGTCTTCAAGGAATTGACCCAGGGATTCCCAGATGTTTTGATGGTTTACCATCCTTGTGGGAGGCTTCTCTCATGTCCCAGAAGGACAGATGAAGGGCAGTCTTTACCTTTTAGCTCCTTCAGCATCCGATTCCAACCACATTTCTTCAGAAGTTGGTTTTGTCTTGCTGCACTCCATCCCCTTGTGTTCATACACAGCAAGCCCACTGAGGCTTTGGTGCTGTCTTTACAATGGCTGATGAGACCCTTTCTGCCTTGCAGGCTCCAGATGACTGAGGCGGCTTTGGCTCTGTCAGAGCAGAAGGTGTGCAACCTGGGAGAGTTGCTGAGCACAGCCAAGCAGGAGCAGGCGGAGCTGGTGGAAAAGCAGGCCAAGGAGTTGCAGCAACACAAGAAGGTAGGTGGGAGTGATGCAATCATTGGACCGTGTGTGATTGTGAGTGAGATCTTTGACCCTGCATGAAGTCTAGGAGTAAGAGCTTTTTTCTGAGAGAAGAAGCCCAAAACTAATGAGGGCAGAGATGGTTTGGTAGGCAATGCTCAAACTGTATCTAAGGCCTTAGAACAGTGCTTCCCAACCTGTTTTTGACCATGCTCTACCTAAACATCTCTGAAATCCTGAACCACCTCCCCCCTCCCCCCCATGACATAATTCTTATCATTAAAAAAGTGAACTTCTATTCATGTAGAGGAAGCCTTTTTTGTTAGAATTTCAATTGCATGTTTGGTATTGTTTTGTCGTAAAGAGACACAGGCAGTGAAGCTAGATCCAAACTTTGATGATGGTTAATGATGTGTCAGTACACGTCCTCTCTAGGCTCATTATCTATTCAAAGGGTTCTTTTCCACCAAAAAATAAAGCAAATATTTTAACTAGCCAGCAAAATATCAGGAAAAACTTGCAGGAATTCAACATGTGAGATTTCCATGTTCAAACGTGACAAATACAGTTTTTTACTAATGAAAAAAAATTGTGCTTGATAAAGCAAAGTAATGAAATAGAACAACTATCACGTGGGAAGTAGTAATATTCAAGGTACAGTTGATCTGAGTAATCTGCATCGAATTCGGGGTCAACTTCATTGCATATATTTGGTGAGAATATGTGAGAATATCCTGTCACTTGACGTTAATATTCTTGCAGATGATTTTTTTCTCTCTTTTTCAAACAAAAAGATTGACTTACCTATACAAATAATAATTGCCCTTGGGATTTTTTCACAGATTTCTTGCTACATTCCTATGCAGAACAAAAAGACACTTTCATATATTTTGTCTAGCTTCTAACATTAAAAGAACACTAAGAGGTGTGGGGTGTTTGGGATGAAAGTTGCCTCACTTTTCCATGCTTATGCACTCTCTAGTTAATTCTATATTATCACCACTCCTCTTTATTAGTGGGTTTTTCACCAGCAATTATAGATCTACAACCAAAAGGTTGCAAGTTGGAAGCCCCAGGTCAGCGTGAGCTGCTGACTGACAGCCCAGTTTACTGTTGACCTAAACAGGTCAAAAACAGCTTTAGCTGTAATTAGAGAAATTAGGTACTGCTAAAAGTGGGGTAGGTGTTTTACAATTCCATAAAGAAAGAAGATCAGAAAATGCTGGGCTACCAAAAGGAAGTCCTGATGGCTCTTCGTCATAGAGGATGGAGCGACAGCACCACCTGTGGCTGGATTCGAGCCCAACCTTCCATGGCATCAAAAATCTGGACACTGAGTCGAAACAACACACCTCCTCCTGTTCTATCTGTCTCTACCTTGTCTATACAAAATGGCATTGAATGTTTGTCATGTATGTGTACTGTGATTCACCCTGAATCCCCTTTGGGGTAAGAAGGGCAGAATATAAAGTGTTGTTGTTGTTGTTGTTGTTGTTGTTGTTGTTATTTCCCTCTCTCCATTGCCACCAGCTGACTGCTGTATATATTCCGGTTTTAATTTTTAAAGAAGAAGGGAGATTGAAGAGTAGAAACAATGCTCCTTCTGGCTCTGGAGGTTAATTGGGCTCACTAACTTTCCTCAGAGAGTTGTTCCCCCTTCTTCATGTACTTCATGTACTAAAGCAGTGAGAGCTGTAGAGTAAAGTATTGTGAGGCTTTCAATCACACGTGATGAAGCTCTCAAGAAACTTTCTAAAGCTGAATTCATCCCTCAGGGTGAAATAGCTTCCCCATCCTTAATGTAAGAAAGATGAAGAGTGCGGATGAACCAGAGACACTAATGGCTGCCATTTTCTGACTTTGCAGGATTCCGCTGATCGAGAGGCAAAACTTCAGCATGAACTTTCAACAGCCAGTGAGAAAAACCTCCTGCTCAGGAACGAGGTAGGAGAAGGGTTCAGGTTTCTCCTATTTTAATTGATTTGAGATTATTCTTCTCCTCAGCCCAGTTTAACCTCTTACAAGTATTGACTGAATGATTCTACACCAGCCTATTCCACACATGTGAAACTACAATCCCCGCTGGCTATCCTGGCTTGGGTTGATGAAGATTGTAGACCAAAAGATGTAGGAGAGTGCCCTTTCTCTGGGGTTTATAGATACAGAGCTTTCACTTTGTCTCTGTATCACAAGAGCAGCTTCTTTCTAGGTAACTGAGCTAGAAAGAAGATGCAAAACACAGCAGGAGCAGCTGTTCCAGGTAAAGGAAGACCTAACCCACACAACAGCAGAAATGAAACTTCGGGCTGTACAGGCTGAAGGTGAGCATGGCTGAAAGTTTTTCTTGAAAAACTGGAGCCTAGACACTCTGGGAAAGGAACGGCATCTCTCTGATCATCGCTTTTCCTTTTTTCCCCCAGAGCGCCTGGAGATGGAGAAGAGGAGGTTCAAGCAGGTCCTGGAGGATGCAGAGGCTCTTCGGTTGAAGGAGGTAAAGAAAAGGCCGTGGTGACCTTAACAGACTCTTCTGCATATGAGGGAGCAAACTAGCACCAAAATGGGAGGAACACTCCTCTAAACCATTGGTGAAAAGCAAGTACAGAGCCTTAGAGCCAAATTCAATTTTAGAGATATTTGGGGAGGCTACATTCTACTCCTGGATGGGGTCAAGTTCAGAGTGGTGCAGTGGAAAATATTGAATTCAAAGCTCTGACTCAATAACTAGGACTTAGAAAAAGCACTTCAAGTGTTTACAGTAGGGATTTAGGAGTTTGCAAAAGTGGAAAACCCACAAACAGTAGTCTCATGGGGAAGGGAAGGTGATCATCTGAAGAAGCCCAGAGGTCAGACTGGGATCCCAAAGGTCCAGATTTACCCCGTGGGTGAGCCTCCCCATCCCTGGTGTCCCAGTGCTCTGTTTATTCTACGGAGGTCAAAATTGCTTTGAGATGAAGGAATGAAGCCATCAATTTTTGGAGGACATTGCTAAGTTTCTCCTGAACCATGTTGTTTGTCATGCAGGTAGACCATATGACACACCATATGGAGGCAAGTGAGCATGCCCTGCAAGAACGAATCCAGCGGCTGGAGGCCACTCGTATAGGGCTAGAGGAGGTGAGTGGGACAGAAATAGTTTTGCCTTAGGAGATCATGCTACCTCATGAGCTGCTTTTTGCTTAATTTTAGTTTTCTGAAAAGAATGTATGCAATTCCTGTTTCCTGATGTTTCTAGGATTGTGTGAATCTTATTGTACTAGATTGAGTGGAAAGCCTATTCCATTCATTTCTTACGGCCTGGATTGTCATGTGCTGTTCTTCTGTTTTGTAACTAGGAATTGAGCCGAGTGAAAGCAACTGCCCTTGTAGAGCGGGGCCAAGTTGAGGAAGAGCTCATCAAAGCCAAGAACCAAGCCAGATTGGAAGAGGTAAATGCAGCTGGACAGTTCAAAGAGATTGATCTATGTGTTGTCAGAAATTCAGAGCTGTTGTTGGGGATGTCGTTTTTGCCTCTTTATTTATTTATTTATTTATTTATTTATTTATTTTTTAAATCGTTTTTATTGAGATTTTCATTGTCAATACATCCATTGACTGGTGAATCATTGATATATTGATTATGTCTTAAAAGCTAGGGAGGGTGGGTAGCCTGGGATGGGTTGAAGGGGGTTGGAGAGGTACCTTTCTACTGAATGGGAAGGGTAGCGGGGGAGTTTGAAAGGGGTAGGACAGCCCTATTCTAACCGGGAAAAAGTGAGGGAAGGGGGGAGGGGTGTGCACGTGGTTGGGATGTGAGGAGCGGAGTGTGTTAGTATATATTTAAATCATTTTTGTTTACTCATTGATTTCCCCATATTTGGTTAGTACTAGTGTGATCTTCTGAGTTGCTCTTCTTTCTTCTCTTGTCTTCTCTTGTCTTCTCCCTGTTTGGTATGTGTTTTTAGTTATTTTCAAGATAGTTTCTGATTGGAGACCAGTCTGTTTTATTTCCGCTTACATTTTGCTTTGTTCTTAGGTGTTGCGACAGTATGTCCATGTTCCTTATATCCATTAACTTTAGTCTCCAATCCTCTAGTTTTGGAATTTCTTCGTCTTTCCATTTGCTTGCTAGTACTAGTCTTGCAGCCGTAGCCATGTGGAATAAGAGTCTATCTGTGTTCTTGTCAGTCTTGAAGTCCAGCATTCCTAATAGATAATATTCAGCTTTCTTTTCTATCTGTAGTTTCAATATGTTAGTTGTTGTTCGATGTACCTCCGTCCAGAACTTTTTAACCTTCTCACATGTCCACCAAAGATGTAGGAAGGTGCCCTTCTTCTCTTTACACTTCCAACATCTTTCATCAACGTTTTTATAATATTTGGCTAGTTTATTTGGTGTTAAATACCATTGGAACATCATTTTTTATCCAGTTTTCTCTAAGGCTATAGGAGTTGGTCCATTTTAGCTTTATCTTCCATATTTTTTCCCATTCTGTTTTATCAATGGTGTGGCCCAGGTTACTTGTCCACTTTGTAGTATAGCTATCTATACTGTTTCTGTCCGATTTCCAGCTTAGTAGTATTTTGTATAGTTTCGTGATGCCTTTTCTCTCTGTGCCCATTATCCTTTCCCATTGTTTCTCTCTGTCATCGAATCCTACTTTCTTGTCCTTGTTGAATGCTTCTGTTATTTGTCTGTGCTGGAACCACGTAATTTCACCGTATGTTGATTTTATCTCTTCTTGCGTTTTAAGCTTGTAGCCTTCCCTGTCTTTCTTTAAGATGTCTTTATATCTGGGCCATTTTTCCCATCCTAGCTCTCTTCTCTGGGTTGCCTCTAATGGAGAGATCCATAGAGGAGTTCGTTGGTGGAATTTGTTTTTATATTTTTCCCAGATCTTAATGAGTGACGACCTTACGAAGTGGTTGCCGAAGTTTTTTTCGATTTTCTTCTTGTTGTACCATAGGTACGCGTGCCACCCACTGCGTAAGTCATGCCCTTCCAGCGTTAAGATTTTTGGATTATTAATCTTGGCCCACTCCTTTACCCAGTTCAATCCACAAGCATCATGGTATGTTTGAAAGTCTGGTAATCCCAGTCCACCTTTATCCTTGTTTTCAATCAAACTTGTGTATTTTATTCTTGATTTTTTCCCACTCCATACAAATTTTAGTATCTCTTTGTTCCAATTCTTGATGATTTGAGTATTTCTGATTATCGGGATGGCTTGAAAGAGGAAAAGGAGTTTCAGTAGTATTGTCATCTTGATTGCCGAAATTCTGCCCAGTATTGAAAGATTTTGGTGCTTCCAATTTGCCATGTCATTCTTTATTTCTTTCCACTTTGACTCATAGTTGTTCTTAAGCAGGTGAGAGTTCTTTGCTGTTATGGTTATTCTGAGGTACTTTATTTTATCTACTACTTGAATCCCACTTTTTTCTTCCAATATTTTTTGTCGTTCCTTGGTGATGTTTTTTGTTAGCCATTTTGTTTTCTTTATGTTTATCTTTAGGCCTGCCAATTTGCCAAATCCTTCAATTTTATTTATCCATAATTCAAAATTTTCTATTGGGTCTTCAATTATACATATTATATCGTCCGCAAATGCTCTTAGCTTATACGAATATTTCCTTATTTTTGCGCCTTTGAGTCGGTTGTCCTTTCTTATACTGTTTAGTAACACCTCCAGCGACATTATGAAGAGCAGCGGCGATAATGGGCACCCTTGTCTCGTACCTTTTGATATTTGGATATTATTTGTGGTGTTCCTGTTTATACTTATTTTTGCTTCTTGTATGTTGTAGATTGATTCTATTGTGTTGATGAAATAGTACCCCATATCTAGTTCTTTTAATAGTGCTAAGAAGAACTCCCAGTTAATCCGATCAAAAGCCTTTTCTGCGTCCAGTGCAAGTAGTGCACATTCCTTGTCTATGTTTTTTTCATAATATTCAATAATGTTCACTACTGTCCTGATGTTGTCCTTTATTTGGCGGCGAGGCAGAAAACCTGCTTGCTCTTCTTGGATCCATTCGGTGAGGAACTCTTTTAGCCTTTCAGCAATTATACTTGCATATATTTTGTAGTCCACGTTGAGCAAGGATATTGGGCGGTAATTCTTTACGTCTGTTTTTTCTGTTCCTTCTTTGTGGATCATTATAATTTTTGCTTGTCTCCACGTGGTTGGTATTTTTTTCGTTTCTAGTTCCTGGTTCATCAGTCTTTTCATTTTAGGTACTAATTCTGTTTCATATGTTTTGTAATACATGGCCGTGAAGCCGTCTGGTCCCGGAGTTTTTGAGGTGTCTAACTTCTTTATTGCATTTTGTATTTCTTGGTTTGTAATTTCTTTATTTAAGTTTTCTCTGTGTTTTTCCGAAATTTTTTCAAGTTTTTGTTCACCTAAATATCTGGTAATGTCATTCATCTGGGGTTCCCCTCTTGAGTATAACTTGCTATAATATTCATTGAATTGGTTTATAATGTCTTTATCTTTTGTATATTCCTTTTGCTTGGTGATAATCTTTGTGATGAATTGCTTTTGTTTCTTTTTCCCGATCTTCCTTGCCAGCCATGGTCCGATTTTGTTTGCATTGTAAAAGTGCGTTTGCTTCACAAATTTGAGTTTTTTTGCCATTATTTCTGTTTCGAGCTCTATTCTCATTTTTTGGAGTTTCGCTATTGCATGGGTCAGTTTTACATTTCCGGGATTTTGTTTAAGTTTGCTTTCTGCCTCGTCCAGTTGTATTGTGATCCTTTGCATCTGTTCATTTCTCTTCTTGTTTCTTATTGCCATCAGTTGTATACATATTCCTCTTATCACTGCCTTTCCCGCATCCCATACTGTTTGCATATCTACGTCTTCTGTTTCATTTGTTTGGAAATAGTTGGTAATGTGTTTTCTGATTGTTTGTTGTGTTTCTTGGTCTTTCAGTAGTGCATCATTCATTCGCCAGGTGCCTTGCCTTTTTCTTTGATTGTAGATTATCTCAATCGGGCTGTGGTCTGAATCCTGCCTTGTTAGAATTTCTATTCGATCTATTTTTGATAATAGTGACTGTGAGCTCCAAACCATGTCTATTTTAGACCAACTTCTGTGTCTTCCCGAAAAGAATGTGAAGTCCTGCTCGCCTGGGTGGTGATTTCTCCATGCATCTGATAGGTTTAGTTCTTCCAGCAGTTTTATCATGTTTTGGGGTAGCAAGTTTGTCGTTGTTATTTTCGAACTTTTAACCTCCGATTTTCTGTCGCCTTTACTATTTATTATTCCATTGTAATCGCCCATTATTATTAGATGGTCGTATTCTTCTTCTTGAATTAGGCTTCTAAGTTTTTTTGTGAATTTTGATTTGGGTCCATTTGGCGCGTAGATATTGCACACTAAAGTTTTTTGCTTGTCCATTGTTAGTTTTACTCCTATAATTCTCCCTTCGTCGTCTTTGAATGCTTGATGTGGATCAAGTTCTGGGTTGACGTATATCACCACACCTCTTTTTTTTTCCTGCGCTAATGAGTAGAATTCTCTGCCTAATTGTTTTTGGATTATATGTGCTGAGTGTTTTTGTGCTATATGGATTTCTTGCAGAGCGATCAGATCATATCTTCCTTGTTTGATTCTGTTAAATACTCTCCTCCTCTTGTTTGGCGAGTTCAGCCCGTTGATGTTTTGATTATAGCACTTGATTGTTCTTTCCATGTTTGTCCGGTTTTTCTACAATCCTTTCTAGTGTTGCTATTGCCGTCGATGTGTTTGGGGTTTCCTCTTGTTTTTCTGGTGATTCAGTTCTGCTTCTTTTAACTTGCATCTTTTGTCCTGGGATGTAGTGGTACTCTTGTTCTTCCTTATTCTTCCTTATTGTTTTCAAGAAGTCTATCGCTTTCTCCTCTGAAGTTATCCAGACCTTTTCATTGTTGTAAGTGGCCATTAAGCCCTCACCTTTTTCCCATCTGAATCTGATATGTTGTCTCTTAAGTTCATCAGCTAGGTCTTTATATTTTTTCCTTTTCTGTAATGTTAGCTGAGTATGCTCTTTTAGGATAATAATCTTTTTGTCTTTATAGTATGGTGGGGATTTGGCGCTCTTCTTGAGAATTTCATCCCGAATGTGTTTCCTCCCAAATTGCACAATTACATCTCTTTCCACTTTGTGTTTCTTTGCATATCTTGTCGTTATCCGGTACGATCTGTCAATATTGGTCTCTGCGTCCTCTTCCGATATTTCCAGTAGTTCAGCTGTAATTCCCACTATTATTTGCCTCAGATTTTCTTGTGTTTCTTCTTGGATGTTTCGAAATCTTAAGTAGTATTCCAGTTCCTTCTGTTCTGCTTGGTCTTGTCTTGCTTCTAACTTTTCTTCTCTTGTTTCTATCTCTTCTAATTTGTCCTTTATTTTTTGTTGCATCTTGCCTAGTTCGGCTACGTCTGTCTGGTTTTTCCTCATTTCTTGTCTCATTGCGTCCATTTCTTTCTTCATCTCTCCCAGCTCATTGGTGATCTCTTTCCTCATTTTCGCCATCTCTTCCGTTAAATCTTTCTTCAATCTCATTCTTTGGTCTTCGGCTACTTTTTGATAGGCATCTTGTTTCTCTTGGTATGCCTCCTGTTGTTCTAATATTTTCTGAATTTCTTTTAATATTTCTTTTCCCGTAGGATTTCCAGACACTGAGCCTCTCCTTTGTTCTGTTGGTTCCGTTTTTTCCAATTTTTCCATTTTTTGCCTCTTTATCCAAAACATGTAATACAGTGGTTCTCAACCGGTGGGCCCCCAGGTGTTTTGGCCTACAACTCCCAGAAATCCCAGCCAGTTTACCAGCTGGTAGGATTTCTGGGAGTTGAAGGCCAGAATATATGCGGACCCACAGGTTGAAAACCACTGATGTAATACAGCATACTTCATGCCATATCATTATGTTTCTCCACCCATGTTAGCAGGAATCAAGTCATGTGTGTTGTGCAATGAGTCCCAATATCAGGGCTGAGGATGTGCCAAAGACCAGAGTTAGTTAATAAAGAAACCCACATTCTTAAGTCCTTGAAAGTTCAGCCGAAAAAAATAGAAATACAAACACAAACCAATAAGAGTGGGCCAAGCTGAGTTCAGAGTTCAATTAGCCAAAGTCACACTGGGGAATAACAGAGTGAGGTGAAGAAAAAAACGATAGCCTGGGTCACAATCGAAGGTCCAAAAAGCTGAGCATCTGAAAAGTAGCAGAGTCAGGGTTCAGCCAGGAAACGACAACAGTAGCTTGTTGTTTTGGATCACAGTCCAAAAGTCAAATACCAGGAGTTCTTGCAAACAAAGCCAAATTCAGATTCCAGAAGTCAAAAGCTGGGAGTACAGACCAAAGGGCAGTAAAACCAGAATCCAGATTCAGAATACAATGTCTGCTCCCCAGAGCCATTCCACAGAGCCTTCTTTATTTAGAGGTCTCAGCTGGAACTTGTCTCAATGAGCCTCCAGTTCTAATTACTGAAGCCTATGATACTTCTCTTCTTACAAAGGATGAGATATGATTAACCCTTTCTGAGGTCCCTTCTACACTGTCATGTAATCCAGATTATCAAAGCAGACATTCCACATTATCTGATCTGGATTATATGAGTCTACACTGCCACATAAACCAATTCAAAGCAGATCATCTGGATTTTATATGGCAGTGTAGAAGGGGCCTGAGTTTGCTGAAAATCCTGGGAATTTCTGTTTCTGCTGAAGACCTCTCGCAGGCAGTAGCTGAACCAGACCAGGCAGACTGCTGACCATGAAATGTGGGATGGGAACAGTGTGAATATCACTGTCCCATGATATTCAAACACTATGATGTTAGTTTTGACAGATTGGTGGTTAGAGTAGCCCTTCCGCAAGCTTTTTTTCCCCCTTTGGCAGTTCTATATTGAATCAACTAAGATTTCTGGTTTTATTTTATGTTGTCGTGATTGTTTTTTCCCTCTTCCTTTCCTTTCCTTTCCTTTTTGCTGCTCTGAGATTATCAGATAAAGTATATAACTAATTAACAATAAATAAGATTTCAAGAACTAAAGCTCTGCAATTTGCAGCAACAGCGCTTGGAGCATCTGGAGGAGAAGCTTAGGCTGATGATGCAGTCCCGTGATGAGGCTCAGAATTACTGTTTGCAGCAGAAACAAGCCGTGTCTGAGGCCCACGCGAAGGAGAGCCAGCTCAGCCTGCAGGTGGAAGGACTCAGAAGGCGGGTGGAAGAGCTTCAGCAGGTAAAGGGAGGCTGGCTTGAAAGGGAAGAACGTACTCCAAAACAAGGGGACCCAGCACCGGGACTCAGCACCAATCCCATCCTCAATTAGCTGCAAGAAAGTTCCATTGAATTCAGTGGAGCATAATTCTGAATCAACATGTCTAGGATTAAATATTAAATAATTCTGTTTCCATACACACATAAGCTCAGGTATGCATATGGGCACAGGTTTTTTTAAATTCTGAAATAGCAGAAAATGGTAGAGTAATTTAGAAAATGGGTCAAGACAGAGCAGCTTCACCACCCTACTCAGTTGGTGGCCACTGATGGCTTTGTTCCCTCCCTGTGTGTTGTGGATGGCAGGAGCTGAGCAACAAAGAACAGGAGAAAGTAACGGAGGTCAACAAAGTGCGAGTGGAGCTGCAGGAGCAGATTGGGCACCTGGAGGCCGAGAGGACAGCACAGGAGGGAATGCGAGAGAAGATTGCGGCCCTAGAGCGACAGATGAAAGGTAAAAGTCATGTTGAGCAGGGAAATAGATTTCTATTTCTTGTGAGGCTTTGGTGGACTCATGGGCCAGTTTTGCCTCCTCTCTCTGGACGTGCTGTGAGTAGAGTTAACCCTCCAACAAAACAGCTTCTAGTAGTGCATTTCTCCATTATTTATATTAAATATATTAGAATAAGGGGAAATGGGGTATGGATTTCACCAGAGCCTCCCAAGGAAAGGGAGTATGCAAGGTGTAAAGAATGTTCGATCAATGCTAGAAAGTTGGGGATTGAAGGAAATGTTCATTTTGACCCAGCATTTTATTGGAGGGAGGGGCAATGCCTTTCCCCCCCCCCCCCCCCCCGCATCACTTCTTATGCCCTGTAGCCTTACTATTGGTAATTGAATGTGACCTTTCTCTCTACCTGGTAGGCTGCAGTGGTTATGCATACAACCATAGGAACAGCTCTCCAGGGATCTCAGAGTTCTCCAGAGCAACTCTGTGGTTCACCAGACCAGAATTTGATCAAAGAGTCATCCTGGAAGACCTAGAGATTCCTAGAGAGGTGTTCTCTTGGGTAGGAGAGAACTTATTAATCTAATCCACACAAGTTATTTTGAGAAATTGAAATTTTTGTAACCTTTTGGAAAATGGCATTCATAATCTTTTCGGAAAACCAGGAATCTCTCCGAGAAGAATTAAAAGCTTGCTTGAGTCAACCTTCTCCATAGTGGCAAATATCCACTAGCATTCATGCAAGGCAATTAGGTTTCTCAGCTGTTAAACTGATATACCTAGATATCTCTTTGAACTGTCGGGGAACAAAGATATGTCAATGCACAAAAAAGCACACACACAGCAGAGTTTCAGAAGTGTTATTTCAGTTGCCCCAAAAACATCTACTCTCCTTTAAAACATCTTGGTTTAAATCATGCTCCCAAGAAACGAAAAATAAAGTAGTCTTCATTAAAATAACATAGTTGGTTTACTCACAAATTTCATGTATCCAGCATATATGCACTTTGCATATCAATCCAGTTACAAATAGGATTTGAAGTAGTTTCTCTGTGTAGATAACCCAGGGCATCTTTCTTAACAGTCCCAAGTTTAAAGCATCTCTCTGTTCTGAGAGTCTGATAGAGTCTGTTCTCTAAAGCATTCTAAAAGCATACTATTTCTAAAATTAATTTATTAATTAATATATCAGCTTTTTCCCAATATAAAGCCCTAAACATGTGAAACATTACTTAAAAAGAGATTATTTTAAGAATAAAACACAGATTTTTTTTCCTTAAAGCGCCAAAAGCCAGATGACTCAGTTCTGAGTTTCTGCTGGAGCTCAATAAGGATGGAACTCCCTTAGGAGGGATTTTCCCATCTGAGATGTTGCTTCAGTAAAAGTCCTGTTTTGCATATTCACCACTGTGGTCTCTCTGGTGATGGAATATATATAAACTTTTGGAAAGATTCATCAAGGAATGGACAAACTTTCAAATAAATTGGCCCCAATCTAATGGCACATTTACTGAGAGTAAGACCCACTGATTGTGCTTTGAATCTTTTCTTATAGTGTGGTCAGTAGTATTTTAAAAGACTCACCTGGGCTTGTAAGCAAGAAAAGAAACCAATTCTCAAATTTACCTGCTTTACTATTCTCCTTTTAAGTGAAACACGGGGGACATGAGCCTGCCCCCAGTATGCTGAATTGTGACAACCATGATCCTTTGCCACTGGTCGTGCTTGCTATGGCTGGTGGTAGTTTTCATTTCAACAGCATCTGAAAGGTTGCCTATTCCCCAACTCTCTTTTAGGCTAAGAATAAACCTAGATGTATTCTAAACTGGGGAGCAGAAGGGCAAAAGGGGTGTTGTGGTTTTCTCTTAGTAAAGGTAAAGGTATCCCCTGACATTAAGTCTAGTCGTGTTCGACTCTGGGTGGTGGTGCTCATTTTAATTTCTAAGCCGAAGAGCCGGCATTGTCCGTAGACACCTCCAAGGTCATGTGGACACCATCATTGCCTAGAGCGCCATTACTTTCCCACAGAAGCGGTACCTATTCATCTACTAACATTTGCATGCTTTTGAAGTGCTATGTTGGTAGAAGCTGGGCCTAACAGTGGGAGCTCACCCCGCTCCTCGTATTCCAACCGCCAACCTTTCAGTCAGCAAGTTCAGCAGCTCAGTGGTTTAACCCGCTGCACCACCGGGGGGGGGGGGGCTGGTTTTCTCTTACTGCTGTAAAAAACACTCTTCCCCATGTTTCACTATGCTGGTACCACAAAAGTCTAAAAACACTATAATATTTCATTCTTCTTTGCACAGTGCTGTCCAGTAACCACCGGGAGGCGCTGCTGGACAAAGTGGGTGAAATCTCAAGCTTGCAGGAGAAGCTGCGGGTTCGGGAGGCAGAGATCTCAAGAATGAGGGAGGAGGAAGCCCAGCGAGCCAGCTTTCTTCAGAATGCTATTATGACCTATGTCCAGGGTTCCCCCCTGAGCACAGGAGTCCCCAAAAACTGAGCAGGAATCATGAGAAATCTTAAGGAACGGAATCACAGAATGCTAATTGTATCCAGGCTGCGGGGCCATGTGAGCATCATGGATTCTGACTCCCTTTTGACTCTGGGGATCATGCAAGAGCTACCTGGTGCTGTGCCTGAGACCTCACTAAATTTGCTTTAAAAGCCAATTCACTATCGTGCACCAAAGCCTAATCTTGTTTAAACCTGCAAACCATGTTGCAAGCCCACAGGAGTAAAGCCATCCCTTAATTTTTGAATTCACAAAAAGCCTGTTTGCCTAAGCCATGAAGATAATGTTCACCTGACTTGCTCAGGTTTGATTGTGTTTGGGGGGGGGGGGGAGGATTCAGTCTGCTCAGCACTTTCATTGTCTCAATAGCAGTGTGTGAGTTGGCTTCTTAAATGATGTCACTATTTCTCATGCCCAGCCATCCTGTTCCAGAGGGACTGTGTAAGATGACATATGAAATAAGTACCCTGCTTCCAACATGTAATTGCAAAGGCAACCGTAAGCCTCCAGGTGTTTTTGGCTAACGTCTTCCACCAGCCCTACCCAGAATGGCTATGGGAATCACAATCCAAAAGCAGATTTTGGAGGGCTAGCAGTTGGCTGCCTTTGTTATAAAAGGATGAGGCTGCAAGGAAGATCTGCTTGATATATCATGATCCTAAACTACTAGGCCTTTTAGCAGAATAAGCCATTTGTCTTCCATCCTCAGGAACAGCACTATTGCTAAAGCTTTCCGAAAAGTGTCTTTATAGCGAGCATGCCTCTGCCATGAGTGCATTACCTCTTTGGCCTAAAAGCAGTTTCAGATTGAGAGTCCCATTAGGGGCTTCGGCCTAATTCACCCATGGAGCCTTCTCAGTCTTGGTAATGAAAACAGTCACTGTACTTCCTCCCATTGACAACAGAACAGCACCTTGTCCTAAGAGCTAGATTGAACTACAAATCATCCTGATTTTGCTGCCCTCTCTCCCTAGAAGCATAAAAATTACATGCATTAAGAATTTATTTCTTAACTCCAGCTTTGAAATCAGTGTGAAAATGTTTTTTTACTTTGCCTAAGTTCAATGATTAACTAACATTTATGCTTTAAAAGTGTATTTATGTGCATAAGTGTAAATATGAAATGTTTACCTATATTTGATCCAGCAGTATATAAAATGTCTAATCTCTTCCATTTAAATTAAGAAAATGAAACATTGTGTGGCTATCTATTGTGTTGCCCTGACCTCCATTTCTTAATTTGGAGGAGGCAAAGCCCTGCTCCTAAGCTATGGATCACTGGTTTCCTCAAACAAAAGGGTGGATGTATTCTAGTATGATTAAATACAGATCTGAGGGATAATGAATTCTGATTTTTTTTTCAAAGTCTCAGCTTGCATGAGGAAAAGCTTTATCCATTTGAGATCTGTACCAAAATTGGCATGGGAAAGCACAAGGGAACTAATTTCAGTCTCAGAAACCCCAACTTCCCTTCCAAGGGAAAACAGAAATATATTAAAACACTACTGAGTGAAGCCAGACTGGTAGAAAGTAAGCAAATAGATATGCAAAACAAATGCATGAAATATAACGACCCAGTTACACCTTGGCTGTAGATGGGCTGTATAGATTTATTTCCTAGTTTGATTCCTGTTATCAACTACTTGATAACAAGAGTTGGTCTGAAATCCAAAGTCCTGAGCCAATATCTTAATAGTGCCAGCTGACCGAAAGGTCGGTGGTTCGAATCCAGGAAGCAGGGTGTGCTCCCATCTGTCAGTTCAAGCTTCCCATGTGGGGACATGATAGAAGCCTCCCACAGGATGGTAAAACATCATGGCGTCCTTTGGACAATGTCCTTGCAGAAGTCCTGTTCTCTCACACTAGAAGCAACTTGTAGTTTCTCAAGTCGTTCCTGACATGGAAAAAAAATCATCTACTTGCCAGAAGTGCATGCTTAATGCAATAGAATTTGGCTCATTTTTATAGGGTTTTTTGGAAAGAAAAATGTTTCATTGGATACATTTATACTGTAGAATTAATGCAGTTTGATATCACTTTAATTGCCATGGCTCAGAGCTATGGAATCATGGGAGATGTAGTTTTACATCTTTAGCGTTCTCCACCAAAGAGCTCTAGTGTATCTCACTAAACATCAAATCCCAGGCATCCTTCGCATTGAGCCATGGCAGTGAAAGTTCCATTGAACTGCATTAATTGTACAGTGTAGGTGCACTTGGTTTCAGTGTCCAGAAAAGATGGAAAATTCAGTTCAGTTTATCATCTGTTTTGCCTGAAATGAATATTGATAAAGGAGCCTCTTTCTTTTCAAATCCAAAGAAGCTTCTAATGCAAATGGGAGCAGGGAATGGGTCTCCTATATCAAGAACTCTTTTCCTAATGCTTGTTGAGCAGAGAGGTTTCCCAAAGATCAAGGCAGGACACTTGATCTTGCATTATCAGTGTCTGATTTCCTTCTGGTCCACGGGACATAACTGTGAAATGTTGTACTTCTCACTATATCTATTAAAGATTAAAAAATGTGGTATTTCTTCCATAAGGTGGAACTTGAAATGCTTACTACTTCTGACTTCAGTAATGCAGTCCCAGTTCTTGTTATTGTGTGTCTTAAAATTGGCTCTGACTTGTAGTAACCTATCATAGCCAAGATTACTTCGGAGGGGATTTACAGTTGCCCTCCTCCAAGGCTGAGAGAATGTGGCTTCCCAAGCCCACCCAGCAAGTTTCCATGGCTGAGCAGCGATTTGGACCCTGGTCTAACATTCAAACCTTAAAGCTGACTTTAGAACTTATGCAAAAATCCACAAGACTGCCAGTGATAGAAACTCTGCAGTCTAAACACAGGAATGAGAAACAGGCCTGTAAAGGCAGGGCAAAAACTGTGTCAGGATTCTCCTTGGCCTTTCAGGGTTTTGTTTATGTCGTTTTGGAGAGAGCCCGAGTGCTCTTTGCTGATGCCTGTCTGGAATGATCAGAGGGCTTGCAACTGAGTGCCCAATGGCAAGGACACCTCTCTCTCCACGCACGCGCTGCTGAGAGCGCTCCAGGCTTCCAACTTTTATTTTAAATCGGCTTTTAAAACAACAACGAGCATCCCTGTGCTTGAGCTTAATGGGGTTTGACTGATTTGATGGGAAAGCAGAAATTTGTTCCCTTTTCGGCTTGCCCAACACTTAGGACATCTAATACAGAAAGGAAGCAAATAAGCATCTGTCTTTCTTACCACATTTATACCTTGGCAACCAGGTCTAGCCTGCACTAAATGTTTTATAAAATATCACAATTTGGTTTCTGCTTTGGGTGCATCTGAGAAAAAGAGACTCAGAAGTTTCCCTATGTGACAGCAAAAATGATTTTAGGCCTCTTTCACCCTGGGAACAACATGAATGTCGCCATTTTGATTGAAAGCAGACAAAAATATATATTTTTAATGAAAAATGCCTTTAAAACAATATTTTTGAATGATGTGTGGGAAGTGTGGGAAATGTACAAAGTAAAGCCTCCCTTGTCAGCATGGAAGAAACCAAATTTTCAGAGAGGAGATGCTTTAACTAGGCAGGCTATCTTGTTTCTTACAACACTCGAGCGTATTAGTTCTTTCTACACTAGAGAAAGACAATGAAAGCCAAGTAAGTGAGTGAGAGGGGCATCATTTCAAAGGGTTGAAAAAGTACAAAGCAGTTTTAGAGTGGAATACTCTTGAATGAATTCAAGACAAAATTGCACACATAAACAAAATAATTGTATCGAGACAAAATGATTGTACTGCAGGGTTCTGTCCTGGGCCTGGTGCTGTTCAACATCTTTAGGAATAGCTTGGATGAAGGTTTAGAGGGCATGCTGATCAAGTTTGCAGATGACACCAAATTGGGAGGGAGAGACAATACTCCAGAAGACAGGATCAGAATTCAAAATGACCATGACAGATTAGAGAGATGGTCCAAAACTAACACATGAAGTTCAGCGAGGAGAAATGTAAGATACTCTACTTAGGCAGAAAAAATGAAATGCAAAGATACAGGATGAGTGATGCCTGGCTCGACAACAGTCCATGTGAGAAAGATCTTGGAGTCTTCATGGACAAAAAGTTGAACATGAGCCAACAGTGTGATGCAGCAGCTTAAAAAGCCAATGGGATTTTGGAGTGCATCAACAGGAGTATAGTGTCTAGATCGAGGGAAGTCATGGTGCCTCTCTATCCTGTTTTGGTTTGGCCTCACCTGAAATATTGTGTCCAATGTGGGGCACCACAATTTAAAAGAGATATTGACAAGCTAGAAGATGTCCACAGAAGGGCGACTGAAATGATCAAAGGTCCGGAGACCATGAATCCCTATGAAGAGCTGGGGATGTTTAGCTTGCAGGAGAGAAGGTTAAGAGGAGACATGATAGCCATGTATAAATATTTGAAAGGTGGTCATAAGGAAGAGGGAGAGTTTCTCAAGTTGCTCCTGACATGGAAAAAAAAAATCTGAATTGAAGGGAAATCCTCAAAACAGCGAGGGGTGCATAGATTTCAATAGGAGCACCTGAATCCTGTGACCTGTTCCTGTGCATGCGTGACGCCGAGTGTTGAGGAGGAAGGAGGACTGACATGGAATCATAGAGTTGTATAAGAGACCCCAGAGGTCATCTGGACCAACCCCATTCTTCCATAGGGGAACACACAATCAAAGCAACCTTGACAGATGGCCATTCAGCTTCTGCTTAAAAACCTCCAAAGAAGGAGCCTCCATTGCAGTCCAAGGTAGTAGTAGCACATCACTCTGCGAACAGCACTTAAAGGCAGGGCCTTCTGCCTGGTGTTTAGGTGGAGGGCCCTTCCACACAGTCATTAACCCAGAACATCAAGGCAGAATAACCCACAATATCTGCTTTGAACTGGGTTATCTGAGTCCATGCTGCCATCTATCCCAGTTCAAAGTAGATATTGTGGGATTTGACTCAGCTATGTGGAAGGGGCCTGAGTCTCTCTTCCTGCCATTTGGATCCATTGCTCCATCGTGCCTTAGTCTCCAGGGCAGAAGAGAATAAGCTTGCCCCTTCCCCAATGTGAACCCTTCAGATAGATAAACAATAAACATGTATTGTCGAAGGCTTTCTTTGCCGGAATCACTGGGTTGTTGTAGGTTTTCCGGGCTGTATGGCCATGTTCGAGAAGCATTCTCTCCTGACGTTTCGCCTGCATCTGTGGTAAGCATCCTCAGAGGTTGTGAGGTAAACATGGCTCTCCTGTCCCCCTTTCTCTCAGCCTTCTCTTCTCCAAGCCAAACAGACCCGGATCTCTCAGCCGCTCCTCATCGGGCTTGGCTTGGACCATTTTGGCCGCCCTTCTCTGGAGATGACCACTAAGAGCCGCCGCCCTTACAAAAGCCCTGCGCCCGGTGGAGAGGGGGAAAGGGGCTTGGGTGCGGCCGGGGTTCGGTGCGCGCGGGAAGGGCATCCTGACTCGGGGCCGGGGCTGCGGGGGAAATTGGCAACCCGCTCTCGTTCCAGAGCACGAAGCGGCGAGGCGCGCGCGAGTTGCTAGGCGACCCCTGCGGGCTGTGCCTCCCGGGGAGGGGGGGGGGCTCCTGGAGTCGGGGAGGAGGAGGAGGGAGGGGCTGCCGGTGGGCTCTGCTCGGCCTCCTCCTCCTCCTCCTCCCCTCCCTCCCTCCTCGGCCCCGCCCGCGCGCCCGCCCGGCTCGGGTCTCTCTTCCTCGCGCGCTCTCTCCCTCGCGCGCGCGCTCTCTCTCTCTCTCACTCCCTCTGTCTGTCTGACTGCGGCTGCGGGCGGCATCCCTCGCCCAGGAAGGAGAGAGGGAGAGAGAGCCTCCGCGCCACCCTCCGCCGCCGCCATCGCAGCCCTCCCGCCGGGCACCGGGGCAGATGCAGGCCATCAAGTGTGTGGTCGTGGGAGACGGGTAAGGAGCGGGGACCGGGAGGCAGCCAAGGCCGGGCAAGGCAAGGCAAGGCAAGGGCGGGGCCGGAGGGAGAGGAAGGAAAGGAGGAAAGGAAGGAAGGAAGGAGGAAGGAAGGAAGGAAGGAAGGAAGAAGGAAGGAAGGAAGGAAGGAAGGAAGGAAGGAAGAAGGAAGGAGGAAGGAAGGAAGAAAGGAGCTTCCGAAGGGGGGAAGAGTAGCGGTGCTATTCCCTTCGCGGGTGGGGGGGGGGGTCTGGACACACGCCCCTCTCCCCCCCCCCCGCCTGCCTCTATTGTTGCCTCCGCTCGGGCCCGCCCCTCCGGCCCTCCTTGCAGCCCCCTCCCCCCCTCCCTCCCCCCCTCCCCTGCCTGCCCCCCTCCTGTTGCAGTCTCCAAGGAAGGCGTTCGTACCCGTTCTCTCCCCGCTTCGCCTTGCCTTCCTATGCCCCTTCTCTCGGAGCTCTGGCCATGTGGTCGGAAGGCTTTCGAGGAAACCATTCCTCCCTCCCGTTGGCCCTTCACCACCCCCCCCCCCCCCACTCCCTCCGTCGCGACAGATGATCCCAGTCGGGGAGGTGGGGAGCATCCGCCTTGTGTGAACCCGCTTGGGCTATTGTGGGCATTGGGTGGGGAAAAGGAGGAGGAAAGCCCCCCCCTCCGCCCCTGGTTTGGAGGCTCGTTATGCCCAGGGGCATCTGGAGAAGGGAGAGAAGGAAAGCAATGCGATACTGAGACAGAGAGGGAGAGAGAGCGATGTTGTGGAGGATGCCTAGAAGCAGGCAGGCAGCCTTCCTCTTCGAGCGCGGGCCCTTTCCATTGCTGTGCTTCCCTCCCTCCCTTGGTCTCTTAGGAGGATGGAGGAAACAGTGCCTGAAAAAGGGGGGGGGGAGAGAGAGATAGAGAGAGGCGGGTGTTGGAGGCTGGCACGCCTGGCCAGGGAAGGAGAAAGGCTTTACCTTTATTTCGAGCGGGATTCTGCTTTGGAATGAATGAAGGGCCCTTCCACACAGCCCAAATATCCCAGAAGATCAAGGCACAAAATCCCACAATATCTACTTAGAACTGGGTTATCTGTGTGTCCACACTCTGATAATGTGGGATTTTTGATCTTCTGGGATATTTGGGCTGTGTGGAAGGGCCCGTAGCCAAACTGAGTTGGTGTACGAGCTACTGAAGGCAGCTCATGGGGGATCTGAACAGGCTGGGGCTGGAGCAAGAGAGGCCCCTACTCTGAGCACAAACCAAGCCCTCTCCCTTCTCTCTTGTTGTGGTTTCAGCTTGTCCTGTACATGCCTTTCCCCCTTCCTCACCCCTCCTTTTTCTTTCCTCCTACAAAACCCTCCCTTGCCTCCGTCACACTCCTACAATTTCAGGTTTCCAACCCCACAATCACATTGATCTATCTTGTCAAAGTGGTAGTTGAGGGGCCATGGTTAGGATGACTGAGGCAATGGAGGCAAAGCATTTGGGTCGTCAAATAGCCCTCAATGAATGCCATGTGAGAAGGCAGTGCTGGCTTCGCCTGCATTTCCAGGACTGTAATTTCTTAGGGTTTCTGCATTTAGGTATCCAATGATTCCATTGTTGGAGATGAATATAGAATCATATAGAATCTTAGAGTTGGAAGAAGCCTCATGGGCTATCCAGTCCAACCCCCTGCCAAGAAGCAAGAAAATCACACTCAAAGCACCCCCAACAGATGGCTGTCCAGCCTCTGTTTAAAAGTCTCCAAAGAAGGAGCCTCCACCACACTCCGGGGCAGAGAGTTCCACTGCTGAACAGGTCTCGCAGTCAGGAAGTTCTTCTTCATGTTCAGGTGGAATTTAAACAATAGCTCCTCTTCCTGCCATTCCTGCACTTGTCTGTTGTGCTGTCATAGGATTCTCAAAAGAATGAGAATCCTTTTCAACCAGTGTGTCCTGGTCCTCAATCAAGGAAGAAATAAGTTAAATTCAGAACCATGTCCACTGTAGTGGCAAAATGCTTCGCCATTAAAGTGGACAGCAATATGAATACATTGTTCAGCATTTGCCCCTCTGAATATGACCCAAAAATTGCTGAGAGTAATTATGAAGTTTGGGGATCCCACTACACCTCTATGCTTTGTTTTACTAGTCTCCTTTGCCAGTAAAATAGGCTGAAGATTTTTTTAATTATTATTTGTTATTTTTGCCTTTTTTCTAGACAAAAGCAGAAGATAACAGGATGTGCAGAAAGTATATGTGCAGGCTTGCAGGATTCATGCAGCCAAATGCATAGCTTTTCCTCCTGAAGAATAGTTCAAACCTTGTGTATATTTTTGGATATTCCTAAACTTGAACTTTAGAAATATCCAAAAAAGACGCAAGGTTTGGACTATTCTTCGGGAGGAAAAGCTATACATTTGATAGTGCCCTAATAGTCTAGTAAATGTTCATGTGTGTTTACAAGTTTGGATAACAGGTGCATTAGAAGAAGCGGCAAAAATTATTCCCAAGAGAAGTCTGTAGTTTGCTGCAGCAAAAACAACAAAAACTGTGGTGGGACCAACCTGTTTGGTTTGGCGTCAGCTTCTGAGGGCTGCACTCACTTGCATTTGATAAAATAGCCTCCATCCTCTGAGAGGGAATGAGTCAAGTCTTTGGAGATGTCACAAAACTCTACGGTGTTTCCTACTCAGAAACAGCAGGGTAGTGGTAAATATTGAATTCCCTGTCCTCATCTGAACAGTCTCTATAGCAACACCCCCCAAGGAGTGTTAAAAACGCAGGCAGCTGTCTTGATCTATTTAAAACAGATCATATCTTGCAGTTTTCACCTCTACCAGGAGCAGGTTTTTTTGTGAAGCAAACGGGCCTTGCCCTCTCAAGGCTAAGCCACTACAAAATTCCCTCTGTGGGTCATGATAAGAATACACCGTAACTGGAAAGATACATTTCTCCTTCAGCTACAATGTGGATTGGAGCTAAAGGCATGGGAAAATGGGGAGTACCAGGTCGAAGGGAGATGATATCATGATATCATAGTCTATTGTAATCATAAAATGCTAGGTCTTTGCCCCTGGGAGCCCTGGATCCATTTCACCACTGCCTAGGAACAATAAATAAAGGCATTAATGGAAGAAGTTTAATTGTGCTGGCAATACAATATGTATATTGGGGGGTGAACAGAGTGTGGCCTGCAGAGTTAGAAACATAGCCTTCAGGCTCTTGATACAACACATAAATGCACGAATACTCCTATAGAATCACAAGAGTTGGAAGAGACCTTGTGGGCCATCCAGGAAACAGAAAAATCACATTCAAAGCAGCCCCAACAGATGGCCATCTAGCTTCTGCTTAAAAGCCTCCAAAGAAGGAGCCTCCATCAGTCTGGGGCAGAGAGTTCCACTGCTGAACAGCTCTCACAGTTAGGAAGTTCCTCCTAATATTCAGCTTGGAATCTCCTTTCTTTCCTGTAGTTTGAAGCCATTGTTCTGCATCCTAGTCTCCTGGACAGCAGAAAAAAAAGCCTGCTCCCTCTTCCAATCACATATTTATATAAGGTCTCTTGTCAGACTTCTCTTCTGCAGGCTAAACATGCCCATAGAAGCTGTACGGAATAGAAGTTTACAGTAAAATAGAACACCTTAAAACTCTAAAGTACAAACCAGAATTAATTTCAGGTTCTATTTTCAACCTAAAGGGGAAAGTGCAGTTTATAGATGTTCACCCCACTGTGCCCAGAAATGTAGGCCTGGATCAGTGAGCTAAGATTTGGCAAAACACAGAGCTTCACCCAATGCCCTCTTTATTCAGGCTTGCCATAAACACAAATGAAATTTACTAGTTAGACTACTAGGTCACACTTAAAGTTCAGACTTAGACACAATCAGGAAGTAGACATGCAAAGACCTAACCTTTAGTCAGGAGCACATTGGTTTTCTTTTTCAAGCAGCAACCTGTTATTTTCTTCTGACCATGCTTTATGGCTCTGCTTCCCTTTTCTCAGGGCTGTGGGGAAGACCTGTCTGTTGATCAGCTACACGACAAATGCCTTCCCCGGAGAGTACATCCCCACTGTGTGAGTATTGCAGGATCGAGGCAGGGGTGCAGGGCTACATAATTGTAGGGCAAGATACCTATGAGGTCTCCATGATTTATGGGATTTCCACACTGAAGTTTTAAGGTTCTGGATATTAAAACATAGGAGTCTGGGGGGGGGGGGGATATCAAATGTAGAATTCCTGCATTGTGGACTACTCTACTCAACTATATGTAAATTCATTTTGAGCAACATATTAAACTTGTATGTCTACTGGGAAATCAAGGTAAACCATTTTTCTCAGTGGGGTGTTCTATACAGAACAAAAGAGACACTACTCATGTAATTACTGGAAGAGATGGTTTATATGGAGACTGCTTGCTGTTTCATACATGAAATTTTGAAAGAGGACTTTTGTGGCTGAAATTAGTTCTATGTTGGATATTATAGCTGGGATGCACTTCATCATCATACTAATATACTTCAGCTAACAAACAAATGTTTGTTGGACTTTACTTCTTTAACAGAAGCCTTGGTATCAGAAGTAGAAAGAACATGGAAATAATTGGGTTAGGTGCCTACATCTCAACAAACATGTTTCAGAAAACTATTATTCAAAACCAACATGCATATGTGAATGAAACGAAACAAGTCAGATAAGCCTTGCATAAGTAAACAAAAACATTTTACATCTTCTATAGACAGCTTGAAATCTTCTCCTAAAATGTATCTCATTTCCATTTTGGTGGAGATATATACAGATCTATGCTTTTCCAGATGCCAGGAGAGCTAGTGAGGCAGACTTTCTTAAACTACCTCATTGCTTCTTAAACTGTGAGTCCTGACCCCAAATGGCATCCCCTTAGCTCAGTGGTTCTCAACCTGGGGTCCTCAGATGTTTTTGGTCTATAACTCCCAGAAATCCCAGCCAGTTTACCAGCTGTTAGGATTTCTGGGAGTTGAAGGCCAAAAACATTTGGGAACTCCAAGTTGAGAACCATTGTCTTAGCTCAATGTTGAGATCAAGAAAAAAAATTGACAACAGGAAAAGGTACCTGAAGGCCACCCACTTACACACATCTGCTAGTTACAATGTGTAGTTTATAATGGACATTGGATAAAATGCTTCACCTATACTTCATAAAAAGGAAAATCAGCCTGTTTAGCATGCCTTGGAAATGCTGATTTTTATCAGTAAATGTTTAATTTTGGTTACCTATTTTATATACCTATATACCTGGGATGGTGTAGAAATTTATCTGGCAGAAAGAGATTGTGAGTGGAAAAAGCTTAAGAAGCCTTGGGCTAATCTACTTTTCTCAGTCAGTTACTGTGCATGTGGGAAGAACGAAGCAAAAAGCGATTCTGGATGCAGCTCTTTACCTTGCCTGTCACATATATGCATACATATCTATAGTAGGATCACTCAGAAAAGAATTCCATTCTGCCTCAGGTCAAGTTTTATTGCAGTCTTTGTTGCTAACATGCTGTTGCAACTCAACACTGAAGGTCTATCTTCATCTAGCCCTACTTCATCATCCTCCCAATGCCAAAGCCAATGCCAAAAAACCCCAAAACCCAAATCCTTCCATGTAAGGCATGAAAAGGGTAGGTTGGGATGAACTTGCATAAAAGGACATTGTCAGACACTTCATTGATTGAGATATGCTTGCATTTATATTGCTGTTGGTCATCGTGGCATGGTGTTGAGGGGATGGGGCAACTTCGGAAGTGGTCTCTGTCAAGAGGAAAGGCTGCCCTGCTGCTTCCTGAGATACTTGGGAGCAAGCAGAGTGATTTTTATGGAGGTTTCTTTCTCTTCTGTCCTTGTTTATTTCTGTTGTCACTGTAAATTGACCCAGAACGTCTGATATCGGCATCATGGAATGTTTCACCAAAACGTTTTTCATTTTTGAAAATGTTCATAAGACTCAGGCTATCTTACATGTTTTAGCCCACCTTTTGTTTAGAGGGCTCCAGGTGTAGAAAAGGGTTGATTTTGAATTTATATTTTAGTGTATGAAAGTGTATGCAATTGTGTAATTTCCAGGGACATGAAGTACTCAACTAGGGCGGCTTCTTCCTGCTTATTTTTTAGCACTGCTTCCCTGCACTCAAATGGAAAGAGAAGAAAGGGCAAAACTCTACACAGCATTTGATGCACCACTGCATCACCCAGCAACACCTGACCCTGCGACCAAAGTCCTTCCTTAATATTTATTCCCATTAACTCCTATTCAATCAATTTCTCTTTCTAAAAACTGAATAAAAGACTGAATAATTTTTTTAATTGGGCTGTGTTAGAAGAGGAAATTGGAAAGAATTTGTGTAGAAGCAGCATAAGCACTGCAATGATATTTTGAATAATTTGATTGACAGTTTGTTTTTAACCACACATAGTCCTGGTGGCAGGACTATGTATGGTGGTGCAGCGGGTTAAGCCACTGAGCTGCTGAACTTGCTAACCGAAAGGTCAGTAGTTTGAATCTGGGGAACAGGGTGAGCTCCTGCTGTTAGCCCCAGCTTCTGCCAACCTAGTAGTTCGAAAACATGCAAATGTGAGTAGATCAATAGGTTATGTGTGCTGACCACATGACCTTGGAGGTGTCTACAGACAATGCCAGCTCTTCGGCTTAGAAATGGAGATGAGCACCACCCCCCAGAGTTGGACACGACTAGACTTAATGTCAGGGGAAAACCTTTACCTTTACTAGTCGTCTTACTTGATATAACAAACATTATTTAAATGTGTTAGGGGCCTAAGTAACTGAAGCATATGTTTCTTCAAACTGGCTCTGACTTATGGATTTTCTTTGCAAGATTTTTTTAGAGGGGATTTGCCATTGTTTTCCTTGGAGGATGAGAAAGTGTAACATGTGCAAGGTCACTCAGTCAGGATTGAAACGAAATAACTTTGAGAATATAGCATGTGCTGGAAGGAGAGCTAATCTGCTGCTGACAGGCATCTTTCCTTCCCTTCCAGCTTTGACAATTATTCTGCCAATGTCATGGTGGATGGAAAGCCAGTTAACCTGGGTCTGTGGGACACAGCAGGACAAGAAGACTATGACAGGCTGCGACCTCTTTCCTATCCACAGACGGTAAGTGCCGAGTACAGAAGGGAAGGATTGGGAGGAAAAATACATTTTGGAGCATTTTCTTAAGATAAAGTTTTCTTCTATTTACTCCCCTTGTTATTCTTAAACACTGTAGTAACAGGTAGGTTTATGTATAAGTCTACAGAATTTCATGATACTGTGATTCCTGGTCTTGTTTTCACTTCTTTTATGGGAAGGCTTTTTATCTTCTTGGTACAATGGAGGACTAGAGGAGACCATATGGATTTCTTCACTTTATTAATAGTTTATTTTTTAAAAATTGGAGCATTTTGCACATTTTTTGTTAACTGAAAAAAAACCCAAAGAAGTGTTTTACAATTTAGTAGTTTGTAGGTCTCTTTCTAAGTGATAAATAAAATTTAGCAAAGTAAATTCAATGTGTGATTTTATGAATGAAAAGTATTTCAAAATATATCTTTAATATATTTGGAAGGGGTCATGGTGGCACAACGGGTTAAACCATTACGCTGCTGAACTTGCTGACCAGAAGGTTGGGAGTTTGAATCTGCGGGATGGGGTGACCTCCTGCTGTTAGCCCTAGCTCCTGCCAAACTAGCAGTTCAAAAACATGCAAATGTGGGCAGACCAATAGCTACCACCTTGGTGAGAAGGTAAACGGCGCTTCATCCAGTCATGCTGGCTACATGACCTCGGAGGTGTCTACAGACAACACAGGCTCTTCGGCTTAGAAATGGAGATAAGCATCATGCCCCCCCCCCCCAAAGCCGGAGATGAAGGGGAAGCCCTTACCTTTATCTGTGTATCCGTGTTCCTTTGTTTTGAGGCATTGAATGTTTGCCTTGTGTCTGTATATGCTAGAATCCACCCTGAGTCCTCTCGAAATAGGGTGGATGTTGTTGTTGTTATCACCATTATCATCATTATATCTAAATGAAATCTGGGCTCCTGTTGAGCTTTTGGATCCGTGATCCTTACGTAGTCCCTAGTTTAAGGGTTATATAGGGACCATGAACATCCCCTGTTCTTCACTTTCTGGGAAGGGGCTACTGCAATCAATGGGGGTCTATTCTCCTCTCATTTGGAAGCAGCTGGGTGACAGTTCCAACCTCCTCAGGTGAACAATCTTTGTCATGAGGGGGAATTGTGACAGGTATATCCCTTCTCCTGGTTCTCACTGTCGCACTGGAGAGAGCTCATGGGAGGGTCAGCTGGTTCCCAATCAATGGAAAGAAATCCCCATCAAGCACAACAGCTACTTTCCAGTAACAAGGATTGGGAGGATCTGGATAGGATTCATAGCACCCTAATTATGGTGCTTATGGATACAAAAATCCCCAACAAGGATTTCAGCCATATTTTTATGTTAAACTAAGTAGACTGCAAAAGTAGGCTTGGTCTACAAAAGCTTATGCTACCAGCTTTATTTTCTTTTTGTTTCTAAAATGTTACAGTATCTCTTTGCAGAAGTTACACATAATGCATTTCATGTTCTCAAAGTAGCAATGTGACTTTCAATCTGTATACACGTTGCTGTGCAAGTGGAGATAAAATTGGAGTCAAAATTCTGCATTCTACTTGCTGAACATAACATCTTGGAAAACATACTTCTAAGAGCCTTCAGTGCCATTAATTGTGCAATGCAGCTTCTCATTAATGGAATGCCATTGTATTTTAATGCTAAGACCATCTCTCTTAACAGAAAAAAATGGGAAGAAATATTTTCTGTGATGTGCAAGTGTAACTGGAAGCTATTCCTATCTATGCATCTTTGGGGTTTTGTAGACTGTCTTCTTCAGTGCATTTTATAGTGAACTATGAGTAATCATGACAAAAATGTTCATCCAAATTAAAATAAAGCCTATATGTTTCAGGAAATCATATATTTTGGCCTAGAGGTTGGGTTAGAGCAGTGGCTTGCAGCCTTTGGTCTCCAAATATTTTGGACTTCAATTCCCACAGTTCCTCACATTTAGTAAGCTAGCTGGGATTTCTGGGAGCTGAAGTCTATAACAACTCAATGAAGAGCCAAAGGTTCTGTAACAACTCAATGAAGAGCCAAACTACTGGGTTAGAGAGTGAATAGAACAGGGACACAAAGTGCAATTGCCCGGTTTGGGGGAGGAGGACTAAAAGTCTGCATCTGCTGAAGAGGGTTTGCTACCTGATTAATTCATGCAAATACTCTCCTCTGCTCAGGATGTGTTCCTGATCTGCTTCTCACTGGTGAGCCCAGCTTCCTTTGAAAATGTCCGAGCCAAGGTAATATGCCTCTCATATCTCATACCTGTATTTACTCAAGTCTAATCCGCCATCAAATCTAATGCACACAAATTTCAAAACCCTGAAACAAAAAAAGCATTTGCTGGTGAATGTAATGTTTTGTAATTTGGCAATTACAGTTGCTGCCTGCTTATAATTCCTTCTTTACAAACAAAAGTGTTGGAACACCAAATCTTTCAGCAATGGAAAAGATCTTGACATGCATCGATGCTGTAGAATGGATCTACTTTAACTGCCCTGGCTCAATGCTTTGAGGTCACAGGGGCTATCGTTTTAGGATTATGGGGGCTGCCAAAGAATGCTGATACCTCAACCAAACTGCAAATCCCGGCATTGAACCCTGGCAATTAAATTAGAGATTACTTCCTTCAAATAGGAGTTCCAGGTGCTCCTGAAGTAGCTTCTCTTTTTGCTTTGGCACAGCACTAAGATTACCATATTACACTAATGTAATGCGTACTCTAATTTTGGCAAGGTAATTTTGCCAAAAAAGGTGAGCATTAAATTCAGGTTAATACAACAATTTATATTCATTAAATATGTACTTCAAAGACTCCTACATGGCTTATCTTTCATTATCCAAATGAATATTCGGGTGAGTTCTGAGCAACAAATCCACTCCTTGTGTTTGTTTCCTTATTTTTAGCAGCCTATGAGCTTCACACTGCAGTGCTCAGGTGCAACCACAAGAGGGCAGTATCTAGACAGAAATGCGACCTCAGAGGGAGGGTTAAGAGTTGCCTGCAGAGATAGTTAAGGAGTCCCTTAAGGGCCTGCCCCCTGGTATTCGAAGGCTAGAGCATCAGTAGGGAGACCCTTCCGGAGCCTCTCAGAGGGCCAGAGCATTGCCATGTTCTATTGGAGGGCTGCTTAGAAGGCCAGGCAAAAGTGGAAGTGAACTGGAGAAAAGAGGCAGTCCCTTTGCCCCAGCTACTGTCTTTTGGGGCGAGGGAATAACAAAGGTGTGTCAGTGGCAGCCTCTAAGGGTGTGGTGAGGCTAGCTGCCAGGAGGCGCCATCCATCATTCTGGAAGTGTGGGACATGGAGGAGGGCAAAGTAGGCAGCCCTTGCCTGGTTGAAGCCCTGCTTCTAAATGGGATTGAGCAGGAGGTGTCCGATTGAGCCCATGCTTGGCCCTGGGTTCAAAGCCTGGCATGTAGTACTTTGAGCAATCCAAGGCCAACCCCCATGCTTCTTGACCACTGGAATTTTAAAATGATCTGAAATATTGAAGCCATGGGAAAATACTGTATATTTCTTATGTATGTTAATAGTCAAAACAAACATTTTCATGAAAACTGCAATGTATATAAAAAACAATGAAAACATGTAGGTAGGTATGCGTGTATTTTAAAGGCTTTTACATGGCTTGATGGATCTCGACCAAACCTGGTACACATACGCTTCATTATGAAAACTAAAAAACTTTTGGTGTCACAACCCAATCACAAAAATGAGATCTGCTTGGTGGTCTGCCTACACATCAGGAAATCGTATGTTGAAAAACATTAAAATTGAATAGCCAACAAAACAAAGTTGTGGCTATTTTTCTTTACCTCTCCATTTGGACCATTCAAAAATCATAAGGCCAACAATAAGTATTTCTAATAATTAGCATTCACAATTACATTCCTGGGCAACATTGTGTGTATATGCTAGTATTAATAATATTCCTTAACAGTGGGGGAAATTGATTATGCTGGGATGCTTCTTGTTAGTAACAGCTTTGCTACACATAAGCAGAGGGTGTCCTCTTACTCCTGGACCAGAGTTGATGAGTGATATCTTGAAAAGAGGATTAAGAGTAACAAAAGTCAGTAAGCAGCATTCAAAAAGTCATATTAGCCCCCCTTTCTCTGAAGTTTCTTGGCCTTGGTCAAGCAGAGAGCCAAAAATAGCCATTTGGCTCCACTACTGTTTTCTTTCTATTATGCTAACTCCCAAAGTCAACAGTCAAATGGATTAATTCCCATGCTTCTCTTATTTTCAGTGGTATCCAGAAGTCAGACATCACTGCCCCAATACACCAATCATCCTTGTGGGCACCAAGCTGGACCTGAGAGATGACAAGGACACCATCGAAAGGCTGCGGGACAAAAAGTTGGCTCCCATTACATACCCCCAAGGCCTAGCCATGGCTAGAGAGATTGGTGAGTCCTGGAAATAAGAGGAGAGGGCAACTTATGGTCCTTTGGATGTTGCTGGGATGTAACTTCCGTCAGTCCTTAACACTGGATGTGTGAGCAAGGGCTGATGGGAGTTTCAGTTCAACAGGAACCATCATTTGGAAAGTGTGTGTGTGTGATTGATTTTCACAGGGCAAACAGACTCAGCCTGTGCTCTGCAGCTACAAGAACAGAATGCTGTGATTTCTATCTTTTCCTTATCATAACTAGTATCATGTGTGCTTTTTTTGGAAAGCAACCAATACATTTCCAAGCACTGATAATGGCAGGGAGTAGAGAGTAACACATTGAGTAATTCCTGCCATCTCCTCTTAATCCCCACAGGCTCCGTAAAATACCTAGAATGCTCTGCCCTTACACAGCGAGGCCTCAAGACCGTCTTCGACGAAGCCATCCGTGCCGTGCTCTGCCCCCCACCTGTAAAGAAGCCTGGCAAAAAGTGCACTGTTTTCTGAGGGCACCTGAGTTTAGCACATTGTGGTTGCCTCGCTCTTCTTGGCACACAAGGAAGGAGCGTTCGCTGGGCGGTCCTGCAGAGGGAGTGGGGCAGGGCCCTTCATCATGTACGAAGTCAGTGTTTTTTTAAATGTCTCTTTGATTTAACGTCTGTGTCGATGTAAAAAGAGCCGCATGGGAGGAAGGAGGAGCTAGGTGCCATCCCACCCTCCAGGGCAGAGCGATGTCTGTGTGTGAGTTGGAGGGAGCGTGCTCCCTGACTCTGTGCTGGGGAAGGAGTGCATGACCAGCCCTTTCCTAACTTAACTTCTATTGGTGCTAGAGCTTTGTGGTGGGAGCAGAGTACGAAATCACAAAAGACAAATGGGACACAGGCTGAAGAACTAGCCATGGGTACTTTATTGTGCAAGACGCTAGCTTACACTCGAGAACTGGGTCAGAGCAGCTTCTGTGCCATCCAAAGCTGCCTTTGCTTTTCAGGGCACCACCTGCCCCACTTGCTGCTTCCGAGCTGGTTTTATTTGACTGCCAGCTCTCCCCAAAAGAGGGAAAGAGCAGGGAGGTCTCTTTACCACGTCCAGCCTGGCACAACAAAACTGCCTGGAAGGGCCTTTCTGTAAGATGTTTGAAAAGAAAAACTGGGGAAGGCCCAGGTACAAAGCTGATGGCCAGCCCCTTCCTTTTGTCAGGTATGATGGACGGGGGATGGAGCACGGAGAGCTTTGCAGGGGTCGGGATGGAGATGGGTCGGATTTTTAAATCATTGTGTAGCGTGATGAGCCGAACACCTCTTATTTTATACAATAAACATTTCTCCATAAGTAAGGCAGCGTAGTTTGTTTACAATCGGCAGCAGAAGGCAGGCATGCTTTCTCGTCTTTACTCTCTTAATGTGGACACAAGGAACGGAGCCTTCCAATTGGACCTCTTTCTTGAAAGCAGCATTTCTACTACTTCTAGGATGAGCAGACATGATGAATCACGCGGAGGGGAATGGCCTTCCAAGGGAGAGATGCCAATACCATATTTCAACAAGCAAGGAATCCCCCGTCCACGGGCAGCATGACTCCAGTTGTCATGGCACTCTGGTCGCTCAGCAGGAAAAGGATGCTATTCACCACATCATCCACCTCTGCAACAACAGGCACACACACCAAGGGCAGCTGAAAGGGTGTTTGGAGGCAAATGTAGCAGCTGTTTCTTCTAGGCCTTCTACAATTGGAAAGAAGCTCCCCAAAATCTTGAGTGTCCTTCCCATTTTTTGCCCTCCCCAACTAGTTCTGCCCCCTTCTTGCAGGAATCCTCTCTTTGGCAGCTGTCTGCTGTCAGCCCACAGTGATAGGGCCTCAAAGGGAAAGCATGTGAGATTGTGTTATTTAAGGCTTTCATAGTTGGAATCACTGGGTTGCTGTGAGTTTTCTGGGCTGTATGGCCACGTTCCAGAAGCATTTCTCTCCTGACATTTCGCACACATCTATGGCAGGCATCCTCAGAGGTTGAGGGTTCTGTTAAAAACTAGGCAAGTGGGGTTTATATATCTGGACTGTCCAAGGTGGGAGTGAGACCTCTTGTCTGCTTGAGGCAAGTGTGAATGTTGCAATTGGCCGCCTTTATTCGCCTTTAATGGCCTTGCAGCTTCAAAGCCTGACTGGTTGCTGCCTGGGGGATCCTTTGTTGGGTGGTGTTAGCTGGCCCTGATTGATTTTTGTCTGAAATTCCCTTGTTTTTGAAATGCTAATCAAGGTGACTAATTGCAACATTTACACCTGCCTCAAGCAGGCAAGAGTTCTTTCTCCCACCCTGGACCTTCCACATATATATAAACCTCACTTGCCTAGTTTCCAACAGACCCCTCAACCTCTGAGGATGCCTGCTATCGATGTGGGCAAAACGTCAGGAGAAAATGGCCATGCAGCTCAGAAAACTTACAGCAACCCACTCATGTGAGATTATTTTCCACGTCAAGATTTTCACAATCAATGTGATTTTTCATTATTGTCAGTGCTTTCTTACAATTCCCTATATGAGTGCTGAGGTTACACAGCACTTGCAGGAGAACTGTGTACACTGCACACATGAATATTGCATATTAAACCTTTTATCATGACAGAGGAGAAGAGGGAGCAGCTGCCATTAATGGAAAAAGAGGGAGAAGACTTCTATGTAGTCCCTTTAACCCCAACACCAAAGGTAGAGCAGCTTTTGCCAGGAAGCAGAGCTCCAAATTACCTGCAAATCTTCCCAATGGGATGCGGCTAATCATTGGTCTAGCTTTCTCAGGGTCAGTCCAGTTGAGGCGTCCCATGTCAGTCATGACAACAGTGGGGTTCACACTGTTTACCCGAATCTTGGAAAAATACAGAGCAGTAGAACATGGACACAGCTCTAGGCAATGCATGGCAGAAGATCATTGCTCTGGCTTCATCATTCCCTCCATATGAATTGTGGTTTGTGAACCAGGTAAGAATTTTACACTCCAGTAGAATCATAGGAATATTTGCAGTTCTGATTCACTCAACCCGGGAGGAGAATGCCACGCCAGGCTGCTTCTGTGGCATTCATTAAGTAGTGAATCTGGCCCGCCAAATAGTTTATAAATACCATCATTGGATATCTTACTGTTGGGTTGTTGGAAATTACAGTCCAACATGATATGACATGAAGAACCATACATTCTCCACTCTGACCAAAAGGGAGCTGGGTGTTATGTTTCATTCATAATTACATTTTATTTGCCCTTGTAATTGACCAGGGAGCAGCAGGATATGCTATTTTTGGCCATAGTAAAGGTAAAGGCTTCCCCTTGATATTAAGTCTAGTCATGTCCGACTTGGGGAGGGGTGTGTGCTCATCTCAATTTCTAAGCTAAATAACCAGCGTTGTCCATAGACCCCTCCAAGGTCATGTGGCTGGCATGACTGCATGGAGTGCCGTTACCTTCCTGAAGTGGTACCTATTGATCTACTCATATTTGCATATTTTCAACCTGCTAGGTTGGGAGGAGCTGGGCTAACAGCGGGAGCACACCCTGCTCCCAGGATTCTAACTGCTGACCTTTGGGTCAGCAAGTTCAGCAGCTCAGCAGTTTAACTCCCTGTGCCACCAGGGGTCCCTTTTTGGCCATGCCCACCACAAATTACTGTACTTATCTCCCACAGGCACATAATCACTTCTAGCTACCATTTCACACAATTTCCAATTGCTATGGGCCTTATCTACACTGCCACATAATCCAGTTTGGATTATATGGCCAGTGTATGCATGTAATGCAGTTAAAGTGCATTATATGTGTGTACACTGACCACATAACAAAGTTGCAAACTGGATTATATGGCAGTGTAAATGGGGCCTTGGGCTTATTTTCCCCCACCATATTGGTGTTGAGGATGGTGTGTACAAGCAAAGACAATGTTTGCATGTGGCTGAAGCCTGTTTTAAAACATGAGTTCAGAGTTTAAAAAAAAAAAGATATTTGGAGGCACCACTCCCTCTGCCCCCTAAAAAGCAGGCCCTTTGTGCTCCAAGCAGCTACCTTCTAATTCACAAACTTTGGGTTCTTACCCCATAGGGACCCAGTTCCAGAGCCATAGATTTTGTCAGCATGTCCAAGGCACTCTTGGTTGCACCTTCAATAAAGCAAGGCATTTTGCGTATTAGGTTACTGCCTTGTACTCCTTTCCCTATCCTTCAGTCTCCCATTCACATCTGCCACCATCACAAAGAAGTCTGGCTTGAGGAAAGGCTTTCAGTAGAAAGACAGCCAGAATCTTGCAGTTTATAAGACTCACAGTAAACGGTATGATCCTTCAGAGCCCGGTGAGAGGCCTGGCTTGATACATTCACAATGGCACCACGCGCTCCCCTGGCAATCATCTTCTGAGCAATGATCTGAAATACGGGATAACAGAGACAGGAGGAATTGAAGCTTGAGGTTCAAGCTGGGATGCCAGCATCATATTTTCAAGGCATTACATATTAGTTAAGCTGAACACAGTGTTAACTTCTGCACAGCGATTATGAAGATTTGAAATGTAAGTGCTACTTCCGTAAGTGCTCTTAGAGGTCAAAATATGGACCTAGGAGAGACATCAAATATATGGCCTTCCAGATGAACTACTATTTCCATCACCTCTCCCCACTGGCTATAATGGTCAGGACTGACAGGAGCTACAGCCAATGACCTCTGGAGGGCGACTCCTGCCTTGATGGGTACTTCTTGATATGTTGTGTTGGCGAAGGCTTTCATGGCCATAATCACTGGGTTGCTGTGAGTTTTCCGTGTTGTATGGCCATGGTCCACAGCATTCTGTCCTGATGTTTTGACTTTGAAGCTGCCAGGCCATTAAATGCTAATCAAGGTGGCCAATTGCAAAATTCACACTTGCCTCAAGCAGACAAGAGTTCTTTCTCCCACCCTGGACATTCCACAGATATATCACTTGCCTAGTTTCTAACAGACCTCACAACCTCTGAAGATGCTTGCCATAGATGTGGGCAAAATAGCAGAAGAGAATGCTTCTGGAACATGGCCATACAGCCCGGAAAACTCACAGCAACTTCTTGCTCCATTCCTTGGTGTTGCTCATGAGCGAACACCCAACACCATGCGGATTCCTTCTCACCTGGGAAACTTGCAGCACAGCCCGAAGGTTGACATCGAAAGACCTATATAAAATCAGTGTCAAAACTAAGTATATTGAATAATGTTAGCAACAACCATTTGGGCGGGCCTGTGCCACCCTCCAAATGCAGCAACAATGGCATTACTTTGCAATTAATCCCTGGGCACGCTAACCATACTCAACAGCTTGCCTATCATGGTAATTATTAAGCAATTTAAAAAACCCACTCCTCCCCCACTGGCACGTGAGCCAACTTTGGCAGAGTGAGATTAAAATTTAAACACAGATCCAGGGCAAAGGTTTCATCGCCTTTCTCTGTCGTGAAGGCATGCAAAAGGCCTCAAGGACAGGGGATCAGTGTCCGGCATCCAGTTAGTGGCATAGTAAAGATAAAGGTGTCCCCTTGATATTAAATCTAGTTGTGTCCAACTCTGGGGGGTGATGCTCCATCTAAGCCAAAGAGCCGGCATTGCTGGTAGATGTCTCCAAGGTCATGTGGTCAGCATGACTGCATGGAGCACCATTACCTTCCCACAGAAGCAAGTGGTACCTATTGATTTACTCCCATCTGCTAGGTTGGCAGAAGCTTGGTCTAACAATGGGAGCTCACCCTGCTCCCTGGATTTGAACTGCCGACCTTTCAGTCAGCAAGTTCAGCAGCAGTTTAACCCACTGCGCCACCAGGGGCTCTGTTAGGGACATACACAGTCTTAATTACAGCAGTGTTTTTAAAATACTGTAATTATTCAGGTTCATATTTTCTGCCGCTTGCCAGAACAACTAAATTTACCATTTAGCCATTGTGGCCCACCCCCAGCTGTTTTATACACCAGAGGGATGTCTGGATATTACAGTCAGACACTCGTCCAACGCTCCCTGCTCTCCATCAGCTGCAACAGAATGACCACGGTGGACAAAGACGTTAAGGTACCCCATACAAGCTCTTGGTCATTATCTGGCAGCTTGTAATTCAAAGTTACTTCTTCTGGCTATCTAGTACTGACCAGTTACACGCACACCCATGACACACACACTTTCCAGTATATGCCAGTCATAATTTACCTGTCATAGGCCTCCTTGGTTACCTGGAGGAATGGCTGCAGCACGGCCACAGCAGCATTATTCACCAGCAAGTCAATATCCTCCACTTGACTCAGTGCTGCCTCGGTGGCATCCCAGTCCCCAAGGTCTACACAAAGCGTCTGTATGCCAGGACACTGAAAGCCAAACAGAGAAATCACATGAAAAACCAAGGAAAGGCTAGAAAAATGGCTGCTTTTCAGGTTCCAGTTCATTCAAAGCATATGGATAAAGCCTAAGGACAAAGTTCCAGGTGGCAAGTTAATGGCTCCTACAGGGAACTGGCACCTCGTTGTCAGCTTTGCCAGAGTATCTTAGCAACCTGAAAGGGTTCCCAAAAAGTATTTGTGTCTATTGCAGCATGAAAAGGATGAAGGGGAAGGGAAGAAATACAGCACCACTTTCGGGCAATTTTTTAAAATAATTTTTTGCATTCACATTCATGGACTTGAATCCCATTTTGTTGCAGTGCAGAGTGATAACACAGGGCCCTTCCACACAGCCATATAACCCAGAGTATCAAGGAATAAGCCCCCCTGGTGGCGCAGTGGGTTAAACCACTCAGCTGCTGAACTTGGTGGTTCTAATTCGGGGGGTGGGGGGTGGAGTGTGTTCCCGCTGTTTGCCACAGCTTCTGCCAACCTAGCAATTTGAAAACATGCAAATGTGAGTAGATCAATAAGTACAGTTTCTGTGGGAAGGTAACAACAATTCCTGCAGTCATTCTGGCTACATGACCTTGGAGTTGTCTACGGACAACGCTGGCTCTTCCGCTTATAAATGTAGATGAGCACCATATCAAGGCAGATAATCCAACTTTGAAGTGGGTTATCTGAGTCCACACTGCCATATATTGCAGTATAAAGCAGATAATGTGGGGTTTTATTCAGCTGTGTGGGAGGAGCCACAGTCCAACAACAACAAAATGTCTTGTTCCTGGGGGTTATCTGCAGTGATGCTTCAGAAAATTGTATGAGGTAGATGTCATCAGCTCTAGTTTCTTAGGCATGGTTATGGTTTTCTATGGGTGAGCAGATGGGGATTCATAGACTGCATATGTTCTGCATCTCAGCAAGTTTTTTCTGTATCAAAAGTGACTAGAGAAACTGCAAGTCACTTCTGGTGTGAGAGAATTGGCTGTCTGCAAGGACGTTGCTCAGGGGACGATCAGATGTTTTGATGTTTTGCCATCCTTGTGAGAGGCTTTTCTCATGAACCTGCATGGAGAGCTGATGCTGACAAGGGGAGCTCAACCCACTTTCCTTGGTTTCAAACCACCAATCCTGCCAGCACAATGGTTTAACCCAGTGGTTCTCAACCTGTGGGTCCCCAGATGTTTTGGCCAACAACTCCCAGAAATCCTAGCCAGCTTACCAGCTGTTAGGATTTCTAGGGGTGTTGAAGACGAAAACATTTGGGGACCCACAGGTTGAGAACCACTGGTTTAACCCATTGCGCTACAGGGGGCTCCTATATCTCAGCAACTAGAGCTGACAGGAGGAAACTGGTGCCAATGTTTAGAATCAGCAGGTGAAACAGACCCAGGAACTGGTCTAACATTGGAGGCACCACTGGTGTGTTGGCAAGTAATCAATGCCCAGGTATAATATTTATTATTATTTATTTATTTACAGTATTTATATTCCACCCTTCTCACCCCAGAGGGGACTCAGGGCTGATTACAATACACATATACATGGCAAACATTCAATGCCCTAGGCATACAACATATAGACAGTCACGGAGGCAATTTAAATTGACGTTGTGGTTCTGGGACCAGGCTTTTGGACAACAGACATAGATAGCACTTTGGACATGGAATTGGATATGGAATTGACTGGAATGATGTTACGGCTATTAATACTGTTTTTTACTGTTTTAATGAATGTTTTACTTATTGTTTTAATTGTTATTATATTGCTGTGCTATATGTAATGGTATCGAATTGCTGCCAAATGTAAGACATCCTGAGTCCCCCTTCGGGGTTGAGAAGGAATAGGATAGAAATATCAGAAATAAATAGTCAGTCAGTCAGTAGCCTTTATTTCAGTCAACAAACCATTGGCTAAGTCAAGTGAAAGTAGAATGATGTAATACAACATTTAAGTAATTAATAACATCACATTTGGCTTATGATTAATGAAAACAAACAAGTATCACCATTTGCTATCGGTTGAATGACTGTCTTTATAATCTAAAACAGAAACTGATTGCCAATTAATAATAAGTCTCCCGAGTACTCTTTGTTACACTCTTAGCGTTTACAGGTGAAATAAATAAACATTCCAGCTTTTCTGGCTTCATGAGGGCATGCTCGATTCCAGCCACAGGGGGAGCTGTCACTTTACCGTCCACTTGTGACACTGAGTCCTTTGATGGAGTGCGTCCTCATTCTTACGCACGCCGCCGGAAGGTTTTATGGCGTCGTAAATTAGTTAAATTAGCTTCCCGGCATAAAGCGGTACCTAAATTTCTCACTTGACAGATGCAACTGTCTTTCAGGCTGCATAGGTCAACAGCAAGCTAGACTATTAATAGTCGGGAGCTCACTCCGACCCAGGCTGGCTTCTTACTCATGACCTCTCAGTCAGTAGTGATTTAATGCAGCTGGCTACTAACTAGCAGTGCCACAGCCCGGTCCATGGAGGGATCCCTGGGCAGATATTATCACACTTGGGCCTTCCCTCCAGGTGTTTTGGACATCCACAATTCCGAACCGCCTACTGAATTGTGGGAGTTGATGTCCAAAACACCTGTAGGGAGGGTCCAAGTGTGCTCATGCCTGTTGTACACTAATGCTGTGGCCTTGTGGGGGGTGATGGAGTTGGAGTGTGTGCTTGTCCCTCCCTCCCTCTCTCCCTGAGGCGGTACCTCCTCCTTGAGGCCTTCGAGGTGGGCCTGGGTCCGGCTGAGGGCGACCACTCGGGCTCCCTTTCGGCTCAGCGCCAGCGCCAGTGCCCGGCCGATCCCTGCAAAAGGGGCAAAGTCAAAGGCGGATTCAGCTGGAGGGGGGCGGGGGCGGGACGCCAAGCCCCCTCCCTCTCTACCTTTGCCCGCCCCGGTCACCAGCACCCGGCGCCCCGAGAAGCCCTCCATCTCCTTCGGCGGCGGAGTCCTGAGGGAAAGAGAGAGGCCGCCTCCCTTTCAATGCCTGCCTCGCCCCCCCTTCCTGCCTCCCTTAAAATGGTGGCCCTCCAGCAAAGAGGAGGGAAGGGGCGGTGCCTTGTCGCCTCAGGCCTCTCCCTTCCCTTGCGAGTAGGCGCCTAGTTCTGTTGGCTAGGCCCGGTTCATACATTTGCAGCAGGCATGGGCAAAGTTGGGCTCTCCCTCCAGGAGTTTTGGACTTCAACTCCCATCATTCCTAACAGCCTCAGGCCCTTTCCCTTTCCCCCTCAGCCTGGTGAAGGAAGTTTGATTGGATTAAGGCAGCATTTCTCAATCTGGGGGTCAGGACCCCGGGGGGGGGGGGGGGGGGGGAAGGTCACAAGGGGATATCAGAAGGGTCACCAGATATCACCAGAAAACACAATGTTTCCTGTTGGTCAAGTTTGGCCCAATTCTATTGTTGGTGGGGTTCAGAATGCTCTTTGGTTGTAGGTGAACTATAAATCCCAGCAACTACAGCTCTCAAATGTCAATGAAGGTCTAGATCCTTCATTGTTTGAGTCTATAGGGCTCTCTGGGTGAAGGTGAACTACAACTCCAAAACTCAAGGTCAATGCCCACCGTATTTTCTGTTGGTCATGGGAGTCCTATGTGCCAAGTTTGGTTCAATTCCATTGTTGGTGGAGTTCAGAATGCTCTTTGATTGTAGGTGAACTATGAATCCCAGCAACTATAACTCCCAAATGACAAAATCCTTTTTTTGAGTTATGGTCACTCCTTGGGATAGTAGGTGTCTTGTGGTCAAATTTGGTGACAATTCATCCAACGGATTTTGAGTTATGATGTCACTCAAAACGAACAGAGCATTTTTATATAGATAGATGGGCACGGTGATTCACAGTTCCTGGATATCATAGATGTGGATCCCAAATCCTTGGAGTGTTCATTGTTATTGTAAGCAACCTGCCTCCTCAGGAAGTGCTTGTCGCCTATATTTTCCAGCCACTCCTGAGCATTACATCCTCTTGGCCTACCATTTTTGTTTCATAATATTTACACTGCAGTAGACTTGGTACTTGTGTAGAGTAGTAAGTTGCCCTTAATATGGACTTAGGATGAGTGAGGCTAGGTAGTGTTCCAGAACAGTCCTGTCCCTGTGACATCACTTCTTTGCTGTGCCACAACGAGAATCTCCTTCCAGGGCACCACCACCAGCCTCTCCCTGCCCATGTTGAGACGCAAGCAGCTGGTGCAGGAAGCACAGCTAGCAGAGCAATGTGGCCGATACCAGGACATGGCCGCTGCCATGAGGCAGCTCGTGGCCGAAGGAGGAGAGCCTTTAACCCAGGAAGAGAAGACTCTGCTTTCTAAGGCCTACACCTTCGTAATCCAGGAGCTCTGCTCTTCTTGGCGACGTCTAAAGAACTCAGTGGAACAGGGAGTTGGAAAGGAGAAAGAACATGCTGAAGCCTACCGCGAGACCATAAGAAGGGAATTGGAAGCACAATGCTTGGAGATTCTTGGCCTCCTAGACCATGGACTCCTAAAGCACTGCCATGAAACAGATAAGGAAAGCCGGGCCTTTTATCTGAAGATGAAAGGAGATAACTACCGCTACTTGGCAGAGGTGGCTCAGTCTGACACCAAGGAGATGCTGGTGAAGTCTGCAGTGCAAGCCTATGAAGAGGCTCAGGAAATCAGTGAATGGCACCTGGAACCAACTCATCCACTGGCCCTGGCTGTGGCTCTGAATCACTCAGTCCTCCATTATGAGGTTCTCAACAATGCTGAAAAAGCCACAAAACTAGCCAAGGCTGCTTTTGATAAGGCCATTGCTGGGCTGGAGACCCTCAGCCTTGAGTTTTACAAGGAATCCACAGTCATCATGCAGCGCCTGAGGGACTACATTGTGCAGTGGACCGGTGACCAACATGAGGAAGTGGAGAGCAACAGGGGAGAGGTTGAAAACGAATAGCGGGAGTGCACAGAATCATCCTCAAAGGAGCTATATGCTCCAACAAGTTAGCAGTTACACAGATCTCATTAGCACTTGCTTTACTGTCATTCTGGGACCAAATCAATTCCTTATGTGACTAATGTGGGCACAGGTAACTCTAACTTCACAGCAGAAATAAAAGCCCATTCCTGAATTATTTTCATTGTGTTGCTGTAAACACTGCAATCTTACAGGATGTCATGCAGTGCTAGAGACACCGAGAAAGGCATATATCAGATAAAAGTTAGGCAATAGTTAGAATTGGCAGATGGTCAGATTATGTGGTCACCAGCGTCTTTGTTGTACGCATTTTTCACTATGTAACTTCTGTGGAAAGCATTACAAAGGCAAACTACATTCAGCTGTAACTTAAGTAGCTGATGCTGTAGTGACTCAACATCTGTAAAAAGAATATCTGCGCCAAAGTTAATGACGATTTCTAAAAGAATTACTGTAATAGATCAATTCTCTTACCACACTGTAAAGTGGATATGTCACTGCTCAAGCCATCAAATGTTTCTAAATGTTCATTACTCCCCATTAAATATTAAATAGGTGTAAATCACTGTACAGTCAGCATTTCGGTATTTTCAAATACAGTCTTACATTTTAGACAGAGACATTACTAATAGAATGTTTTTCATAATTCCCTGTCTTAAACAAGGATGCACGTATACCAACAGTGCATTGAATGACATCTGCTAAGTAGGAAAAATAACTAGCATTGAATTCGTTTATAGAATCAAGAAGATTAAGAGTTGTACAACTGTAGTTGCAAATATCATTTGTTCTGTTATTCTGTAATGCTATTACTTAGCACTTTTTGTGCCTCAATTCTTAGACCTTTGCTGTCACTAAAGCAGACTATATCCTCCTGAACCTCAAATCTACTTTTGTCATTAAAAGTAGATTTAGAAACAAAAGTTTAGAAACAATCCTGAAGAAACTGGGTTCACACTGTTGTGTATGTGTGCATACAGATAAAAGAATGACATACTTCTACAAATATTTATTTCTGAAAAAGCAATAGTAACATAACTGAGAATGCTCCAGCATTCATCTATGGCAGCAGAGGCTGAAACACTCTAAATAACACAAACCAATAGTCCAAAACTTTATTTTTCATCAGTGCTCTGCACTGACAAAACTCTGCAATAGTATGTGCCAAGGAACCTGATTATTGTATTTAGAATTAAGTATTAAATTGTGTGTGAAATTTATTGGCATGATTTTGCCAAACTTATATTTTTACTGATAATTTGTTTTTTTGGTATAAGAAGAGGTGAGAAAGAGCAAGAAGAAACTGGGGGTACATATAGGGAAGAGGTACATAACTGAATGGGATGGGATGGTGGTGGCAGATATTCAAAAGAAGAAACAATTGCATAAGAAAAGCTACTTAACTACTGACAGCAAGACATCCCCCACCCCTTGAAATAAATACATGCATGTTTTCCAGCATCTTCTGTTATCAGAGTTCTAAAATGGGAATATTCTGAGATTGAAAATTTGATATAAAACAAGAATGAAAAGTAGGCCATGCCAGAGTTGTATATCCCTGTTTTCCTGATCATTTTTGAAATTAAAGCATACAGCAACTACAAGTCTCTTGATAGACAGATGCTGTAGTATATGCAGCTGCTATCATGGGGTGCAAAATGAATTGTATCACTTTAGGAACCATAATCATAGCTGTTACTTGGGGCTTACAATATTCCAGCACATCTGGTCATCATGTTCCCTAGCAATGTACTATGTCCAAAAGCTCCAAACATTTAAGGCCGTGCTCTAGTTATAACTTCTTCTTAGTGAAGGGATTGGTGTGATACTTTTTCAGCAAGAAGGCTAAAAAAGAGAGTACACTTCATCACTAACAAATATTTAATGTTTTTGAAAATATTTCCCTAAGGTGGTACAGATTGTGTGAAACACTTGCTAACAGTCTGTCAATTTATCAAGGACATGTCACTTCAAGGCTGTGACACACAGTACTACCTTATCGCATTCCCAAATGCAACCCTCTGCTTTTTTGGTGAAATCTGCTATATTTACAAGGAGGGTTACAGCAGTCCTGTGTGATGGCTATGTGTACTGTATTCTTTATTCTGGCGGAAGGTTAGCATGAAATGCTCTCAACTTTGGGCCTCAGAAACACTTTTTATAAAGCTGATTTAGTTAGAAGAGGTAAAAGGCCCTTAAATCTTAACATGTTTCCCTAACTCCTTGAATGCAGAGTTCAGTAATATTATTTCTTCATCTATTCCAGCATATTGATTGTGAGATACACCAGGGACTTGAATTTACTGTCCTTTTGGGAGACAACAATATATTTCAGCATATTGATTATGAGATGCAGCAGGACATGGAGACCAGATAGAGTATAAAAACTAAGATATATACAATGGTCCAGCCAACATATACATGAATGAATCTCAGCTATTTTGAAATAGTGGTCAAGACATGCAGCATCCAAGACAAATCGGTTCGGGACTTAAAACTGAAGGGTTTGTGGACATACACCTTTTAGGAAAGGGATGATATTAAATTCAGGCATAATCAGCTTTTAAAGAGTAATACAACAACAACATACAAAGAAAAGTTCCGTCATAACCTAGAGCACATGTTTTGTGAGTATGTCTTCTGAAGATACTGGTTCATCTCATATTTACTAGCAGAGAAACAGTCCATTTCTTTCAATTACAGTCTCATAAAAAAAACCAGATGCTGAAGCAGAATCAATAGTCTCCTACCATGATTACTTTCTGAAAAAAAGGACTTTTGTCTTCACTTTGGCAGTGTCAAAAGCTTATTTTGTTCCTGGCATACTGAGAGAAAGAAGATTTAGCCCTCCACCATATTACCACAATGCCAGACTGAAAATTCCTGAGTTTTTACGAATGCCATACAGTATGCATTAGGTTTTACCTAATACAAATGACATCTATGACATTTGAAAAAGGAGTGAAAGAAGCTTTCTAAATGGGTTATAGTGTCCTTCAAGACTAAAGACTTTGCAAAATACTATTTTCAATAGTGGCTGATGTGCCCATGGACTTGTGTTCACTTTAATCCTTGTTATTTTCTGACAAGGACAGCTTTAGCTGCTCATTTGAAGAAAGCCCAAAGAGAAGATACATCTGAAACAGCAGGTGTCACTTCACCATTAGAGGAGGGCACCACAGTGTGTCAGGGTAGAGGAGGCAATGGACAGATTTGAATCTGCAAAGAGAAAGAGAAGAAATTGTCACATGATTCAAAACATTTTGATCTACAAGAATACACATCCTGCAATGAAGTCATAATTTTGTAATAAACCCAAGAAAGAAATACTGTTTTCTGCTCTTATGTTTTGATTTTTTGACCTAAAATCTCAAAAGAAAAACCTTCATTTGGAAGATCGGTGTACCTACATACCGAGTTGGATCTTGCTGAACACTGAAAACTTCATCCACAGTGACGACATTACGTTTGTTCTCAGGACCACCATAACTCAAAGTAATCTGGAAAAAATATGTACAAAATCCAAAATTATACTTGGGCCTAAATAAGAAGTGTAGAAAAGGAACACAGGCAAACAGAATAAAGCATATCAATCACATTAGCATGTCTCTGTGCTAGCCAAGTTCCTTTCTCTCCAAAGTGTTTTTGACATCTTCACAATATACTTTTAAGATTTTGATCACAGTTTCATTGTTACACATTTAGAGTATTTATACATTGTTTTATCAATATTTATTATGTTATCCTGGAAATATGCGGTAAAAGGAAGATTAGGTAAGGTAAAGGTTTTCCCCTGACATTAAGTCCAGTCATGACCGACTCTAGGGGTTGGTGCTCATCTCCATTTTTAAGCCGAAGAGCTGGCATTGTCCATAGACACCTCCAAGGTCATGTGGCTGGCATGACTATATGGAATGCCGTTACCTTCCCGCTGGAGCGGTACCTATTGATCTACTCACATTTGCATGTTTTTGAATTGCTAGGTTGGCAGAAACTGGGGCTAACAGTGGGAGCTCACCCCGCTCCCCGGATTTGAACCGGCAACCTTTCAATTATCAAGTTCAGTAGCTCAGTGGTTTAATCCACTGCGCCACCAGGGGCTCCAATGAAAGGAAGATTATTTAACACCAAAGGTTCTGTTTAGGACTGGGTGCATGATAAAAGAGTATCATAGCTGCCATTTTTAAAATTCTATGATACTCTTTTATCATTCCACAACTGCATCTCACATACACTTCTGTTAATTTTCCTCACTTCAAGTATCCCTACTACCCGTTTACTCTTTCACCCCATTTCTGTTCTTAATCCACGTAATAATAATTCCACTTTTATCATCCATTCTGAAGCCAAGCTGTCTCTCAGCTTTTATTTGACAAATCATATTCTAGGACTATTTCATTCAATAAGAGCAACTTGAGTGGACAGCTGTGCCTTTTGTTCAAATACTTGTACTGATTTCACTAGTGTTTCTTTCTCTGGACTCTCCATGGTCATGGTGAACCTTCATGAGATGCATCTGCATGTTTTTATTATATGCCCTAAAACCTTAGGGATAGATTCAACAACAATCTACACAAGCAGATCTATTTTCTGGAATGGCAGAAGGAAGAGGTATTTCCTTGGCTTAAGTTGGATTTGTCCATTTGCCCATACCTGCTTGAGCACAGTGTCACCCCGCAACCGCTGCAGGTTTTCCAGGTGAGAGTGGAACAAAGCGCTGTGCAACAATTTCACTTCCAACAGGCCTTCAATAATATAGCCAATGGTGCAATCATCAGGAAGACGAATCCTTTCAGCAGTGCTAATGAAACTTCCCAGACTGTTCAAAGACAGGGTCAGAGAATGAAATCCTCCTAAATTTTCTTAAGCTCTGGGTTTGGGTGGGAAGCAGTTCCCCAAACTGCACTTACCTAGCCCAGGGACTCATCTTGAGGGCAAGGCCTCTGCTAATGCAGAATCCTGCACCTCCTGTGGCGAACCAGAACTTTGCAGTAGTCTAGCAAGATAAACAGAAAGTGGTCAGAAAAACAAGCATTCCTGTCCTGAATAGCTGACCATGTCACATTTGATCCCAGTAACAGATTAGAATGCATAGAGCTCATATCCAAATGCATTTAATTTGTATCATAATCTGATATAGTATTCAGTTCATGGTAAGCATTTATGGAGATAGCACAAATAAATACCAGTCTTCACCAAAACCTAAGGATACCAGCGAAGAGATAACAAATCCAATTTTATTCTAGTGACAGGGTTTCTTATATGCATTCCCAACTCTTTCTACTGCTGCCTTGAACTGAGTTCTGTGAGACATATAGGTAAGTATGCATAGTTCACAATTCTAATAATATAAAAGGTGCATCATAAAACAGAAAAGTCAGTCAATTAAAATTTGTCTCTAGAGCCACAGAAAGCAGCAGGCTAATAATGAACAGCATTTTAGTTTTGTATCTAAAACAATGCCTACTCAAGAAATAACTGCTTTCTAAACTTAAGAGTGCTAAATATATAACTATATCAACCTAAATTGGTTAGTAAAATGCACAGCACCACACTACAAAAATGCAGGAAGACCTGGTTTGCCCAAGTTGCAATTGCTTGGCTCATGTGTGGCTGGACATCTTGGCTACAAACAAAGGAAAACAGGAATTTCTGATAAAAGTAGGTAAGAATAGAGAGACAGTGCAATAATCTGAGAAAATAACCCAATAAGAGAGTATGCTTACTGAGCCATCATTCCGGACATGGTCTGCTGCTTCAATAGGATGGTCTAGACTTGGTCTCCCTATATACACATCTTGGCTGTGTGAGAAAGCAGAAAGTAGATTCAAGAGATTCTTCACATTCACATAATTATCGTCATCCAGATGACAAAACCACCTGCAGGAAAAGCAGACAAGAGACAGATATAGAAAAGGTTACACAGAATTAACAGTTAGTTCTTTGTGTTTTGTTCTCTTTGGAGGAGATCCTCACTTATTGGAATTACAACAGCAAAACAACAGATCTACTCACTGGGCCAAGAAGAGAAAGACTGAGAAGCTTTTCTCAACTGCCCAGAATTAGATCATATCTTACTTTGCTACACATTTTTTCCAACTCAATGTGATTTCATTTCTTTTATGCTTATGGGGAGAATGATAACTCACTGAAAACCAAGAAAGGAGAATTTCAAGGTAATTAACCATGAAAATAGTGCCTGCTACTTACTTTCGTCCAGATTCAAGAAATTTATCATATTCTACTGACATCTTGCAACACAGAGCTTGTCGGGTATGAACAGCTGAACAGTTGGTATTGATGACATGGTCCCCTGTAAAATAAAGATGACAACTGGAGAATCAATATGATTTGTAAGAAAAAAGTGAAGTGAGACTGAAATATGAGAAAGAAGTATATTCATACTTCATAAGAAGTATATTCATAGCACAGCAGGATCCACCTGTGCATCATATATAGCACAGCAGGATCCACCCGTGCATCAATGGAGCCAAGTTATAAGTAACATGAAATGGAAACACCTAACATCAAGCTTGAAAGACTTTATATGAATCCATGAACTTATATCTCCTTAAGAGTTAAATTTCAGATACCACAAAGCAGGCACACTTGCAAGAATGGGACAAGTGTGAGTGGATGACAGAGTGACTGCATAAGTGTGAAAACTTTGAGTTATGGTTAAAACTTAACATGTTTCAGCAATAACAGAAATATGTCGTGACTTCAAGAAATCTGGCAGGCAACTCACCTGCTCTGAGACGTAGTTCATCATCTTCCCAGTCTGTGAATATAAATGTCTGTGGGAAGCACACAAAACAAAGAAATACCTCTTAAAATTTAAAAAATGGTACTAATAGTGGTTTTGGTTAGAACAATCCGAAAGAGGTCATTTTATTATTTTCTAGCAACGTCAAAAGTAAGATGTCCTTTCACTATGTGCAGGTTTAATCAGCAGTAGAGATAATACCAAGTGCATCATCCAATTTTGTAAGTTCTACATACTCCAACCAAGCCAAAACTCTTCCTAAAATAAAGACTACAGACTCCATATCCCTTTCTTCTACCACCAGTATACACCTATAGATCTTTCATATGAGAGAAACCCCTGGCTCTGTCAGAATGTCTCTTCATATAGATGAGCTAGTGGTATATGTAGATAAACCAGTACTCCCTGCTCACATACAATAAGGGGGGGGGGGGGAAGTCTCTTAACACTTAACTATTGAGGGGTGGCCCAGCTTACATGGCCCAACAACCTATCTTCACATTTTTTTGCTTCAAACAATATGTTCTGGAGAGTATAGCCTATTAAAACTCTGCCTAACATAATCATGGGGCCAGAAGAAAGGAAGCACAAGAATATCTTACACATCTCCAGGAAAAGAAGAGATATTAACATTTGGATGTGATAGTGATGCATGGAAAGGCACTCTGGTAGCAAGCTGACAAAAGGATTTTACTGGTAAACAAGTTCATACTTTAGTTTTCTGGGAAAGTGTATTCTTACCATTTCCTTGGCCTGAGAAATCCAGGTTTGGAAGAGCAAGTTTAGCCTTGTTTTGTGATATTTTCTTGTTGTTTTCACAGCAATGAAGACATCCTTCTGTTCAAGCTTTTCCTTAGCAGTAACTCTGGTTGGCTCTATGTGGTCTGCCATCAGGCTATTGAATTGATTAATTGGACTTCCATTCATCTTATCATTAGCTTTCAGTTTGGATCTCCTAGTATCTATGATATAATTACTCCACTGTTTTATGGGGTCCTCTTTCATCAGGGGCACCATATTATTAGTCTCATCATCCAAATGATCAGTTGAGCTGGATTCCACTTGAAGTGGAACCTCATTCTTGTTGGAAACATTCAAAAGAAGTGGTGGGCGTGGCTGTGGATAACTTCTGGATCTCCAACTGGCCTGAAATCTGGGAATTAGCAAGAGGAGAACTGCACAGACAATAACAGAGAGCAGGAAACAGATCTTACTGAGCCGAATGCAGGACAAGCTCATTCTTCAGCCCCAAGGGCCTTTGCCATACTGGAAAGCTGGAACATTGTTTCCGAGTGATGCTGCTGCTTTTAATGCAAATCCATGAATCTGTCAGTCACATTCTAGGAATGTACCAGCTACATAGCATCATTTTTGTAGCACTGAGACAACAGAGAAATTGACTTTTTCAATTTCTGACCTCTGGAACTGTCATCCTGATAGCAAAACACAGGAATTGGCTTATGTTTGGTCTTAATCCTCATGCCACTGTATACCTTAAGTCGTTTAAATAAGAGTCTAAATGGCACATCAGCTAATAAGCTGAATGTTTAGGGGTCCTAAGCCAAAAATCAAGCTCTTGTGAGATCAGTAAAGAGGCCGATCTATGTGCACACACAGCCTTTTCTTCCTAAGAACATAAGATGCTCCATGCGAAGTCAGACCAAGGATATATCTGATCCAGTATTATTTAACTGGCAGTTACTCTCCAGCATCTCAAGCATAAGCACCCACTGATACCCTGGTTAGGTATTATAACTAGAAAGTTCTGCAAATAAAAAGTTCTGTATGCTGGAGTCTCCTTCTTTGGAAGTTTTTAAGCAGCGGCTGGATGCCCATCTGTTGTGTATTCTTGCATGGTAAAATACAGTTGGTTTCTTTCAACACTATGATTTTATGAAAGCCTGGCTCTGCTAATAAGATGCTGCCATTTCTTGCCAACATGTCTTGTCAGCAATGCATCTGCATTCATCTCCAGTGGGTATAGGACAAATGGTCACAAAATTCTGAAAATTTTGCTGAAAACAAAACAAAACCCAGAAGTTTAGAAATTGTTATACCATAATGGAATGTAACACTCTGCAGTTGTGTATATATAGAAACAAACGATGGTGTGTGTGTGTATATATCCTGCCTTTCTCCCAGAGTGGGACCCAATATTGTTCACAATAAAATCTGATCAAACCAAATGGACTTTGCTTGCTGGTGAAAGAAAAGCAGGGAGATGGCCAGCCTAGCTTTCCATGGAAGGGTCTTCAGGAGGGGGGGGCATCATCTCTCATGGGATGGTGGAGGGACCAAAGGTTTTCCTCTGTATATCTTAAGACTCTAGGCTTGTATGACAGAAAAGGAAATGTAACCAAACAAAATTATCTTATACAAACCCAAGCTGCATTGCATTTTCTATTATAAGAGACCTATTTAAATATTGCAGTTGTCCACATTCCATAAGATGATTATTCTATGGAATAGGAGCCATGGTGGCGCAATGAGTTAAAACCTTGTGCTGGCTGAACTCTGATCTGAAGACATGAATCTGTGAGACGAGATGAACTCTCATCTGTCAGCTCCAGCTTTCCATGAGGGGACATGAGAGAAGCCTTCCACAGGATGGTAACACATCCGGATGGCCCCTGGATAATGTCCTTGCAGACGGCCAAATCTCTCACACTAGAAACAACTCCTCTGACGTGATTAAAAAATATTCTGTATAATTAATAGCATATTATCCGTAGTATATTTAATGCCATGTCACAAAAAGAAAATGAATCTGTCTTAGCTATGCTTTTTCATATAATTTTAATTTTCCTCAAAGTGAACATATGTAAAGATTGTTTCATTTAACTAAAAAAGGAGAGACCTACATTCAAAACATGGTCATATTTTCAATGAAGGTCTTTCCTTTTTTCAGTTGATTATATTTTGAATGTATTTGTTACAGAGCAGTCCTACACAGAATTATGTGCATGTGAAAGTGCCTTTAAGCCACTTGCTGGCTTATGGAAACCCCATGAATTCCATAAGGTTTACTCAGCCAAGCCTAATTTCCTCCCTCTGATAATCTGCCTATAACAAGTGGAATTAATTGGTGTTCTCCTATCCAAGTACTAAGACTGACTCTGCTTAGCTGAGACTGACTCTGCTTAGCTTCCAAGATCAGATAGGATCTGGTGTCTTCAGGGTCCTTAGGCCCTTTGTGCAAGCACATTTAATCCCAATGATTTCACTGAGTTGAAGCTTTACCAAGGAGCCGCCAGTTGCACATTGAGTTAAACCCTTGTGTTGGCAGGTTCGAATCCGGAGAGAGCACAGATGAGCTCCCTCTGTCAGCTCCGGCTTCCCATGCAGGGACATGAGAGAAGCCTCCCACAAGGATGGCAAAACACCAAAACATCCTGGCCGTCCTTGCAGACGGCCAATTCTCTCACACCAGAAGCGACTTGCAGTTTCTCAGGTCACTCCTGACACGGAAAAAAAAAGCTTACCTTTGAGCTTGCCCTGACAAATTTCAAAAGGAACATAGGCATGTAACATTAACCAAAACACTATAATTCAACACGAAGTGCTCAATGCACCTCAAACCAACGCAAAGAAGGGAAACATTAGAGGGAGGAGCAAGTCACAAAGTGATCCTGTGGACATTTACTCAGGAGGAAGTTCAACTTCTCCCCAGTTACTAGGCAATAAGGTCAGTGGGCGAGATGTAACCCGGGCGTGAGTTCACAGCTCATGGAAGGTCACAGCCGACCCCGTTCCTTTCCTGCCAGCAAAGGCCTCTTCGGGCCTTTGTTGTTCATTCCTTCAGTCGTTTCCGACTCTTCGTGACCTCATGGACCAGCCCACGCCAGAGCTCCCTATCGGCCGTCACCTCCCCCAGCTCCTTCAGAGTCAAGCCAGTCACTTCAAGGATGCCGAAGTCTGACCAGAATCTGATGCCCGAAGGCCCGCGTCCATGCCTTTGGGGCGCCCAAGCTGGTTGCCACGGGAACGGCTGCCCCCCCAGCTGGTCTCCATGGCAACAAAGGAAGGCACCGACCTCGGCCCCCCACCCGCTCTTTCCCCCGCCCGAAGGCGGAACGCGCAGGAATCCCGGCCTCCCCCTCCCGGCCCCCACCTGCGCGCAGCATCGCCAAAGCCGCTTCTGCCAGGCGGAGGAAGCCCGGAGCCACCCACCGTCCGCTCTCACCGCCAGCGGCTCCCCTCAGGATACGGAGCCACCTGTAGCCACTGAACACTAGAGAGAGTTGTGCCAGAAAAAGGTGCCGCGGCCCCTTTAAGGTTTTCACCTGCGGAGAGGATGTGACCCAGCTACGGACGGTGACCCGGAAGTGGAAAGGGGCAGGCGGGCTGGGCCCGGAAGTGCTTGGCGCGAGGGTCAATATGCCGCTACCCGTCCAAGTCTTTAATTTACAGGTATCGCGGAGGTTTCGGGGGGAAGGGTGGGGGTCTCGGGCCGGGGAGGGGGCGCTCGCGCGAGCAGGGCCCGCGGAGGGTGGGGCTCCTCCGGCTGAAGAGAGAGGGAGAGAGGGAGGGAGGGAGGGCGCGCGTGCCTGCCCGCCCGCCTGCCTGCCTGTCATCCTAGGCGGCCTGTCTCCCAGCCGGGCCCTTGGCGGGAGAGGAGAAGAGAGGCCTAGGATCCCGGGGGGCGGGGGCGGCCTCGAGGAGCGGGCCTCGCCCCCTCCCTCCGTCCCATCGGCCTGACTCTGCCCGCCCCGGCCCCCGGCTTATACTTTGGTAGAAACCGGGCCTTGGGTGGCCGAGCTGCAAGCATGCCATGCCCCTGGATTCTGAGGGAAACGAAACATCCTTCAGTTCTCCTCAGTGTGGGGGGAGAAGTGTTCAAGCCACGTTTTTAAGGGCGCAAAATACTAAGAAATGTCAGGCCCCTGGAAAGTCCTAGGAGAGGTGTGTGATCAGCCCTTGAGTCTCATTTTATTCTCTTTTCAGAAATAGTACACAAGTGCTACAACATACGTTGGAAAAGTCAATGTGTTTTTGAAAGGATTTTATTCCACTTCTCTGCACTGAGGTCTACAGTCATGATAAAGGACTCTATCTTTATAACTGAGGGCACATATTGGCTGTAGATTTAATGCCGTTTGATACCACCTTAACTGCCATGTCTCGATGCTTGATAATCATGGGAACTGTAGTTTGTTGATTGCAGTTGTATTATATCTGTAGCTATTATTGCATTTTATTGAATTTTTAACTAGTGGGGGTTTTTAACTGCCATTTTAAGGTTTTACACCAGGTTTTAAGGAGCCCCCAGTGACATAATGGGTTAAACCTTTGTGCCGGCAGGACTACTGAATCCAGGGAGCAGGGTGAGCTCCCGTTTCAGCTCTAGCTCCTCATGTGGGGACATGACAGAAGCCTCCCACAGAATGGAAAAACAATCAAACATTCAGGCATCCCCTGGACAACGCCTTTGCAGGCAGCCAATTCTCTCACACCAGAAGTGATTTGCAGTTTGTCAAGTCACTCCTGACACACACAAAAGATGCAATGCCATATGTTATTGCTGCTGTGCCAGTGTTTATGCACTTGTATTTTGTGTGTTTGCACTATTGAATGCTTTTGTGATCCGTCCCAAGTCCCTCAGGGAGATGGTTGCGGGATATAAATAAAGTTTATTATTTATTTATTTATTTGGTGAAACATCTGCCCTCTTTTGCAGAGAAGGCTAAAGACCTTGAAAAACTACCACTCCCAATATTCCATAGCATTGAGCCATGGCAGTCATATTGGTGTCAAGCTGCAGTATCTCTACAGCGTAGGTACACCATGAGTGGCATGGAAATGTTTGATCTCTTGATTATGACATGCTGCTCCAATCTTGGGTGCAAATCTCATATTCATGGCCAGGTTCGCTTGAGGAGAAAACACACATTGCAGCTGAAAGTTTGGAATAAAAACATCAGTAAAGGAGAAGTAAAGCTTAGAAATAGGTTTTCCAAAGTGCACCTAACATTATACCTTTTTGCACCATAAACAATTTTATTATGGCCTTCAGACAGGAGGGTATCTTAATATGGGGCAGTGTTTTTGCTTTTCAGTATCTCTGATCTCATAAGGCAGCTCTTAAAATATATTTTATTATAAAGCTTCAGAAGAAATATTCATATTTCTTCTAGCATGAACTTTTGTACACAATCAAAAACTGGTAGTTTATTGTTAAAGTTGGAATGTTAGAGCATAAATGTGACACTTCTTTTAAAACAAGGCGTGTTATTGACTAGTACATCTTTAGTTTCTTGAGAACATTGGAATGGGTTGAAATGCGACACCCTTTGAACCTACAAAACATGTGGCCACACGTGATTCATATTTAGAAGGTGAGGGTTGGCCATGCTTAACTTGGACATTTAGGCTTCCACTTCTCACCTTTATAATGCCTGACTGAAAAATTCTGGACCATGTTCCATTTCCCTTCTAGGTGTTTCTTGAATTTACTTTAAACATTTCATAAACAGTCATGGGAAATTTCCTGTAGTAGAAATGTTGATTAGAGAATGCTTTGTTGGCAATATCTGAAATTGTAGGTTTTATGAGACTGTAGAGCATAATAGAGAGATGTTGCTTAGGAGAAAAATCAGATTGTTTTGTGTATTTTATCTATCAGTTAATAGGTAATTAGTACAAGCCATAAAGTCCTGGGATTTATTATTGGTTGACAATAAAACACAGCATCTTCATGTCCAATTTCATCTTTCTACAGTAACTACACTGTACCTCCTGTGAGCTGACAGTATATGATTATGTGGAACGGGGGAATGTGGCTCAATAACACAAATGTGAAATTAATGAAGGCCTGCAGTGACAAAGAGAAAAAGCCAGAACGTATGATTCTAGCCCTACCATGCGTGAGTTTTTTGATGACTGCAGAGGCATTAACTTCCTTTCTTTCCTTTAGCAGCCAGCAAGTTCTGTGTCAGGGCGAGGGGGTACAGAGAGTCAGGACAGGATGAGGGATAGTTCAGTTCCAAGTTCAGCTTCTTCGTCAGTGACAGATCTGTTCAACACTCCCCGCAGCAGTAGGTCAGACCTCTTCCTCCCAGGTACATCTGGAGACTTCAGCCTGAGTGCCTGCTTATCAGCCTGCACCCTACTCTATGAGGTATCTCAAAGTAGAAAGCACTTGGGGGGATCTGAGTGAGAACTGACTTGAGTTTTAGTAGCAATAAGGCAACAGTCGGCCCTCTGTATCCACTGATTTTGCATCCATGGATTTAACCATCCATGGCTTGAAAATATATTTTTTAAATCCCCAGAAGTAAGTCTCAGTTTTGCCATTTTATATAAGGGTCACCACTTACTACACCATTGTATATAATGGGACTTCAGCATCCTCAGATTTTCATATCTACAAAGGATCTTGGAACCAGACCCCAGCAGATACCAAGGGCCCACTGTATTTGTTAAAATACATTCCTGTCTCTGAAACAAATTTACTTCCTGCTGTGTCATTTTCACTTAGTTAATATATCTTTAATCTACCATCTAAGACGGTGTAGTGGGTTGCATACCAAGGATACGGAATTAGGAAGGACATAGAGCTAAATCTGCTTAAAAATGTAATTTTATCCTGTCTTTCCACTGTGATTTACAAGCCAGATTACAAAATTCTTGAAACAATAACTTTATTTAATAGTAGTATTAAATAAAGTAAGTAATAGGCAGATTTAAAACGAGACTTTTATTTGATATCTGAAATCCAACAACTCATGAAGGAAGTACACAACGGAAAGGGCATCACGGAAATGTGCCTTCTTGAAAGAAGGCAACCTTCCTATCCCCCATCTATAAACTTAAGAGTACCCAAATTAGGCCTTAATTAAAAACCTAAACCAAAGTTTATTATGTGGGTGAACACACTGAATTCCCTGCCCTTCCTTCAGGAACTCCATTGCTCCTACTGTTACTTTTGCTGACACTGCAAAATTTGCTGCTGCAATGGTGAACACTCCCTTTCTTGGCTGTTTTTTTCCTTCCAAACAAGGCACACGGGTGTATGTTCACTGTTTTTAAGGGGAAATTGCAAAGGGTTTTCTTCCAGTTTCAGTTTAGTGGCAGACAATTATTAGCAGATTTGTTGATAGCAGAGATTAGGTGGGCAGCGACAAAAATGGACAGGGGTTCATGTCGGCTGTGTTCCCAGCCCTGACCTTAACAATAGGTGTAGTGCATATAAAAGAAGACAATCTTCTATACAAGTAAATCTGTTCTGTGTTTGGATTCCAGCATCAGCCCTGTTCGTTATTGCTAAGGGGTCTAAAACTGTTTAAATCTTACAAAAAGCTTTATCAAAACGTATTGTCTATGAAAGGCTTAACACATCTATTTTGTGAGGTTCGTGTATTCAGGCCTTTGCAGCTAAATGACTGGAAAGGACAGCAGGATTGATCTGCCTAAAAGAGAGCTGTTAGCAGTCCAAATTGATAAGGAGCAAATAAATAATTATTGTTGGCTTCCCACTCCCATTAGCTCCAGCCAGCACAGTCAGGGGGCAGGGAAGGTGGGGGAAGTCCAACAACATCTAGAAAGATCATCTCACAGGATGAGGATAGCTGGGACAATATCGTGACATTACTGATATGTCTTAATATGTTCCTATCAATTATGAAATTTCAGAATGAAGGATTGGGTAAATTCGTGGAAATGCAGTCAGCAGGTCAACAATAATTAGGTCTTCAGAGAGAACTGAGTAGGGTCTCCTTGTGAAGAGAAAGAGCAGAGTATAAATAAACATAATGATGATGATGATGATGATGATGATGATGATGATGCCAGGCAATTTACTCATCATTTTTAGATAACTTCATTTTTTGGAAACTCGAAGCTAAACTGTATTAATAGTTTCTGTTGAAACTTTTTGATGTAGAGGTGAGATTGAGAAATGTTATTTCACGCATTCTTTTTTCTCTCACGTTTTTATAGTACAAGAAGTAAACCAGTGATAGAATATTTAAAAGGTCATTCTTTCTCTAAAGTAGGGTTTTAACCTTTGTTTCAGCTTAAGAAGGGAGATTATGCATCTTGAACTCTATTGTAGAAAAAAAGGATGTGGTTAAGCATACCCTCTCCACTGCTTCTCAGTTTAAAACAAAATGTTGTCAGTGCCTTATGGCTTAGTTGATGGAGATCATGGGTGAAGCTTGCGGTGCTTCATTGCTGCCTTCCTGGGACCAAGAGAGTACCCTAGCTCATCTCCTTTCAATGCAATGAAAGACTGGTTATAAGCAGCCTTGTATGAACAATTTTGTTTTGCCGTTACCTCTCTTTTAACTGGAGAACGCTTGATCTTTATCCAAACTCCAGGCTTCTCAGGAGCATAGCCCATGGGAATAACAATATAGGAAAGTTATTGCTTACATAGTGGCATAGTGGCTTTATAGTGGCATCTAATTGGTCATTTCAGGAAATAAGAACGTAAGGACCTTTAATCAAGTGTAGCAAGACTCATATTCTTGAGGTCATGATATTTAGACAGATGGCAGATGTTGTAATTAGGATAATGGCTGCTAGTAGACCAAATGATGCCAAAGCAAGGAACACTCTCTTCCTGCTTATATAGTGTCTTGATCCCTCGCTTATTGTCTGTGTTGTTCATTTTGTGACTTTAATGCATGATTTTCATGTGCAATATCTGTTATACAAGATAACAAATGTGCAAGGTAGAAACTGTAAATTGATTTATTCATGCCATATGAATTAAGTCTGACTTGCCTTATTTCTTGACTTCATAGTTGAGTAGCTAGTTAGGCCTTTCTTAACCTGCAACTCTATAGATCTGCTGAACCAGGACCTAGGACATCCATAGTCCATTCATATCTCTTCTTGGTACACCTGGAAGCAGAGAACTCTTGTCAAGCCCCCCCGTCCTCCCAAACTGGGTCTGCAAGGCAATTACTCAGTGATTTCTAAGACAGAGATAAAAACATTTATCTTTCCTAACTTACACTGGCCCGCGATAAGACATTCCAAAAAGTTTAATAGAAGTGTATCTGGGGAGCTAAGGTTGGGAACCACAGACTTGGATCACTAGTCCCTAAACACAGCCCTAATCAAGATAACAAATTATTGCTCCAAAAGTGATGTATTTTCCTGGGCCTCTGTGTGATAACTCATATGATCATCAGACTTCATCAGACTCCTTAGCTATGTCCATGATGGTATTGAGGAGCTGTACTTACATTTGGCTTTTATCCTCAAGTTTCATTTTAGCATAGTGCCAAATATCCCTAAGAAAATTTGATGAGGAGCTTTCATGTCCTGTGATTGGAAATCAAGAATATGTATGATAATTTGTATATGAGTTTTGCAGAATTGTGGAACATTATCCACACATACAAGACATCCTACTTTCTTGCTTGCTGGCATTTTGGAATCCACATTTGGATATGGCTTTCAGTATTGCTAAAAATGCATTAGGAAATTTAATATTGCTTTTATCTGTTTAAAGAAATTTTACTATATTTTAATATCATTTTGGACTCTTCTATATTGATGCCTTTTCAGAATTTTCAGCATGGAATAGGATGTATACATAATAAATAAGCACAATCTTGGTTGAATAAACTGAGAAAAAGAGGCATTTATTTTTTGTTTTGATGAATTCAGTTTATTTTTGTCCTAGATATAAAATTGATAAATACCTGAGCAAGGAGATCCCATTCTCTGGGATGGCTACTGATCAGAAAAATCATCAGCCCTCTCCCACCCTGAAAAACCATTGAGAGCAAAAGTTGCTTGAGTGAATGGGTAGTGTGGAGATCTTACGAGTCTTCCGGATAGATGTGAAAGAGAGATCTTCATTTTCTGGTTGTAACTACTGTGATTTCAAGCCTCTTTCCCATGGGGCAGGGAAGGAGCTTCCTGGATTCTGTTTCACACACAAACTTTGCTGTTACAGGGTGCGGTAGAGCCCATGCAGATTGATATAGACCCTCAAGAAGATCAGCAAAATGCACCGGATATCAACTATGTGGTGGAGAACCCGACGCTGGTACGTGTTGGGGTTGCAGCTGTGACATATCATAGCAAGACAGTTCAGACTTAACCTGTAAAAACGTGGATTCTGCGTCATGAATTTAAACAAAGATTATATGTCAACAACCATGAAGCTTTTAAATTTTGCTACATTTCCAAATTATCTTTTTATGCTGTACAGATGTCTGTCAAAAGTTCAAGCAGGGAATAAAATTTTTACTGTCCAAGGAAGGTGGCTATATAAGGGGAACAGAAAAACTTCTATGAGTAGAATTTACAACTGATCAGCAAAAGCAGGCTACAGTTTTTCTTTTTCTTTTAATAACAGTGATATTTGGATTATATTCTTGTATGTGCAATGGGAAAAAAGCAAAACAAAGCAGTAATTAATTCATTTAGTATTAGTATTTTCAGTATTTAAATATTTTTGCAATAGTACTTCAAGGTAAGTCTGTATTACTTTCATATTGTAAATGGGAATTGTGAGATTAAATGGTGATTTGCTTAAGGTTATGCAATTGATTTCTTGAATGTGTACAATTTGAATAGGGGATTGCTATATTCTTAGCTGTACTATAGTTCACTGGTTGAGCTTGGCTCCTTCCTTTTTAAAAAAATAATTTTTATTGGTAAATAACATAAAAAAGAAGAGAGAATGTTAAACAAACAAAAAAAAAACATTAGACATACAAATATTTAAAATAATGTATACATTCCTGAGGTGTTTTCTCTATTACAGTGAAAGTGGGAGAACATCATAAAGAAAAAGTGTAAAGACTAGAAAAAAATAGAAGAGAAAAAAAATAATCTGACAGACATACATATATATATTTCCATTGTCACTTCCAGATCGCTACCCGTTGTATTAATTAAATCTTTTTCTACAAATTCCTAATAAAAGTCCCTCCTTCCTACTAAGGTAATTCAGGTAGCTTGTACATTTAGTTAGTGAAATGTTTATATAGTGTCTTATATCAAAAAATCTCAAAGCAGCTTACAAATAGCATTCAAACAGGGCAGACGGTTTAAAAGTTTTGAAAGAATTTTAAACTACCTAAAATATATTGTACAACATAAGTTAAAATAAGAAGGTCTAAACATTTTAAAAAACTTCATATAACAATATTTAGACAGCCAGCAAAGTGCAATGGTTTGAACATTGGACTATGACTCTGGCAATCAAGGTTTGAATGCTGTTTGATATTGGAAAGCCATTGAGTAGTTTTGGGCAAGTCACATTCTGTCAGCCTCAGAAGAGGGCAAAGGCAACCCCACTCTGAACCAGTCTTGCCAAGAAAATCGGCTGATAGGTTTGCATTAAAATCACCCTTGAAGGTACATAACAACAGCAGCAGCATTTGGGTTGAATTAATGAAGCCCAGAGGTCTTGATGAGCAGGCTCGTTTTAACTTAGGACCTAAATGAAGTGAGTGTTGGTGACAATTGGACATTTTATTACAACTTAAACAGTATCTTTTCTTTCTGCTGGACCATTCAGGATCTGGAGCAGTATGCAGCAAGTTACAGCGGCCTGATGAGAATTGAGCGGCTACAGTTCATTGCTGACCACTGCCCGCAGCTGCGCGTAGAAGCCCTCAAAATGGCTCTCTCGTTTGTCCAAAGAACATTCAACGTTGATGTGTATGAAGAAATTCACCGGAAGTTGACCGAAGCCACCAGGTACTGAGATAAAGAAGGTTCAGACTTGGTATCTTTTCTTAGGGACCTGGCAATCCTTTTGGTCTACTTTAACATCAAGCAAGCCAGTGCAGGCACCTTGCCCAAAGACAGAAGATTTTGTGATGGTTTTCTACATACAGTTTTGATGCTCACTAAGTTGAGGTGGTAAATGTGTGTTAGTGGCAGTGGAAACCCCAAGCAGGATAGAGATTTAGCATAAATTGTGACATTCTAGTCACTTCTGATTTTCCCAGTTCTCTTATTATTATCCCTAGGTCAGATACAGCCTGCTGCTCCTTAGCTGAAACTAGTAACAAAACATGTTGACCCCAATTCTTAGCTAACATTCCCCACTGGTTCTGCAGAATATTTATTGATCACTGACTGCAGTCCCATATGTTCATAATAAAACTTTAGAGTTATAAGCAGAAGTGAGAAACATGTATTTTTGGACTACAAGCCCCATCAGCTTTAGCCAATATAGTTGGGAGTTAAGTATCATGAGGGTAGAAGTTCAACAACATCTGAAAGGCTCCTGGATTTCAGATAGATGTGGATCTCCACTTTTATTTACTCCAAAAACTGTGTGCTTATAGTACTGCATTAATCACATTTGAAAGCATTTGAATCAAGAGTTCTTATTGACTGCAAGATGAATATGAAATGAAGCTAATTGGATAATACAATTTTCTAGTAGAGCCTTTTTCCTTCTGCTGTTTATAGATTATTATTGCAATACAGGTGATGCATGGTTGCCCTTTCCTCTTCACTCACCGTCTCCTTACTGCTTCCTTTCCAGAGAGTTACAAAACACACCGGATGCTGTCCCAGATGGAGGGATAGAGCCCCCTCCTTTAGACACGGCGTGGGTTGAAGCTACCCGGAAAAAAGCGCTTCTCAAGCTAGAAAAGCTAGACACAGATCTAAAGAACTATAAAGGGAATTCAATAAAAGAAAGCATCAGGTGATGTGCAAGGAGATCAACTACTACAAAAAAATCCAGATTTTGCAATAATTAATATACATCTCAAGTGCAGAATTAGATGTTTCATCCATGGGGTGTCTCAGAAATATTGTATGGGTTTGTACCTAGTTGCATTGGACTGTTCACACAGTTTGTGGGTAGATCATACATGCAGTAGACTCATTGAGAAATCCAACTTCAGGCATCAACTCATCTGTGTAAGAATGTCACCTAAATGGTCTACTTAGACAAACAAATTCCACCTTTTGGGGGCCATAGAACCATTCAGAAGTCATTTTGTGATTGTTAACTAAGTGCTTGAGCTGCTTCTCTTTCACCCTGCCTCCATCCCAGATATGGTATCACATGCATGTTGTGCTGTTTGAGGGAATTGTACGCAGTGAGGGTTCAGTATGTACTAAGTTTGGTTCCAAGACTCCCCCAGGTTGACTTACTGGATCGGAATTTATTAATAGCTTGGTGTGGTTTGTGGAGTTTTTGCATGATAGTTTATTTATTTCAATGGTAATGCCCTTTCTTTCTAGGAGAGGCCATGATGACCTAGGAGACCACTATCTTGACTGTGGGGATCTTAGCAATGCCCTCAAATGTTATTCACGAGCCCGTGATTACTGCACCAGTGCAAAGCATGTCATTAACATGTGCCTCAATGTTATCAAGGTAAAAAGCAGTGTCAAGCAGTGGCCCTTGTGGAGGGTGGGTGGAGGCAGCAGGGGAATTCGGGTTTAGGGCAGAATTTTTGTTTTGTTGCAGCCCCCAACTACCAACAAGAAAGTCTCCCTTCTTTTCTCTTCTTGCCATTTGACATATGCACCTGCTGACCCATCAAGAAAATTCCTAATGGTTCCAAGCAGCTGGCAATTTTTGACTCTAACATGAGAGAAATGTTCTTGTTCATGGAGGCCTAGAATGTCCTGCCAGTACTGTTACCAACTCCTGTTGGAGTGCTGAGGCACCTCCTTGTTTCCTTGCAGGTCAGCGTTTATCTTCAGAATTGGTCCCATGTCCTGAGCTACGTCAGCAAGGCAGAATCAACACCAGAAATTGCAGAGGTACTAAGTTTTTTACAACATGCTATTGTTTTATATTTTATTTAATACATTAGTTATCATGCCTTTTCTCCTGGGAGTCCAGCATAGCGGAGAAGGCTCCTTCTGGAAGGCTTCCTTAGACAATACCAAGCTCCCTCTCATTATACATGCACACCAGTCTTATGAGGTGGGTTAGGCTGAGATACAGCAACTGACCCAAGGTCACCCAGTAAGACTCATGGTTGAGTGGGAATTTCCTCTGGATCTCTTCACTTCCAGGCTATTGAAATTGCTACAGTACTTTAGCTCTTAGAATGTCCTTCAATGCCCTGGATTACTAAGGTGAAACCATATCAAATCCATAGCAATACTTTGATTAGGCTCCACCCAAATGCCTTAGAAGTGGATGAGCTTTTGAGTTGTTCTCACTGAAATCTTACTTGCTGCTACTCGCATGTTGATTCTCTGCCTCCTCCCCTTATAGCAAAGAGGTGAACGGGACAGCCAGACACAGGCAATCCTCACTAAGTTGAAGTGTGCTGCAGGTGAGTCTGTAGTTTGCTTGATCTGTGGGCAGAGTGTTGCTCTTTGGTTCTAGTTAGATGTACAGTGGAGGTCGGGTGGGGTTTTTTGTTTTCCCCAGTTGTTTTGTCATTGGACCATGCCCCCTGTATTTATATCTCTAATCCTTCTGGAGTTCCCCTATAGGATGCTGTGTAATCTCAGTACAGTATTATGTCTTTGCCCATACATATCCTTAAATTACTGGACAAAAGACTAACTTAATCTGTTTCTTAGGCTTGGCTGAACTGGCTGCCCGAAAGTACAAGCAGGCAGCAAAATGCTTCTTGCTGGCCTCATTTGATCACTGTGATTTTCCTGAGGTAAGGGTGAGGAAGAATATGGGCAAGAAGAGCGGTGGGGTGGGTATGACACAAAATGTCAAGTGTGATCCCAGTTGTGGATGAAATCAAGATTGGATTGATTCAGGGAATGGCTAACCTTGTTTGTTCTGAGTGTCTTGAAAACCATCTGTTCTTTGTGTATAAGACTCTGGATAAGATGAGTCAGACTGCCTTTCTTTGTCTTCAACTTAAGAGTTTGTGCTCACTGTGCTCTTCTTCAGAGATAATCCCTTCTATCTTTTCCAGCTGCTCTCTCCTAGTAATGTTGCTGTATATGGTGGCCTGTGTGCACTCGCCACCTTTGACCGCCAGGAACTGCAGCGCAATGTCATCTCCAGCAGGTGAGGGATTTGTGGGGCTGTGAGCACTAAATAACCCTCATGAATTAATTAATGTACTCAGGTAGTACAAGAATCTCTTGCATGTTCCATTGAAGTCATTGAGCCCCACTGCCAGATGCAGCAACCTGGGATTGCATTCTTAAGTTTCTTGTATCTTTTTCCCCAGAGCAGGGATGGGTTGTGTGGAACTGTGCAGATAAATAGCCAGAAGGGAAATAATTAAGCAGCCTCTCTTTTTAGTGTCATTTTCTGTGGTTGACAAAACTAAACAACAGTAGAATGGTAGATCTCTCCACTCATCCTGACAGACTTCCCACCACTGAGGGGCCCATATGCAAGGTTCAGTACTCCTTTAGTGTGCCATTCCCTTAGGATCAGGCCTCCAGCCTTCTGGGGTTCTCATAGAGAGCTGTAGATTCCAACAGTTCTGCTGTGATGTCCTGCTTGCAAGGGATGTAGGGAATGGATCCCTTTGGACCCTGACATCTGTTGTGTTTTCAGCTCCTTCAAACTCTTCCTGGAGCTGGAACCACAGGTGCGTGACATCATATTCAAGTTCTACGAATCTAAATACGCCTCATGTCTCAAGATGCTGGATGAAATGAAGGTAGGTTCTGGGAATTTCCACTTTCCCTCTAGGGATTGGTGCCTTTTCCTATTAGGGAAAATGAGTCTTCAAAACAAAAGCATCAAACACAGATCAGAGCAAAAAAGGCACTGAGTGACTGACCTGAATTTGGCAACTTAGCTATGTCACACCTGTTATTTGCTAGTTACACTCATTCTATGCACAATTTAAAGTGCTGGATTTACTCTTTGAAGTTTTAATTATTTGGGACCTAGCTATATCAAAGACTGCTTTCTTCTGTAACCTGATTCTTTCTGCTCACTCAGATCTTTTCAATGATTCAAGTCATCTAGACCTCTCAGTTTTAAATATTCTGATTTTGTTTTCTTCTGTGTTGGTTACGATGTATGGTTTTTCTGGTCTGTTATGTATCTAAATAATTTGTTATGAACACTTGAGGGCTTTCCTGTGTTGTGACATCCAGATCTTTAGAATAATACTTCAGAGGTGATGCACCATTATCGATGGTGGGAAATCACAGGTTGCATGGGGTCTTGTGTGGACTTTTATGTGATCTTAATTACCCCTTCCCTCCCCAGACTGTAGATCACATTGTAAAACGAAAGCATTGTAGGTGGTGAGAAATAATCCCCCAAGTGTCTGAAAAGTTTGGTATATTAGCTCTTTCCACAATAACCTAACCATATGTAGGTTAAAAAGCAAAATGAAAAATAAGTTTTGGTTTCTCTGAATGTATTGCTGTAGCCCACCAGGAGGGCACAGAAGTAAAAAGTGTCTCTTCCCCAGTCCCTTGTGTCACTGCCAGCCCAGACTAGAGAGATTTGTCTAGAATTAGCATGGAGTTCTCTTTGTTGGGAAAAGGAGAGTGTTTCCTTTTTAGAAATTACCAAACGAGAGAGCAAAAATTTGTTTCCACAAAGTTGTTTTAATTAAATTCTGGGTTAACAGTATATTAAGTGTATAGTACATACACTTAATATACTGTTAACCCAGAATTTTTTCTTCGTGGTCTCTGCGAATGCACACTTGTGGAGAGACTGCGCCTGCGCGGGCTCCAACGGAAACTTCTACATTTTAAAACTTTTCAAGTTTTGGCGGTAACCCCGCCCAGCCCCGGCAGGGGATAAAAGGGCGCCCCGCGCACACCGATCCAATTCCTTTTTTTCCGCCGCACGGCTCGCTTCGGTACTTCTAGTTGGATAGAGTTTGGATAGTTTCTCTACAGAGATTTCCTCGAGTTGTTCGACAGTATTATGTCAACAACTCGCTTCAAAAGATGCGCGAATTGTCCGAGGAAGATCCCTGATTCGGACAAGCACGCTCTTTGCCTTTTGTGTCTCGGAGAGGCACACATTACTTCTTCGTGTCGTCATTGTCAATCGTTGACGGCACAGTCCCGTAAGAACCGGGTCCATCGGCTTCGATACCTTCTGTACCAGCAGACGTTGGCTCCGGTACCTTCAACATCGACATCGGCGTCGACGTCAGCTGCGGTATCCAGGCCTTCGACATCAGCTTCGACGTCGAAGGGAGCATCGACATCAAAATCTGTCGATCCCTCGACGGAGACCGAGCCTCGCCAGACAAGGGCGAAGAAGGCTGCGCAGAAAAGGCCGAGAACAGCTATGTCGACAACTTCTAAGGCCTCGGTGTCGACAGCTTCCAAGGCTACAAAGCCTACGAAGCAAAAAGCTCCATGCACGGTCACGACCGAGACCGTACGCATCCGGCACTCTTCGACCAGCTCAGTGGCGTCGGTGAGATCGATCAGGTCCACGAGGTCGACATCGGCGACTCCGCCATCTTCCACGGCGGTTCGCATTGCCTTTCGCCGGTCTCAAGAAGAATCTCGGCTGTGCTTCCACCTCATCCTCCGTCCCGCCCACCCCGGGCAAGTCTGTGTCGAAGACAGCTCAGCCGCCGGCAAAGAAGAAGAAGACGATGCCGCCTCCATCCTCGTCTTCTTCTTCTTCCCGAAAGCAGACCACCGCCTCCTCGGCCACCTCGTCGGCGAGGTCATCGCCGTTGCAGCCTGCTGAACCCCAGCCGGCCCCACAGCCTGCTCAGGAGCCACAACCTCTGCCGGAATTGCCTTCGGAACAACCCGAGTCCCCGGTGATCTCGGTGGACACGGTGATCGAGGCACCAGTTCGACATGTGACAGCCAGACAGGAGCTTTTCCCGTCGGTCACGACCTTGACAACTGTGATGGCAAGACAGGAGACTTCTCCAGTATTGGAGACTCCAGAAAGGGGCAGGCAGACTATGAGACTGGCCCGTGCCATTCAGGTTTCGGCCTCAAAAGCCCCCCCAGTGGTTCCACCGCAGCGCCCGAGTCGGGATGTCTCCTCATCCCCTCCTCCCCAATCCGTGGCTGCCGATGACGAAGAGGAAGATGGCGAGTTACCGGGATCGGTACACTCGGGATCTGTGTTATCTCTCGGGATCGAGAGATCACCCACTCACGACGCCTATGAGGCTGATCCCATCTCCCACGGACAATGTCCGAGCCTTTGCGGATCAAATGGCTCGCATGGCTGATGCCTTAGGCTTAGAGGTCAAGCAGACTTCCAAAGCAGTGCAAGACCCGGTGTTTAAAAGGGTGCAATCAGAATCTCCACCCGCTCCTCTTCTACCCTTCCTTCCCTATCTCCTTGAAGTGATCCAGGGCTCCTGGAAGACCCCTTCCTCCATCCCTCCAACCTCTAAAAAAATTGAATCATGGTATAGAACGGACGATGAGGGCTTGGAGTGGCTGAAACACCATCCCGACCCTAACTCGGTGGTCGTGAAGGCGGCTCAGGGGTTCGGAAGGCAATCATCGGCGCCTTCCAACTGTGAAGGGAAGAGATTTGACGCAGTCGGCAGGAAGCTTTACTCCGGTGCCCTCTTGCTGGCCCGCATGGCCAATTATGGTGCTTGCATGGGCGCATACCAACAAATTCTCTGGGAAAAAGCAGCTCAATTTTTCCAGAGAATGTCTGACGAGGATCGTACTGCCCTCTCCACCCTGGCTCAAGAGGCGAACTCTCTGGCGCATCATCAGATGCAGATGGCGAAACACACGGGGGACACTGCGGGCAAGATGATTGCTCACGCCGTGGCAATCAGGAGGCATGCCTGGTTTAGATCCTCTGGCCTCTCTACATCGTCGAGGCAGGTGATCGAAGACCTTCCGTTCGATGCCCTGGGGCTCTTCAACGCCGGAACGGACGACAAACTGAAGTCAAATCACGACTTCAAGACCTTGGCTTCTAAGTGTGGGTTCGAGAATCAGAACCAGGCGCAGAGGACCAGATGGTTCCAGTACAAACGCCGGCACACGGTCCCGTACCGCACCATACAGTACCGCCAACCAGCCCGTCCCCTGCATACCTCCCAATAAACCCACCCTCAACAACCCCAGCAGCAAAGGAGACAGCACCAGCAGCAGCGTTCGCGGTCCCGTCAAGCTTCTGGAGGCAATCAGGCTAGGCGCCGCATTTGACGCCCTAATGGACGATACCGTTTGCTCTTTCGTTACAGATGTTGTTCCTATGTCCCTCCTTCCATCCGGCTCGACACCGTTCGGGGATCGCCTAACAAACTTTCTCCCTGCATGGGAAAATATCACCTCAGATGCATGGGTTTTAAAGATTGTCGACGAAGGCTATGCATTGGAGTTCGAGGAGCTCCCACCAACAGGGCAGATTGTCGATACCGAACCATCCTCGGCAATTCTGACAGAGGTCGAGACCTTGCTTCTGAAAGGGGCAATTTCCCCTCTCCCGGACTCTCAAAACCATCGAGCCTTCTTCTCCAGGTACTTTACTGTCCCGAAGCCGGATGGCTCCCTCCGCCCAATCCTCGATCTCAGAGACTTAAACTCCTTCATCAAACCCCAAAAGTTCTGGATGGTGACGGTATCGTCCATTCTCCCTCTACTCAGATACGGAGACTTCTTCGCGTCCGTCGATCTCCGGGACGCTTACTTCCATCTCTCAGTCAGAAAACAT